CGCGCCATCAGTGCGAGAGAGACAAGGCGACGGCCAGTGGGGCCTAGGGGTGCTGGCTCGGCTGGCGTGCTCTCGCTTCCTGGCTCCGAATCGCGCAGCAATCAGTCATCGGAGTGTGTTCCTGATCGGAGAGTGCCCCGCCAGTCCGCCGCTCGTTTTCCGTCTTGTCTCGCTAACGGAGAACGGAGTGAACGGATCGAACGGAGCGCACCATCCCATGGCGGAAGACAACGCGCGCACACAGACACACGAACACGCTTCGCGCCGCGCGCGCCGCGCCAACATCAACACTGCCACCTGTCAAGCCCAGCCCCCGTGCGGCGGCGTGCGGCGGCGTGCAGCTGCCGACCCGATGCCCGATGCCCGATGACTTGGCACTGGCTGACCGGCAACGCGTATCTAAACACATGCGCTCGTTTTTTATGTCCGGGTCCATGCGTTACACCGCGGACATCACCGGCACAATGGCGCGCCGCGCTTGTTTTCTCGATGCTGTTGGCCTTCCAGGTCATTGATGTCCCTCCCTCTTCCCCTCCCCCTTTCCCCTGCCCCTCTCCCTTCCCCTTCCCCTCGGCCTCCCCCTTTCCCCTCCTCAATCCTTCATCCGAGGGTCAGTGGTCGGCCAGTGCAGGTCCAAAGTCCGGCATCACCTGAGTCGGCGCGCCCTTCGCTTGCACGGCACGGCACGGCAGGGCACGGCAGGGCACGGCACGGCACGGCACGGCAGGGCAGGGCGGCTCGACGACCGGCCAGGACGCAAAAAACATGTCTCCGCCTGATTGGCGTTGCTAAAGGCAGCAAGTGCAAGGCGGCGGGCAGGCAGGCAGGCAGACAGGCAGCCTGACGCCATCTCGTTGCAACTCGGAATTTAAAACTCCGCCGTTTTCTTTAGTTTATTTCTGGTTTAAATGTCATCAAAACGATTTATAGACACTCAGCGGGACAGCCCGAACGACTCATTGGCGGCTGTCAAAGCTGCAACTGTACTGCGGGCACTGCACGTGGATTATGCTCGCGTTGAGCCATTGAGTTTTAGAGCGCAGTCAAGCCAGTCCGCCGAATGACCCGTCAAGGAGGTCAAAATTAATTCGCCCCGAATGAAAAGTTGCTCCCTTAGCGACACGACGCGGCTGACGCACACGTCGCACGCGGAAAACAACCGCGTTCACTTTCGTTATTTACATAACCATTCGTTTATTTTTGTAATGTTTGACGGTCCCAGGATGGGCCGCGAGTAAAAAAAGAAAATGCTTCGCCACTGCGACGAATCGTAAAATCCATTTGAAAAAAAAAAAGAAAGAAAACGACCCGACAGTAACATGAAATAAACGGACTTGAGTGGGTCGTCGCTGGTCCCACGGCAAAACACTGTGTCCGGGTTTCCTGTGGCCAGTCCAGTCCAGTCCAGCCTGGGGCTGGGGCTGCGACACCCGGACACCGCCCGTACACTGTTTTGCCGAGCTGGGCGCGGCGGCCGCGGCTCGGCGCCGAGCGGGGAGCTGAACGCGGGTGGCAGCGGCGTCGCCCCGACGTTGCAGCCAATCGCATTCCCCGTGTCACGCTTGCCGCCAAAACGTGGCCCTCCGATTGGCCGGCAGCGCCGCCGCCGCCGCGGCCTTGAGGTGGAAAGCTGCTCTCTGGCCGGTTAGATAGGCGGCCCACTGGACCCAGGGACCGGGCGGGCCGGGCGGGGCCGAAGTGACGCATCATCGCATCACTCACACACGCCTCCATTTGTAAAGCGGGTGCCGCTGGTCCCGCCGCCTGTTGGCGCTGCTGCCTCAATGATTCGACGGAGGGGAAAAGAAAGAAAAGGATGACAGCAGACCGATTCCCGACAGTCGTCTCGTCGCGACGTCTCTCTCACACTCTGGCGGCGTCCCGGGCAGAGAGGCAAAACACTGCGCGAGACTGTGCGAAACGCTGTTACTTCCCTGCGCCGCTTTATTGCTATCCGATCGATACATCGATCCTGATCGATACCGCCCTCTGCTTCGCGCTTCGCTTCCGTGCGGGCCAATTAGCGCGGCGCTTTTCGGCCACACCGCCTCGCACGCCCGTCGGCCTTCCGGAACGGACTGTCGTGTTGAAATACGAAATGAAATGGCGCGCCTGGCCGCGCCGGCTGTGGAGGCTGTCGGATTGGGCTGGGGTCTCTGAAGTCACTGGAGTCTCAGGAGTCGCTGGATGGCTGAAGTCACTGGGGTCTGTGCGGGTCTGTGGAGTCGCTGGAGTCTCAGGAGTCGGGATGGCTGGAGTCACTGGGGTCTGTGGAGTCGCTGGAGTCTCAGGAGTCCGAGGGGGGAACAGCTTCCCACATTCATTGTACAAAATTTGACCACATTCCACATTCAGGTGGCAAAAACGCCTGTAAGTAGGCAACATGTGTGGCAAAAATGCCAGAAATCTTGCACATTCTTGCACATTCACACAGTCATTGTACACCAAATTTTACAGTGCGTCACCCCTCGCAGGAGTCGCTGGATGGCTGGAGTCACTGGGGTCTGTGGAGTCGCTAGAGTCTAAGGAGTGGCTGTGGCTGCAGTCCCTTCGGGCCTCCGGGCCTTCGGGGTCATAGCTGGTCAGGAGGTAGCACAGCACGGCACAAGGCGTCACTCGACTGGCCGGCCAGGGCGTGCCAAGGCGTGCCAAGGCCCAGGACGAACCCGTCCGATCCGAGCAGACCGGATTCGAGCCGAAACGGTGGGGAACCCCGAAGTGGCCAGAGGGGGTGGCGCGTAAGCGTCTACAGCGTCTCGGGGGGCCGTGCGTCAGCCACGTGCAAGGAGCTGGCAGGACCCCTGGTTTCTTGGTTTTGTGTCTGTGAATATTCGGCTGACTTTCAGCGACCACTGCGGCCACTGCCAATCCAGCAGCGGTAAGAGGACTCCCTCAACGTCCTGGCATTTTGAGGACCCGACATCGCCTCGTCTTGGAAACGTTTTTACCAGTGGGGGCGGGGCGGGCGGGGGAGGAGCAGAGCCCCGGGCCTGGCGAGCCGCGCCAGAGCCTGCCTTCCCTCTGGGCCCGCCGACGCGCCGACGCGGTTCACGCGTACTGTGTTTATATATTGCGCGACCGCCAATCGAAATCAATTAACGCCGCCTAGTCGTTTCGGGACGAACGAAACGACCGAAACGACGTACGTGGACGACGTGGACGACGCGGAGAAAAGGTTTGCAACACATCACTCCACGCCGCCACGCCGTGCCACGCCGTGCACTCGTGATGCAAAACAACTTTCACTGAGCACGGCACGCCGCGGCACGCCTCGCTGCTGCAGTGATATGACGTCAGTTTTGTAATAAGTGGCGCGGCGCTACGGCCCATTTCGCCGGCCGATGGCCGATGCCGACTGACTGACGTGCTGGCTGACTGGCTGGCTGTCGGGCTGGCCGCCTCTGGCAGCCACTGGCTGGCGGCGCCAAGTTCGCCGGGTCACAAAGTGCAAAGCCGGCCGCTGCGCCGCTACGCGCTAAAACGGTTTCGACATCGGCCAACCCGTATGCAAATGCAAATTCTGGCTTCTAGTGCGCGGAATGGCATGGAGAGGAATGTCAATGTTGCCGTTTTCGTTTTCTGGCCGCCGTCGCGCTGATCGCCAGGAGGCACGCCGAGGCACGCCGCCAACAGGGCCAGGGCGGCCAGGGCGGCCAGGGCGGCCAGGGGTGCCAGCGGCGGCAGGTTCGAGTGCACCAGAGTCCAGGGGTGCCAACTTGACAGGCAAAAGCAAGTATAGTTGCTTCAGTCAAAGTTGGCGGGCCAGCGAGCCTTTGCTATGCAGCCCTATTCTTTGTGACATTATGAGTGTGGCAAACAGGCCCCAAGATGGGCCGGAACCTGCACCTTACAAAGGGATCGAACCCTTATGGTGACCGGAACGGGCGCAGTGAGCACTCAGACAATGAGACCCCCTGAAAAGAGTCGGCTGTTTAAGGTTTTCTATGGTCCTAGCCTCGCCAACTTTGACTGAGCCAACTACAACGACATCGGCGGCGAAGGCGAGCACATGCGTCCAAGGGGCCCGAGTCGCACGGCTGGCACGGCCGCGCCATGGCTGCCCCCGCCCTGAAGGGCCGCGGCGTGGCGGCCTGGCCTCGTCACGGCCTGCTTGGCGGAGGGCGGGCCGGCGGGCCGCGGCGCGCGGGGGTCAGGGCCAAGGCTGGAGGTGAAGGCCGAGGCCGCCCCCAAGGACGACGTGCCCCACCCGGCGTCACCCGCGCCCGCCGCGCCGCCGCGTCCTCGCCGACGCGGCCGACCAGGCCCGCCAGGCCCGCCAGGCCGGCAGAACGGGGCAGGGCGGCCCCGGCCCGGCCCGGCCCGGCCCCACCGCCCAAGCCACCGCCCAAGCCACCGCCCCACCGCACCGCCCGGGGCTGGCAGGCTGGCTGCGGCTCGGCGAGCTCGCCGATGATACTCGTTTCGTAATGTTGCTCCAGTCATTACTCACCGCCGAATAGAACCCACGGGGCTGGGATGGCGACGAGTACCCGTTTTCACGCGCGTCAATACAACAAAACAAAAAAAAACGGAGAAGAATTTCGAAATGTCACCGCCGCGTTGGCGTGAGTCATAAATATTGAACCTTTGACGCCGTACAGTTGTTGAAATGCGAAAATAATTTGATCAGGAACGGAATGCTGCATGACCAGGAGTCGGGCTGTGTCTTTTTTTCCGTCCATAGGATGCGAGCTGCCTGTTGTGGCCCCCGCCATACAGTGTCGCGGTTTTTCAGCCTGAATGTTTTTCAAACCGGCTGCACGCCACACGCCAGGCCAACTTGTCATTCAATCATTCTGCCTACTTAGCGCCGCGCGGCCTTTCGGTTCAGCCCCTCGGCCTTTCACCCGGCGCTTCCAGCTGTTCCAGCGCCTCCAGTGAAAGGTCTAGGCGCCTCCCGGCCCGAAAACGAACGCGCGCAAACGTAAACAAAAAGAACACAAGAAGAAAATGTCTGGGAATGGAGTATGTTAACCACCCTTGTGCTTTTTGTCCCGCAGGACCTCAAGCTCCGGAATGACACCATGTCGTACTACTACTGGCAGAAGCCCGGCGTGGTCCGCCTCACCAAGGTGTACATCTTCAACGTGACCAACCCCGACGGCGTGCTGCGGCGGGGCGAGCGGCCGCGCCTGCAGGAGGTCGGGCCCTACGTCTACAAGTAAGCACAAAGACTCGCACACGCATGCTCGAAAGCGGTGTCCAGTGTCTCGGCGGTGTCGTGGAGCAAGAAAAAAGGCGCGCAAAATGTGTGCCAGAGTGTTGCCGCTGCACGGCGCCGCGGCGGCGCGCAGTGAAGTGACCCTTTTCATAACCGTTGGCACTAATGAGCTCAGTTTTCGCGGGCGCCTCTCGAAGTGGGTCAGTCGGTGAAGACCAAGACCGGGTGCAGCTGGACGCCCCGACGCCCTCTTCCCCCGCGCCCCCCGCGCCCCCGAGCGCACGCCCGCCGCACTCATCCGAGCGAGAGAGAGAGAGAGAGAGAGAGGGGAGACGGCGGCCTGACGGCGGCGGCCGCGCTGCAAGCCGAGCAAAGTGCGTGCGAACACTGACTGTTTCCACACCGCCGAACGGACGGACGGGACCGGGCCGCCATCGCCGCCATCAGGCGAACGGGCGTCGTCGGCCAATCGCCTGCAGCCTGCAGCGAGCCGGGTAGGCCGGCCAGCGCAGCGCGCGCGTCCTGCGGGCCGGCCCGCCTCCCAGGCGCCCTGCGCAGCCCTGCGCCAGCCAAGCTGTGCCAGAGAAGTGTCCACGTCGAGTCCACGTCGAGTCCACGTCCCGGACGGTCAGCCGTCTGATTCCGAGCACTGCTTTCGTCGCTCTGTCTCTCTCGCACTCCTGGGGCGGTCCGTAGGGGTGCGAGAGAGACAGCGACGAAGCAGTGTTCAGAATCAGACGGCAGACGGCGGTCTTACCGGGCAGCAAGCAGACCGCCCGCGCCACCCTGCGCACCCTCTGGACTGCCGAAGCAGAGCAGGGCGCCGTCGAACGCGTTGCACCTGCCGCCCAGCCTCGCCCCCGCGGCGTGCACGGTGCACGGTCCGTGGACCGGAGGTGAAGTCCGGCCAGCGTGTGCCGTGCCGCCGTGCCGCGCCCATTGGCCAGCCCGTGCAATTGCGTCACGCGGGGGCCGGGCGGCGGGGCGGCGGGCGGCGGGGCGGCGGGGTCTTAAGGGATCGCCGCCGTGATGTAACAGGTGTCAGGCCGGGGGCAGACGGGGGGCGGGGGAGGGGTCAGCTGTTCTGTGTTTATGACTGGAAACGGCGGGGCGGCGGGCGGCTGGGCAGGGCGTTCGCAGCGTTCGCAGCGTTAGCCAGGCAACAGTAGTGGTGGCGTTGATCGTCCGCGGCGGGGCGGGACTGGCTGCAATATAACGGTTGCAGAGCGGGCCGCCATTTGGAGCAGGCAGTCGGGGCGGGATGCGAAGTGAGGTGCGGGGCGGGGCGGGGCGGGGCGGGCGTAACATTCCGAGACAAAGTGACGCGGAAGGGGCGTGCAGGCAGTGCAGGCAGTGCTGGCAGTGGAGGACGAGGAGGGCAGGGCGCGCGTGCTGCAGCCTGATTCCCCGTACCGCGCTGCATCGCGCCGTCTCCCTCGCACTCGCGGCGCGTGCCGTGGGGCCCGTGGGGGTGCGAGAGAGACAGCGTGGTGCCGGCGCGTGCATTTGCATGGCCCAGGAAGCGGCAGTGCAGCGGGCCGCCGCTGCATTCGCACGCCTTGCCGGAGCGCCGCCGCCGCCTTGCCGAGGTTCCACAAAGGCCCGGCACACGCAGCGCCGCGCCGCGCCACGCCCCCGACGACGCTCGTTACGCTAGTGACACGCACACACACGCATCTAGATAGCGTGACACGCGGGCAGGGTCGCGCCGCGTGCACGGCCGTGGGATGGCGGTCACGGTTAGGTCCGGCCGGGGTCCGGCTCGGTCCGGCCGCCCTTAGCCCTGCCCTCCCCGCCGACAGTGCACGCGCACGCCAGCCCACACGCCAACGCCCACGCCATCTGCACGCCAGCGCGCAGTCCCGGATAGCGTGCTTTGGTCTCGCACGCAGGGAGCGTCTCGGAGGGGTGCGAGAGAGACAGTGACCAGTGGCCGGAATTAAAGGTGTGTACAATGAGACCTCGTCATGGTGCAGCTAGACGCCCTGTGGCCGCGTTGAAGCTCATGTCTCGGCAGTGCGGCCGGGCGCGCCCACACTGGCCGCGGGGTGAGGGACCTTTGCACTCCGCGGTGGCAGAGTCGCTACCACTCCGCCTCCACCGCGATGAAAGCAGATTCGCCGCGGCACTAAAAGGTCTTTGCATTTGGCGGCCTTGGCGCGGACGCGGCGGTACGCGGCGCGCAGGGGTCGGACGAGACGCGGCGAGGCGTGCCGGCCAACACCTCTTATTTTGGTTTTATTCTTGCCCGCCGCCCGCCGCGCGCTCCCCTTGTTTTCCACTAGAGCGGGCTGTTAGCAACTCCAAGCGCGTCGGCTCCGGCCCGCCGCTTCCAGAACCATCCTCCTCCTCTTCGCGCTCGTCGTCGGCGCTGCGACGTCCGCCGGGGACTCGGGGACCTGCTCTCGGCTGTCCGCCTGCCCTTTGACCCCGCCGTAAAAGGACGCTAAATTGGCGCGTCGTCCCATTGAAAGGTTTCCCTCCGGGTGCGTCTGGCGAGCCGTGAGCACCGCGTCGACGACGTCGTCGCGTCGCCGCGACTGCCGCGACGCCGTACAGGTTCCTGTGGCCTTGACACGGTGCGCGCGCGGTGCGCGTCCCTGGTGGGGGAGTGGGGGCTCGGAAGCAGTGTCGTTCCCCTTCCCAGACGGCCGGCCGGACCAGCGCCACCAGCGCCGCGGCGCAGCCCCGCGCCACGCCGCGCCCCGCATCGGTTACATCACTTGGCCGCTATTACCCTTGTTATGGAAAGTCAACTCGTTCTGCAGCTCTGTGTCTGCGTCCGTCCGTCCGTCCGTCCGTCCGTCCGCCAAGCTCCTGCCCGCCTGCTGCCTTTGCACCTTTGTAGTGCAGCAGGAAATAAACCACTGTGGTCCACAGTGGCGGCGCCAGCGCGCCAGCCAAATCGCTCTGCACCGGGTTGGATTACCGGATTCCACTCTGGTGGCGCTAGGCGCGCTTGGCGCTGCCGAGTGTAGGGCACAGCAGTTATGTCACAGACGGACAGACCGGCCGGCCGGCCAGACGGACGCCACAAATTCAAGCGGGGCGAGAAACAGCTTCGGAAGGTTGAACCACAGGCCTCATTCCGAGCTGAGATGACCCGCTTCGTGAAACGCCTGCGCGGTAGGCAATTCGCCTGACAGTCGGAGTGCAAACTGGACTTCGGAGGCTAGACCACAAATTGAGCGTTTGCCGGCGTGCAAACCTCTTGTTTTTCCGAGTCGAGACACATGCATCTGCAGACTGACTCCCGCGAAGAGTCGTATGCCTTCGTCGTGCCTTCTCTGTCGCACTCAAAGGGGCGCTCCGTTGGGATGCGGGACAAAGCCACCTGACGCCCACTGTTGTCATTTTGCCTGTCGCAGGGAGGAGATGGAGAAAGTGAACGTCAAGTTCCACGACAACGACACCGTCACGTTCCAGCACCGGAAGATCCTGCACTTCGTGCCGGAGCTGTCCAAGAGCATGACCGAGAGGATATGCGTGCCCAACATTCCGCTGCTGGTAAGCTACATCGGGCCGCAAATGCCCATCGGCCATCGGGCCGTCCGGTTAGTTAGGCCGCCGCCAACACCATTCAGGCCCCGGCGGCATGCCGCGCGCCGCGCAAATATTAAATATTAACCGTCCTTGACGACTTCCGCCAAACGTGGAACACCTCCTGGGAAGCGTTCGAAACACAGGCGGGCCCGGCGCGCGTAGCCAAGCGGGTGCAACCGTGCTCGAAGCGAACGCGTCCCGGCTGCCGGTGCGTCTGCCTAGGTGCGTCGGCTGGCCCGCGCCCGCGCAGCCCGCGCCAGTCTCGGCGCCTTATTTGCGGAATTTCGCGCCGCAAATGCTATTTGGCCGGCAGGGCGCGGCGCGGCACGGCACTGAGGCCAACAACCCGCCACGGGGAGAGCAAGCAAGGACGACTGAAAAAGCGCAGCCAAACGGGTGCATGGAAAGCAGCAAGCGGGCTCGGTGCAGCGGCAAGCCGCGGCAAGCAACTGGGCCTGCCCGGTCTGGGTCCGAGCAAACGTCGTCACCAAGGCCAAATATCGCCGACAACTATTTCTCGAATTATTTCGCCACTGGCTGAATAATGCATCAGCGGAGCCGCGCTGATTGGTCGTAAAGCGTTCACGCTGCAGCCAGACCGACCAGCCTCTCCGGATCAAAGACCGCGGTGCCAAAACGCACTCCACGCAGCGCCGCGCCCCGCCGCGCCCGCCGCGCCCCGCCGCGCCCCGCCGCGCCCCGCCGCGCCCCGCCTCGCCCTACCAGGCCGTGACGGCCAGATCGGCGGCCCTGGTGCAGCACGTTCGCCCTGGAGACTGACTCTGACTTCGCGTCCACGCTGCGTCCACGCGTGCCCGGGCGCGGCGCCGTCGCCGCCCGTCTCCCTCGCACCCGCGGGCCGCGCCGGACTGCACCGGGCCATCTGCATGGGTGCGACGGAGACGACCGCCATTTTTTCCGACGCGCGCACGGAAAAAAAGGATTAGTTGTGACAACTAACATGTTAGTTGAAAAGCGTCCAAAGAAGATTTTAGTTTTCACGACTAAAAGTTTGCTGCTCGAACGAATTTATAAGTTGAAACGACTAAGAAACTACAGTTGGCTCAAGGATAAAGTTGATTATTCCTACACTATGTTAGTTGTGAGGATTAACACGAGCGTCACGGAAGAAAATAAACCACGCACAGAAAAAAGTCTGCGGCGGGAATCGAACTCAGGACCTGTCGTTTGTCAATCAGAGACGCTGCCCACTGCGCTGCGGACATTCTTAGGAGACCCGACTTTCGGGCGATGATTTAATCGTCGCTTGTCCTAGCATCGGTCAGTTTGCTGTATCAGCGTCATTGGGCATTCTCCCGCTATCAGCTCACCACAGCGGAGTGGATAGCCTCAGCAGCTCTCAGATCACAGATTCCGCGATCGATACCCGCTGAAGGTTTTTCTTCTACGAAGCTTATTTTCTCTCATGACGCTCATGTTAGTCATCACAACTAACATATTGTAGGCACAATCAACTTTATCCTTGTACCAACTTTAATTTGTTAGTTGGCCAAACTAATATTATTGCTCCTGCAGCAAATTTTTAGCCGCAGCAACTAAAATCTTCCTTGGACGCATTCCAACCAACATGTTAGTTGTTACAACTAATCCTTTTTTTCCGTGCGGTCCTCTCGCGGCTCGGTGCTCGCGCACGGCCGGGCCCGGCCCGCCGTCCAGCAAGGAGCGGTGCACAGCCACGTTATGCAATTGCGCGGGGCGGGGCGGGGCGGGGCGGGGCGGGGCGGGGCGGGTCCGCTTTCAAATGGATTTTTCAGCACGCAGCAATAGCTCCTGCTGGAAGAGGCCACTTCACGTCGCAAAAGGAAGAATAACCGTCTTACCAGTGTCACTGGCAGGGGATTCCAAACAACATTCCCATATTAGTTGTTTTTCTCCCTTTTCTTTCTTCCAACATTTTCCCGCCTTTGATCTGCTGCTGCGATTCTTGTCTCGATTCAAACGACTGGATTGAAAGCTAGCCGAAATGCAGTGAGTGGGCACTAGGCAGGCCGGCCGGGCAGGCTGGCCAGGCGTTTGATTTATTTCTGGCGTTGCGCCACGCCGGCCAAGTGCACACCACCACACCACTAAAACAGAGACAGACCTGCACGGGTTATGATGAAAGGCCACCGGCAAAAAGACTCAGAGACAGCAGCAGCAGCAGCAGCAACAACAACAACAACAACAACAACAACAACAAAAAGGCAAACTGCATTTTTGAGCTGCATTTCGGCGCGTCGTCCAGACCGTGCGTGTGTGTGTGCGCGCGCGTGTGTGCGTATTTAACTATCATCCGAAGGCCGCGCAAAAAAAAGAATCCAGGGAAAGACTAAACCGCTATCGCGGTCCGTCATCTTTCGGACTTTTGCCTTTTGGGTTAGCGTGGTTTGGCTGACTCCGCCTTGCTCTTCCAGACGCTGGCCACGCAGAGCAGGCACATGCCGTGGGGGGTGCAGGCGGCCATGTCCGTCCTGGTGCGCGGCATGGACAACTTCGTGACGGTGACGCCCGAGCAGTTCCTCTTCGGCTACGACGACGCCCTCGTCACCCTGGCCAACATCGCCAACACCCTGCTGCACATCAACTGGCCCGCGCCCCGGATCATGTCGCTGCTCAAGGGGGTACGTATCGCGGCGGCGGCGCCCAGCAGACAGTGGGTCAGAGGACAAGGTGGAGGCGGCCAAATTCCAAGATGCTTTTTGAGCTCCAGAGTCCCAAATGGGACTGGAACCGAACGCATGACCCCACCAATGAATTGCTCTCCGAACGAGGAATCCGATGGTGGGGTCACACGCTCGGTTCGAGTCCCATTTAGCGACTCTGGAGCTCAAAACGCGTCTAGAGTTTTGGCCGCCTCCACCGGTCATCTGGCCTCTGGCCCACTGTGCGCCAGGCAGGCGGGCAGCCGATGCAGCCCTCCGCCATAACGCCCTTGTCTGTGTTGCAGCGCAACGGCACCCTGCCCGAGGTGCACACCATGTACACGGGCCACGACTCCAGAGCCAGGATGGGCCTGCTGGACAGACTCAACGGGCTGGACCACCTGCCGTTCTGGTCCGAGCCCCCGTGCAACTCCATCAAAGCCTCCGAGGGTACAGTCAGCTGCTGCCTTGCTGGCCTTGCTGCCACAGTCTGCATTGCTTTTCATTTCCATTTCATCGTCGCCTATTCCATGTTAAGCTCGCGTCTTCGTTTTCGTTTTCGTTTCCGTTGGTCGTCGCTTGTCGATTCGCTTCCGCGCGCTTCCGCGGGAAGAGAGCTTTCTTTGTTCGGAACTGCGTCGAGTGCTTCGGGCTTGTGCGGCTTGTGCTAACCGAGCTTCAGAACGTTCTTCTTGCAGACCGAGTCGCGCCGCCCGCTCATCACATCAACTCGCCTCATCCACTTGCCATCCAACCTGTCATGGGTAACTGGGGCCCTCGAAGGGGCGGTTCCCCCACAGCGGCTCCAAAACGGAAGTGCGCGAGTGCGGGGGAGGGGTATGGGAGGAGGGCTGGGAGGGCTGGGAGGGGGATGCCTCGCTGTACGTTCGATTTGGGGGAATGAGTCGCCGTCACTCCAGTGCACTTTGTCGTTTTGGGGGCGCTCTGGCAGCGAGGCTAGGTCTAACTGGGGACCGTGCGTTGCGCGGTGTGGTGTCATAGGTTCGTTCTTTCCGCCACGAGACATCACTCACGAGGACTTGGTGGCCATCTACGACAAGGACCTGTGTCGCGCCTTCCCGCTGCAGTACCGCCGCCTGGTGGACAAGGACGGCATCAGCGCGGGCTACTACACGCCGCCAGACTCCATCTTCGCGCCCTCGGAGGCCTTCCCGGACAACAAGTGCTTTTGTCCGCCAGGGGAGAGCCCCACCGCGCCCTGCGAGCTCAAGGGGCTGCAGAACATCAGCCCGTGTCACTACGGTAAGCGGCAGGACACTCGGAAGGACACAGAACGATAAAACGCGACCGCCGAGGGAGTCGAACCTGCAACGTTAGCCTCCGGACCGCACGCCCCGACCCACGCAGCCACCAAGACAGACCGTACTTGACCTACATGTTGTGTTCTTTCAATGAAGCGGGTCCATAGTGCACTGCCAGAAGAGCCAGAGGCGCGGAGCGGCGGAGCGCGGTCGAACCGGCGAAGGCGTGTCCTGATCGGGCCCAAGTCCGAAGTCCGCAGCTTTGGACGATTGAGTTACGAACGAGGGCGCGTCGTCGCCCTGTCCGACTCGACTCCGCGCCCGGCCGTGGCGGCCGTGGCCCCCGGCCCCGGCGTGCACTAGGACTGGCCTCGCTTCGCTTTCTGGACGTGCTGCCACCCCACGCCCAGGGCCCCAGGGATGACTGCTTGGTGTGTTGCAGACGCACCCGTCTTCGTCTCGTTCCCGCACTTCTTCAACGCCGACAACTCGCTGCTGGAGGCTGTCGAGGGCATGACGCCGAACCGAGACCGCCACGAGACGTTCTTCAAAATCCAGCCGGTAAGTGGCGTCCTGTCGTGTGGACTCCAAGTCGTCCAGACAAGTGTCCCCGCCACTGTTTGCCTGTTTGCACCGAAAAGCCAGTCGGCGCTAACGGCGGTTGCGTGTTTTTGCAGAAACTCGGCGTCACCATGGAGGCCAAAGTGCGGATCCAGCTCAACCTCAAAGTGGACCATGCTCCGTACATTTACTCGGTACACACGTTCCCCGAAATCGTCTTCCCCATCATTTGGCTCGAAGAGGTAAGCTGCGTCGCGAGCACGCGATGCCCCTAGGCGCCCCCAGGCGCCCCCAGGGACGTTCTCGTTCTCAAGCCAATAGACGTGGATTGTCGATCATTTTTGAGCACTGACTCCCACTTTTCCCAGGGCGTGGACGAGCTGACTCCAGAGATCCACCGGTGGGTGTACATCGCCACGACGGCGGCCGACTTCATCATCCCGTCCGTCGAGTACTCCTTCATCGTGGTGGGCGCGCTGACGCTGGCCGCCGTGTTCGTGCGCACTTACAAGGGCGTCGTGTTCACGGCGGAGAACCTGGAGCGCGGCATGGAGGAGCTCCGGACGGGCAGCCATCTCATCATCAACGCCGCGTCGCACGCCGCGCACGCCGCCACGCACCCGTCGCACGCGCGGCACAAGGACCGCGAGCACCGCGAGCAGCAGTACCACCTGCTGAGGAGCACGTCGTCCACGTCGGCCGCCTCCACCACGGCGTCGTCGTCGAGCACCGCCACCGCCTCCACGCCGCTGCCGTCCGATACGAGCGACCAGGTCGACCTGGCCGCCGAGACGGACCCCATGGTCGTCCACGTCCTCAGTTCGTCCCCCAGCCAGGCGCGAGCCGTGTGAATGGACTAATGGTCGCCCCTTCCCCGCGACCACCAGGCCGGCCCGCGGGGCCCAAGGACATTCGCCTGGTGGACATTCGCCCTTCGAGAGTGCGGCGAGCAGGGCTAAGCAGGGCCTGCTTTTTGTTGCGATTGCCTGCCGCCTCGCCGCCTCGCCCTCGCCGTCGCGGCGAACCCCTTCCATTCTAGTCGACCAAGTCGCGGACCGCCGAGGCCCCGCCCCGGCCCCAGCCCCGCCCTGGGCTGGGCGCCCTGCCTGGCCCTGCCGCCGCCGCCGGCAACCCCCGCGGCCCGCGCCGCCCGTCCGCGCCGCTACCACGGCCACGCCGGCGACGCCACGCCTCTACCTCCAAGACGCGGTGCGGCGCGGCGCGAGTCGCAGAAGCCAATTTCGCTTCGCCCGGTTCCTGGACCCTCGATTCAGAGCACCGAGGCCCGGAGCCGTCCTGGACGTCTGATGACTGTGATTCGGCAACGGTTTCCGTCGATTTGTGTCATGCTTCCCTGTCCCGCAGAAACACTCCCGCGCCCGCGACCCACGGCCCTCCCGCCTCCCCTCCATCGCCACCCTCCCCTCTGAACCCCGAGCTGGCCTCGGGCCGCAGAGGGGCGGTGCTGGGCAGCGTGCGGGTGGTTATGGAGGAGAGCAGCGGTGCCTCGACCCCCGGCCGTCGCGGACACCTGGACGCACCTCGTGCAGTGCAGGAGGAGAGGCGGGCCGCCACCGCGCTCCTCCACGTCGTCAGCACTTTGGTCTCATTCTTTGAGCCGCCCGCACCGCCACTACCGCCACGGCGGCAAGGGAAAGGAAAGGGCCGAGGAAGGACAATGACGCCGCACGGCGGCCGAGGCCGAGTGGGCCGAGCCGCGTGCGCGCCGCCGCGATCGGACGAACTTCGGTGCGGACCAAAGCGGCCTTGAGAGCCTTCGCTTCGGCCCGAGGGCGCAGGGCGCAAGCATGCCTCGTGTGTAACGTGCAGTGTGGGAAAAGCGAAAACTGCTGGCGATGGGCTAGTCGCGAAATGACCGTCGCAACTGGAATTGGGCGGGAGCCGTGTCAGCCACAGCTGCCTCCTGCCTCCCAGCGTGCGGAGGTGTCGAATGGGATGCCTACGTCCAAGGCGCGGCGTGCGGCGCGGCGGGCCTCTGCCCAGTGTAGCAGTGTTCGCTGCCAGAGAAACGGAACGGACTACTCTCTTCCACAAAGACAATGGAGTGGTCCTGGTTCGTCTATGCCAATTTTGTCCTCAATCTGTTTGCGCTTACTCAATTTGTAATTTATAAGAAACACAATTTTTGACATGGAGTAAAAATCTATTATTTATTTGTTTTTAAATGGATCTTATGCTCCACCTTAAGCTGAGAATCAAATCAAATCGGAAATGCGGTTGTTTTGGCCGGTCGACTTAAGTGGTTCTTGTTATTGAAACTATTGATCTGAGTTTGTAAGTTTTACTTTGTATGAAAACACGTCTCTTTAAGACAAATTATTAGTGCAAGCGGACGCGTTCATCAAAAAGTATATACAATTGGTAATGTATTATTATTTGTGATCTAAAGTATACATGTAAGATTGAAATGTGATACTTTGTTATGCGACTGACGTGTTGTAATGTTCTGGCTTTGTGGCTCACCTCCTTATTCATGAATGCCTGGTTTCAAAAAAAGAGACTGATATAAAGGTTGTTGTAGTGAGTGTGTTAGCTTACTGAAACAAGGCGATGTAAGTCCTTCTGGAGGTGGGCACAAATGCTGTGCTTAAGTGCTCAATCTTTGTTACCCAACTATGCGCTCATTGTTACCATGTGTCAAGAAAATAAATGCAATATGTCAAACACAGGGTAGTAAGTCATACACTTCCTCTTTGTACTTTACCTTTTAATGGCACATAAAATCAGATACATCTTCACCTACAAAAGTACTAGCAACCCAAAGTTCAAATAGTACACAAAAATAGAATTATTTTATCACAGAATCATAATACGGTGTAAACTTCACAGCACATGTATATTGCACCATGCTTGTCACAACCCTTTGGGGCACATAAATAAAGGAGATTCCACCTTACAGTCTAAGTAATAGATGACAAATTTTTAAATATAGGATTCTGAACGATGCGTCTAAAACCTCTATTGGTCCCAGATCATGGGCAAAAGGTAGAAAATCATGAGCGCCTTCTAAGTAAAAGGGCAAGTAATAAAGAAATTCCTGCAGACATCATTACTGCCGCTCCAAGAATAAATTTCCGATCCCTTTCAGCTTTCTTGGCACTTTGAATCTTCCTCTTCATGCTCTTCTCAGGCCGCATCTGAAATGGGCGTTCAGAAAATAATATTGTTATTAATTAAATTAAGGAGTAAAACAATAATAAAATTGAACATTATCACCAAACTTACAGGGTCCAGTTTCAAGAGCATTCCATGTAACTGAACTTTGAGCAGTTCTGCTTGGGCAAGGGCTTCCCTTGTTAAGATCTTTGCGCCAAAAGCAGCAGAATGATGATTATCTATCATCTGGTTCCTAATGGCAGTATTGTTGAGCCTTCCTCTGTGATTTCGAAGAAGAATAACTAGATTGTTAATATGCTTCACAGTATGGCACATAACTGGTATAGCTTCTTGAACACTGCAACACAAGGTAGTCAAATAGTATTAAAATAAATGAGTGCTTTCAAAAATAAGTTCCTCATGACCAACTATACCGATAAGATCTCACCTCAAAGTAGCATCATCAATGTCATCTTTCAGACCTCTAACTGGGTTTTGCCTTCCTTTCGATTTACGAATGTTGGCAATGCCATGAGCCATATCCTTCCGATGAGCTTTATCATCTATTCCAATTACTTCCAAGTCTTCTTCTGTGAGTGTAAGGAACAAGTTGAAGCCCACATCAGCATCTTTAAAGAGATGCAGATACTGGACCATATTCATGCCAATCAAAAATGTGGCAACAGTCTTGTCAAATATTTCTCTGCAACAGGAATTATTTTAAGTGTGACAACAGTAAAAGTTTACTTAAAACATGATCATAAATAATGCTTACCCATCCTCATCATCTGACGGTAAATCAGCAATAACAGACTCCCAATCGATTGCCTCTTCAGTACATCTCTTTTCAGGTAGCTCTCGGGTGGGAGTGGAGCAACCAATGCTAACATCAGAAACCAAGTCTGGATCTGCTTTAACTCTCACGGGGCTTCCTGAAGGCTTAGCTTCATACGTCTTCACATCTTCTAAGACTCCGTTCATGATGCTATCAAATTTCTGGAACACGATTTAAACGGTAGTTAGAAATGTTAGCAATATGGTAGAAGCCATGTGGTTTGATTCAACGAATGCCACAGAAAAACAATGTCAGTGAGAGGACGGTTTGACTAATCACATTAGAATCAAACAGGTGGCCTGCTATAACCTCTCAAAAGCCACTAGGTTCCAAACAAACACAGGCGTTGATCAATTGGTCCAAAATACATCAATGTCGACTCACTGCAGAAAAGTTATGATGCAGAAATCGGCGAAAATATACAGCAAATTCCACTTACTACAACTAGATTGAGCAACTAAAGGAACCGCCCGTCTTGTGACTAGAAACGGCTTAACTCGAGAAGTGATCTTCGCCGCCGCCACACCTGATCTAAAGAAACCTTCGTGGGGAAGAAAGGGCGCCTTATTTCTTCATGGCAGAGAGAGAGAGACAAGATGGGTCAAGTCTGTAGAGTGAGAGAGAAGGACATATAACAGCAGACGACACCATGGAGACGGCAGAGATAAATCATGCAGTTTTCTTAGACGGCTGTGAAGAGGTTTAAATGAAAAGAAAAATTGTTGGATAGAATAAAGAAGAAATATTGATGTTGTTACTGTAGTATTTTATTTTCTTAAACCGTTATTTTATTTTTTCACAGAATTACAAATCGACCTAAAAATCGATTTACCCGGCGATTATAACAACAAAACCAAACATTTGTTTTTATGTTTTTTGTTGTTTGCAGACATGAAACAAACACTACTAAACCACAATGAATGGATGTTTTAGTGAAAAGTCCCTTCAGCGTTGAAAGCTAAGATTATGGACGGGCCAGAGTACATTGACATCCCCGACGTATGTCGTGTCTGCTTGGCTCGTAGGGGAAATGTGGGCATATTTGAGATGGATGACAAGGACAGCGAGGAACTCCTTGGTTACTCTGTAGCGGATCGTATCATGTCTTTTGCTTGTGTTGAGGTAATTCCCTCTCAGATTTAATCACCTTTCGTTTATTCAGAAGAAAGCATTTCATATGAGCCTCATGATTTCAGATTCAATCCAATGATGATCTCCCTGCCAAAATCTGCTCCCGATGCCTCAAGCAGATAAACCAAGCTTTTAAATTGAAAGCCCAATGCGAATATGCTGATGCCACTCTGAGGGAATTACGCAAGGACACAGCTAGTAATGTGATTTGCCTCTCTGCAGAAGAGGGAAGCAAGGAAAGTTTTAAAGAAACCGTAGGTACAGTTGATGCCATTCTGACTTCTGATCCTGTTTCAGAGGTAAGACTATTTAAAAATAATAATTTATTTGATTCAAACCATTAAAAATTTATTTCGTCTTTCTTTCTTTATAGATTGAGAGTGTACAAGATCTATCTTCTAATGGAGATGAATGTTCAAATGCCCAAGATGTGCTGAGTGCACATGCAGACTGTGATAATGATGTACCTGAAGAAGTGCTGAATGGGCATGCAGACTGTGTTAACGATGCTTCGGAAGAAAATTTGAATGCTATAGACTGTGATAATGATGTCTCTGGAGAAGGCATTGTCCTCTTGTCCACCAGCGCAGAAAACAAATACAGAACTGTATGCAGTACCACCCAACAAATTTATTACCAAAAGAATAATACCAGCGATAAAGTTACTTTCAAACTTCAAGCTCATAAATCTATGAAGCAAATGAGTCAAACAGAGAATGTCATAGTTTGTGCTGAATGTGGAGAACAGTTTTCTAATAAAAGGAAGATGGAAGAGCATGGCCTTTCGTTACCAGGACATCGGCCATTCTCGTGTGAGCTGTGTTGGAAAACTTTCAAACGATTAAGTAATAAGAAGGAACATGAAAAAATGCATTCTGGTGTGAAACAATTCCTTTGTAGTGATTGTGGTGAGTTGGCTACAGGAAAGAAAAATCATTATTGCATGGCCTTACGTGACAAGGCTGAAAAGGGACATTCTTGTGATGTGTGTGGAAAGAACTTTGTCAGTCAGACATCTCTAGGAACACACAAAAAGAGACATAACACTCAATCCAAATTTCAGTGCAAAGAATGTGATAAACTGTACTTCAGCCGGCAAGAGCTAGAAAGACATCTGCGAGTGCATTTTAACATCCGTCCCTTCAACTGTCTTGATGAAAGCTGCTCACTAACATTTTTTTCTCAAGGAGAACTGAACAGGCATTTGAGGTAATAACTAATTGTAAGTATGGAGAGGACTTTTGTCATTTAAAATTCTGTTAATTTTTTTTTTTTTATCTAGATACCATGAAGGTTTAAGAAGGTTCTCCTGTGATATATGTGGACAGAAGTTTTTTGAAAGTGGTCATTTAGCATGTCACCAGAGAAAGCACACTGGAGAACGACCATATGCCTGCCGTCACTGTCCAAAATCTTTCACAGACAGTTCAAAGTTAAGGAGGCATTCCCTGGCCCACAAAAAGTCAACATCCAAGAAAAAGGCTACTGCTCTATCTAATGTCACTACTGATCTAGAAATGACCTCTGATCCAGAAACATGTAATGTAGAATTAGAAATCACAGTACCACAAGAGGATATGAGGCCAGAGTAACTGGTAGATTCATAAATATTGTTTCCATATTAACAAGTATATTGACATTAAATTACTACTATCTTTATTTTCAACCTCATATGAGTTCTACAGGTAAGAATACAATGACCACAATCAAAATTTGTTTGACCAGGAATGGGTCAAAATTAACTTTCAAGCAGTGCTCAAATTTAATTTAAATTGGATTTTTCAGTATTTATTGATACCTGAGTCAAGCAATTACCGGTAAGTATAAATGAAGGTATTATGAATATTTGATCTCTGAGCCCAGGGAAGAAAGAGCAGCTTTGTCAAATTTATAATACAAACTTACTGTACATTCATAAAAAGATATATACAAAATCAAAGTTTTCAGGTTTATTCAGTTTCTCCCAAATATATAGTCTTATCACTCGAACCAGATGCAATAATCGGTTCTTTGGGATGAAAGGCAACATCATTAACCGAGCCATTATGTCCGGGTAACTTGTACAAAATACGCCTTGAAGTTGTGTCCCAAATGTACACATATCGATCAGCAGATCCTGCAGATATTTTGGATCCATCAGGCGACCATGCACATCCTAGAAGATTCTTTTCAAAGTTGTGTTGGTGTCCTGTGATGATCTTAACGCAACGTTCTTGAGGTGCGAAAGGTCTAACATCCCAGATACGGAGCTGCAGGAAAGATAGTAACAAGCTATTAAGATACTTCTCTGACTCAAACAATGCATAGGGGTGAATTAGTCCAACAAAAATGGGCCTACTTACAGTATTGTCCATAGAATTGGAAAGCAGATAAGATCCATCAGGGGACAGTGACATTCCAGTAATAGTATCACTGTGGCCTTTAAGGGTGTACAGAACACTGTTTTTGCGAAGATCCCAGGCCTTGATATCATTATCGATTCCTCCAGAGAAAACCTGCAACAATTCCATATTTAGAATAGCAAATAATAATAAAATTATGACATGTAAAGGAAAGAGAAATTGATTCTTACCTGTTCAGCTGTGTCATTAAATGACACTGATGTGACAGGGTATGTACTATTTAATGACACACACACATTCTTTTTGCGAGGATCCCAAATCCGAACTGAGCAGTCGTCTGACCCACTGCAAATTTGTAATAATCCTCTTCTTGAAACGTTGCAGGAATTGATGAAGCTGGTGTGGCCTTTCAACCTCTTGATGCGGTTCCCTGACTCCAGATCCCACAATCCTATTGTTGAATCTGTGCTTCCAGTGACAATTGTGTTGCCATCAGTCGAGAAATGGAGCTCCATGATTGCTCCGCTGTGCCCACTCATCAGAGAGACATTTTCACAATCTCCATAAACACCCCAAATGTATATCTGTCTATCAAATCCAGCAGAAGCTAAATATGACCCCTCAGGGTGGAACTTGATGGAATAGATCTCTCCTAGCTGCCCCTCCAACAACATAATAGGAGCTTGCAGGTTGGACGTCCGGGGCACTTGGACGACACTCTTTTCGCGACTGTGGATTGCGACAACATCATTCCTGGACTTTTTTGCCACTGGAACGAGACTCAGCTCGTCACCTTTCCTCTTAATCTCCCTAAAAGACATTTTCAGAGAGTATTACGTTAAAAGGTCGTTCGGAAAACCGGCAAATTTCGCATTTGTTGTGCACACACACACACACACACAAACAGAAGCACGCAGACTGAGTCGATCATGAACTTCGAGAGTTACTTTCGAGAATTCGATGTTCAAATGTCTGAATTTCTCATAATTGTTTGGTTTCCCTTTTTGCCGCTAGGCGCGCGCGGGTAAACAAAGCAGAAGTCAAGTCTAGCAGAAGTCTTGTTTCTCAGCAAAGGCAGACGAATTTTGACGCAATTCAATTTTTACGTTTTCGCCTTACGGAAGTGAGCTCAGAGAAGTGTCATCGTACTAAATTGCTGCTCGGGAGTGATTTTTGTGCACAGTGTTGGTGGCCTGTGAGCTCAGTGTGTGAGGTTAGAGTTAGCCATGCTTCGAACTCTGACTTTTCGTACAGCCCGTGCTTTGGCTCGAGCGAGCTCGGAGGCTGTGTCAGCAGTGTCCTGTCCCTGTAAACTCCAGCCAAGGATTGCTGTTTACCGACTCTCAGGCTCAATTCAAGAAGCCCCTTCTAGGCGCTTTCTCCATGGCAGCAGTTTTCTGTTTCGGGCAACCGAGTTGCCAGCCCAAGGGGAAAACAGCAAAGATGCCTCTGATCGTGTCGTCGTAGGGCAAGCAAGTCCTAAAATGCATCTAATGTACACGTGTAAAGTGTGTCAGACAAGGAATCATCATGTCATTTCTCGCCTCGCTTATACCAAAGGTGTTGTCATTGTGGAGTGCAAGGGTTGTGAAAACGATCACCTTATAGCAGACAATTTAGGATGGTTCTCAGACCTTGGAGGACAGCGGAACATTGAAGAGATACTAGCAGCTAAAGGAGAAACTGTGAAGAGGATAGTTGCGCAAGGAGGATACTATGAAGAAACAGCATCTGATGAAGGAGAAAGCGCATCAGTTCTATTACCGAAACCCAAAGACTAAAAGATTTATTCTTACTGTAATTGTTATCTAGTAAGCAATTGTGATAAGAATTTTGTTGGCCATATGTATTAATAAAAATATCCTTTATAACTAGTGGACCCTCTCTTTTTTCTGTGGTATCCCTCTCAATAAAATTTTGGTCTGATTTTTAAATTTGAAAATGGAAGAAAGGAGGAAAATGTGACAATGAACTTTGTTTTGTTTTTTATTACAAAAAAAAAGGAAAACAAAACTTATTCTTAGTGTATAATCATATATTTTATCTTACAAATTTAATATCTTCTAACACATATAACAATACAACTAAACTTTGGCTCCATATTCATCACAGCTAAAGGAAAGTTCATGCTTGCAGAACAGATGGTTTGGTCACAAGGAACTAGAACATTGAAGAGGAAAACTGAAATACACTTACAGATATTTGAAAATATTAAAGGACTGTTTATGGCCTGTCTCAGCTTTCACAACACAATAAGACTGTAATGCAATTAATGAGATAGAAATTACCTATAATATCAAGTGGAAAGCACCTTCTAATTACTATATAAAAACTTAAACATTATATTATTCAGTGAGTAACAATGCCTTTCAACAATCTTCGAACAATCATAGATCTCTCTCATGATTTCGTCAACCTCACACGAGGAAAAGCACCAAAACGAGGGGTACCGTCATTGCCTCAACGCTTCTCAGTCGATCGACGACCACAGTTTTCCACAGTTCGAAAAGAACCTCGCGTCGTGGAGTATCGACGGCAAGAGGCGGCTCCAGGCTCCAGGCGTCTGGGTGCGGCCGAGCTGTCCTAGAGGCCGACGCGGCGCTAAGCTGGCGCTGGCTCTAGTGCGCGGTGTTCTGGTGCAGGCTGGCCAGCATGCTGGTGTCGTAGCCGTAGTGCGAGGAGTAGGACCGGTGCAGCTGCTGCGTCGTCATGGAGGAGGCCGCGTTGTGCGCGTTGTGCGCCATCCCCAAGGACGGCTCGTGCTTGACGAGGTTGTCGAGGCTGCCGCCGCCGTACAGCTTGACGGCGGCCACCGCGTAGAGGTTCTTGATGTTGGAGCACGCCCCCACCCCCAAGGGGGCGCCACCCAGCGACACGCCCCCCACCGGGGAACCGCCCCCCAGCAGGCCGTCGCCGTGGCAACCCAGCATCATTTCACTGCGGGCAGAAAGAGAGGGGAATGGTTACTCGGGGACGGAGGGAAAGTCAACAGGGCCCACGAGCAAGGTGTATTGGGTGGTTCAGTCGGAAACGCAACGAAGGCTGAGCAGTAGCCACAGGAGTTGAATTCCGTAAGGCCGGTAGAGCGCCTGACGGGTAGGCAGCCCAACGCACACCCCGGCACAGCGCGCGACCTGCCTCCGCGCTCCAGGCGCTCCCCGCCCCGCCTCCCACCCAACGACGCCATCCCCTCCCCTCCTCTTTGTCTCTGCCACCTCACCTAGCCCCTCCCTCCCCTCGCTGCTGTAGAAATTTGAGACGCAGCCGTCCCAGCTTTGTCATTGGCTTTGGAGGGTCGCCTGGGTCCCTGGGTCTGGGTCCCCAGCCTCGCGACTCCCTCTCACAGGATGCGCTGTTGGCAGCCTGGCCTCCCCTTCCCTCCCCCTTCCCCCACTGGCCGTGCCGAGCGGCAAAATAACTCCTGTAATCCTCTATTCATTATTGTGATCAAAGAATGAGCAGCCACTGCTTGTTGGAGGCTGCCACGCTGCCACGCTCCGCTTGCCTTTATGTTGGAGACAGTCGGAGACAACGGTGGACGCAATTCGAGCCACGCAACAGCGCCAAGAGCTATTGCGATCGAATCGACGCGTGAGAATACGACCACAGGCCCGAAATGCCCGTCGGGCCGAAACAACTCGACACATATTTAACTATTTTTCATCTAACGGGTTTACCAGGGGAGGAGAGGGCGGGGGAAGGCGGCACGAGAGCAGTCCCTTTGCAACTCCATTTCTCAAAAAAGCCCTTTTATTAAACTCTAAACAAACAACAACACTTAAACATTAAGCAACAATGAACACTGAACAGATGGCCAAGATTAACATCCAGATGAATCCTTCTGCCATGAAGAAAATGTGCCCAGCGTTTTCGGACGAAAATTCAGTCTTTTGAAGGGCGACTCAATGGCTCTGTCTAGGGCCGAAGGTAGCAGTTCCTCGAAGACGTTTTGGGTCACAAAGGGGAGCAGGATAGGGGGCTTGAGTGCGGGCTGATGGGGCTGCAGTGGCTGCATGCTCTCGGTGGAAGGGTTTGCGCTGCGGGGCTGCATGCTCTCGGCGGAAAGAGGTGTGTTGCGGGGCTGCATGCTCTCGGTGGCAGGGGTTGCGTTGCGGGAATGCATGCTCTCGGAGAAATTGGGGTGTTCCCGCCAAGATTGGCACATGTCGTCGTAGTCCTGTCTGTACGGAATATTGTTAATTTCATTTTTAACTCTTGTCTTTTACGTGCCCTTTGATCTAAAAATAAAGCCGTTGCGTGATCAAAATGAGTTTACACGTCCGTTCTCGTGACTCTAGACTTTACCAAGTGGCTTCTAGTGCCGAGTTTCCTTTTCTCACAGAGTGCCAGGGCGAAGGCTGCCCACGATGCCGCCAAATTTGTGTTCGCAATAGGAGCACAGCAAGTGCCTTACCTGCGCTGCTGATGCGGCGTCCGGTCGCGCTGCCTCCGGTTCTTGAACCAGTTGCTGACCTGCGTCAGCGACAGCCCCGTCTTCTTGGCCAGGTTCTTCTTCTCGTCCGGCGTGGGGTACCGGTTCCGCGCGTAGAAGTTCTTGAGGATGGTGCGCGACCGCTCCTTGAAGCAGTACACCGTCTCCTCGCCGTCCCAGATGGTCTTGGGCAGCGGGTACTTCTTGCGCAGGCGGTACTTGTCCACCGCGCCGAGCGGCCGCTGCCTCATCTTCTCCGCCTCCCTGTAGTGGGCCTTATACCACATCTGGAACACAAACAAACATGGTTAAAACCCGTGCAGGCTGATGGGGATGGGCAGTTAGCACAGTAACGCTTTGCCACGGACTTCGCTCACCTCCTGCAGCTCGCCGTGGTAGCGCTGGTCGAAGATGTGCCCCTCCAGGATGCCGTACAGCTCCTTGTAGTTGCCGTGCTCGAAGGCGACGCGCGCCCGCGCCCGCAGCACGGCCTCGCCCTGGCACAGCAGGTCCGTGGGCAGCTTCCAGAGGAAGTCGGCCAGCCTGTGCACGTTGCGGGACTGCTGCAGCGCCTCGCACATGGTGGCTACCTGCAACGCACGCAACCAACGGTATTAGCAGGCGCGAACCGCGAAACGGCACCACAACACCACAACACCACAACACAAACCTGCTCCTCCGTGAAGACGCTCTTCTTGGAGCCGTGCGGGAACACGACGAAGCCGTGCTGCTGCGGCGGCTGCGGGTGCTGCTGGCCGGAGTAGCTGCAGGAGGACGCGAAGGCGCCGCCCTCGCCGGCATGGCCCTGGCCGTGGCCCTGGCCGTGGCCGAGGTGGTGGAGGCCGTCGAGGCCGTGGCCCTGGCCGAGGCCCTGTCCGAGCCCGTCCGTGCTGCTCGAGTCATGGCTCGGCGAGGACGACAAGCAGGGCACGCTCGCATGGACGCCCACCGCCATGGCCTGGTGCAGCGCCATCACGCCGCGCGCACCTGGGGGACCTGGGGCCGCATCACCTGCAACGAGAGGGAGGGGCTGGTTAGATCTTGAGCGCCTTGCTGTGCTTGCTGCGAGGGCGAGGACGGGGCGGAGAATTGAATGCCGGAGCGCTCCCGCCCCGCTGGCTCCCGCTCGACCTCGACTAGCTCGACCGGCGCGAGGAGAGGGAGAGACTCAGAGGCCGCGGCAAGGCCTCTGCCTCGCGATTCGTTATCGCGCTGGCGCTACACTGCAGGCTGGTCCCGAACAATGCCCTGCCTCTCTCGCACCACTGCGGAACGCCCCGAGTGCGAGAGAGAGAGAGAGGCGGCAGCGAAAGTATCGCCGGAATCGGCCTGCTGGCACGGCACTTTGTTGCTCGGCACGCATCCTGTGTTTTGGCCGGGCTATCGGTGCCTCCTCCGCCTCCGCCGCGCCGAGCAAAGCCGAGGCGAACCGCGTCTGCGAGAGCCATCCCTCGCAAGGAACCGCACCACAGAGGTCTTCTACTACACTCCACTACAACCAATAATTAAGAATGGAATGAAAGGGAGAGTGAGTACAGCGCGGTGAAGACCGCCTGACTCACGCGACTAGTCCAACCCGTCGAGCACAGAGGCGCTCGGCGTGGCCTGCCTTGCGGGCGGCTCGCCGCGGAAAGTCTGTTTGGCAGGGAAAATGGAAGGTGCCACTGGTAAGACCGGCAAAAGCAAGAAGGCCACACTGCTAGTGACCGGCGCACCTCACGACGAGACAACGAGAGGAACAGGACCGGGCAATGTTGTGAGGGGAGGGGTACTGCTCACGCCAGCGCTGACTCCATTGCATGCCTGCCGGGGCTGCCGGCCCACGCCGCGTCCCCTCCCGCCTGGTGTCTCGGCGAGAAGAGCTTGCGCGGCGCTTCTCTCATCATGGCGTTGCTTTGTTGATGTCCAGGCCGGACAGCCCGGACACCGTCCACCCTTTCCCACGGTTCGCTTGGCCTAGCTCGGCCTAGCTCGGTCTAGCTCGGCCTACGGCGGGGGAGGGGGACGCGGGGAGGAAGGGGCAGGGCTGGCAGGGCCGAGACCGCTGACGGGACGGAACAGACAGGCGTCACGGGCGCGTCGCGGCCCCTCGCGGACTCGCGGCCCGCGGGCCTCCAGGACGGTGACGCCGCGACCGCGACGCGCGATGCGTTCCCACCGCGGAAGGGCGCCCGGTCGGCGTTCCCGGAAAGAGGCCCCGCGGGGCACCGGCGGCGGGCACCCCAACTGCCGCCGGCCGGGCTGGAAGAGTGCCAGGGATTCCGAGAAAGCACGTCGGGAAGAAAACATCCACGAAAGAGCAGAAAATTTTGCCAAAATGTATCAGAGGCCGATTAATTTGAACATTTAAATTCTTATGTGCCGGAAACGGCGCACAGCCATGGGTTGGAACAGCGCAGGCGAAGTGCCTGAAACGTTTCACCGAGACAGCCCGCCCAACACGAACCAAAGGGCTACGTAGAACTGCTGCTCTCTACCCCACAGGACCGACTCCAGGATGAGGGTAGGGCTAATTCCCCTCCCTCGGGTGCTAGATAGGCCGCCAGGCAGGTAGGCGAAATGCACTACTTGACCCTCCTCAAACCGAATTCGGACCTGCGCCTGTTTCCCCAAACCCCGCGCCGCCCCGCCGAAAAGGCGGGGACGGGCGTTCGAGTTCCATTTCAAAACATAAGCACATAAGCGCAGCCAAAAAGAGCTCGTATTGGACGCTCGGCCCGGGTGCACCTTTTGGTTTGCGTGTCGAGAACAGGGCAGGCGCTAGCTTCTCGCTCCCTCCCGCGCGGGATCCTCGCTCGGTCTTCGTCCGACGCGCTGCCCCCTCCACCACGTCCACGCGCCCTCTCCGCCTCCTCTGCAGGCCCCGCGCTCCACCCTGCACTGCAAGTTCGGCTCCATCCCATAACTAATTGGTTGCAACCCATCCTAACCTAACCTAACGGGCTCGCGACAGATCTTACGCTACTCGCGACAGATCTTTCTCTACTCACGGCAGATCTTACTCTACTCGCGACAGATCTTTCTCTACTCGCGACAGATCGTTCTCTACTCGCGACAGATCTTACTCTACTCGCGACAGATCTTTCTCTACTCGCGGCAGATCGTAGGGCGGTTGACAGACCCATCGGCACGTGACAGTTACGGCCTAACGTGACCAAAAAAATTTCGGTGGGGGTGTTATGAACCCGCACCAGCAGCGTGAGGACCCGCTGCGCTACCCCTACACCATCGGGTTGCGTGGAGGCCAATGGGTCCAGCTGCATGCACTATCCGCCGCACCGCTCGGCGGCCGACTCCAGCATCTGCAGCCCACCCCCCGCCCCCCTCGCGCACGGACGTGGTGGAGGGGGCAGCGCGTCGGACAAAGACCGAGCGAGGATCCCGCGCGGGAGGGAGCGAGAAGCTAGCGCCTGCCCTGTTCTCGACACGCAAACCAAATGTTGCGGCCCGGGTCACGGGGTGAATCATCTTCACTCACACCTGGGAGGCCCAGTATACAGGAGCGAGACATACGGAACTGTGGGTACTTGGAAATAAATGAACGCCGAAAAGCACAATCTCAAATTTTGATATCCACGCTTATGACATTCACATTCAGACGAGTAGGCTGCTGAAGCGAGCCTCGCGCCCCACTCTCTGCCGCTCACTGGACTCACTCAAAGCAGGGCGTTATCCTGATCCGAGTCCACCGATGGCGACGGAGGAGTGCTGAATAATCCAATCCACTTGGGGCTAGTAAAGCCAGTCCTGCGGCTGCACTGTGCGAACGCTGCGCAAAACGCTCGGCGAAAACACCTCCAGGCGGAAGACGAACTTGTCACGCCGTTGTCACACTGTTGTCACACTGCTGTTGTCACACGGTAGTCACGGCCCCGTTCGGCACGGCGCGTTTCGACGTGCGTCCTGCTCACTCGGCGTCCCGGTCGGCACTGGCGTAGACGGGCAGGGGCAGGCCCTGGCGGGGTGCGGGCGGGGTGCGGGCGGGGCGGTCGGGGGAGGGGCGTGGCGGGCCTGTGCTCCGCCGGCCATCCGCCCCACTGCCTGCTTGGCAGCTTCGCAGCCTCCGGGATGGGCCCGCCGCACTGCCGCGCTGCCGCCGCGGCGCTGCCAGCCCATTGGCCGCCTGCACGCGGCGCCGCGCTCCCATTGGCTCCCAGTGAGGCGCGTCCCCCTCCAGTGTGCCAGGCTGTCTTGTCCCTGAGCGCGGCAGGCCTGGCGCGGGTCGCGCTCGGTTCGGGGGATGGGGACGACGGGGAGGTTCGCGATGATGAACCCTCGTTCATGCCGTTCATCGAAAACATCAAAGGCTTTCTAGTTTGTGTTCGTCTGACCCCGCCAGCGCCCAGGCGAAAACAAAATCAGAAAGGATACCGAAAATGCGAAAAGCGCAACGAGAGTGGCGGCGTTGGCGGCGGCAGCGGCACGCCCCGCCTCTCTTGTTTGTTCTGCTCGTGCTACAGTTTTGTCTATCTGCAGGTCTGTCGGGTCTGTCGCCGCAAACAGCAACGGGCCGTCCGCGCCGCGCCGGGTGCCGGTTCGCTGTTTCCGAAACACGCATCCCTTTTGTCCGGCTTTTGTGCACACTGTGTGCACTACATGTTGCTCTCGTTGCTCCCTTTCGGTCCTTTCGGGAGGCTGTGGAATTAGCCGAAGGGACCGAAGGAGCCCAAGGGCAGCCGGGCAAGCCGGGCCGGACGGGAGCATGCCCACAATGGGGCTGGGACTGGCGCACGCTGCGCACGCCCGCGGACAGCCTTTCCTCGAAAACGACAATCGACGACAAACTGTGATACACAAGATGCATGTTTGGAGAAACCTTGGCGAGGGTGGGGCTGATGTTCTATTCTCCTGCTTCGATCGCCCGAAGATGTTTTCGGCAACGTGCCGAACGATCGACGCGCAATTTCAATTTAATTTTGACTGAAAAATGTGTATAGGCCCTTCATTTTTTTTTTACACCTGGCCATGCTTCAATATTTTTAGTTTCAAAAAAGATTTTGGATCCGACTGCCTCGTGGAAATGTACTGCTGTCTGCATTTGTGGACAATTGTGCGCGCGTTGGGGCGAGAATGAGAGAAAGACAGTCTATCAGTCTCACTCTTACCTTCGCGGCACTTCCACGCGGCTTTATGTCCCGTCGCGCGGTGTAGGGTGACACCTTGGTATGTCTTGGGGCCTCCGCTCTGCACCCTCCCCCCTCCCCCTTTTCCACTCCGCCACTCCACCGCACGGCACGTATCCCGTGCTCAAACACCTTCGAGTGGGAACTGTGAACCAAGCAAGGGGTTACCCACTCTGGTTATCGTGTGTACACTTCGTCCAGTTATCGTTGGTAATCACACACCAAAAGTGGCTAGTTTCGCCGCGTTTTTATCGGATTTTGGGTTTTTTACTATGAAATTAGGCCAAAATGCTCTTAGCTGGCCAAAATTATGGACTTTTTTCTAGTATGTTTGTAGGTAATCACTGGTATAATCCTGTGTACACTCCTGAGCTGAGTGGTCAACCCCTTGGAACCACGTTCTATTCAAGTCCGAGCCCGTTCCCATTTTGCAAACAGTATTCACCCATCCTGCGACGTCGTACGTACAAGCGGCAATAAAAGATCTTTCAAAAATTTTAACGAGTTCTAGCAGTGCAAATGTCTTCTAAATTTTGTTTCGATAAGTCTGCGCGTTTTGCACTGGAAAATAGTCAGTGGCCGCGCTGGTGCGTTCGGACGGACGTTCGGCCAATCTGACACATGACCCTTCGCGCTTGGCCACCTGGCCACCTGGCCACCTGGCCCAGCAACCTTGCTCTCGGGGCCACGACAACAACGACCAGCATGTCCGCGACGTGTGTGTGTGACGCCCGAAGCGAAGCGTCAGAGCCGGTGCCCCCCACGCAAACCAATGTTTATCTTTTCCAGTCGGTTGAACGCCGTTCGGGCGCCCAGCCGCCCCGCCGGCCGATTGGGCTTCGACGTGAGTATGCGGCGTAGGCGGTGTAGGCCCCAGTCTCCTCAAAGAGGTGCCGCCGTGGGCCAAGTGTTTTTCTGCTGTGCTGCTTAGTGTGCCCGGGGGAAAAGGGGGGGGGGGGGGCACTGCCAGCACCACCCTGCCGTTCTCGCGAGGACGCCGCCAAAAGCCGCGCTCCGTGGTGGACCCGCCGCCGTGAGTCGCAAGAACGCGGCGCTGTTTGGTCTGGCGCTCCTGGAATGAAATTGGATCCGGGAGGCAGTGGGTGTCCCAAGGTGGCCAATTACGCCTGCACTGTGTGCTCCCCCTCCTACCCCTCCCCCTCCGCAGCGCGTCAGCGCGTCCCGGGGGCCGCCGCTACGCCGCTACGCCGCTCTCCCTGCAGGGAGAGTGAATCGATGAGCGACCAGAGCGACGAAAGCGGTGCGCGGCCACCGCCACTACCCGCGCTCAAGTCTTTGCAGCGGGCTGATTTCCGACACAGGTTTCGCCGCTCTCTCCCTCGCTCACGGGGCGTTGCGAAGCGGTGCGAGTGAGACAGAGTGCTGCCATGGTGCTGCCTCACGCCGCATCCGCATCCTCGGACGCTCGCCAGCGCACCCTCTCACCCTCTTTCAGGCCAAGCAGGTCCAGCATATGTTGCCAATGATTGACGGCCTATTGGGACCGCGGGACCGCGGCGACTGCGGGGTGCGGGAGGGAGAGACGCGGAGAGATTTAACGATTCAACGACATCGCGGGCCAATTAAATTTTATTAACTTGTCGAGGCAACCTTGATGTCCCCCACGCGACCCGCGACGCAAACGCGCAGATTTTGGTGACGGCCCTCGATGGGTATCGTTTTTAAAAAACGTCAAAAACAAAAAGAAACAAAAACTTGCACTTTTTTCCAGTCCGCAGGTGTCCTCCAGAACATTAACCCCGCTGGAATTTTTAAGCCAGCAGGGGCGCACTCCGACTGGACTGGGCTTGCATTGTTTTTACCTTTTACCCTCATATTTTCCCCCTTTTTTTCTGGTGGGGCATTTGTTGCGACGTGACAGCTAGAACGACCCTAACGGGGACGGGGCGGGAGCGGCAGACACCGCGCTTGTGCGCGCCCGAGAGTGGAGTGTGCACGCGCATGGCCGTCTGTGTGTGTGTGTGTGTGTGTGTGTAGGTGTGTGTGTGTGTGTGTGTGTGTGTGTGTGCGCGTGTGTGTGTGCGTGTTTTCTCGCGCAGAGTGTTTCTCTGAGGCAGTTACGCAGGCGTCGAGGCAGCGCGCCGCCAGTCGGCAGCCGAGGGATCGTTTTGGGTGTGGTCCAAAACTTGCTCACAGCGCTGTCAGCGTCCTCACGGTCGGTCCGAAACGCCCGTGAGCGGTCTCCCGTGAGACATGTGACGTCACACTTTCCGTGCTCACGCCTGCTTACGCTGCCCCACCTCCGACCCGTGGGCATTGTGAGATCTCCGGCATTTGCGCGCCAAACAACAAAGGGTCCCATACCCAAGCCATTCATCATTTCCCCCTTTTCCCTGTCCTCCTGTCCTTTTCCTCTCCTCTGATACCTTTCTTCCTAAGCCCTTTCCTTCCCCATTAAAATGGCTTTTCAACTAAATATTATGTTAGAAGATAATAGTTTGTACGTGCTCGAAAATTTAACCGAGGAAGAGGCCCAGCGAGGGCAGCAGGGTAGGTTATCTATCATTTCAGAAAAAATTGGGTTGTTTTCTATTTAAACTACCAGTATTAGCGTCTCGAATTCAAAACACATGCTAAATATGCTTTTCCTCTTGTTAGACGAAGCGTTCCTGAACCATCTGTTTGTTAGAGACAAGGAGAGGAAGACGGCAGTGAACGGTATGAATTTCTTTTGTATTATTGAGGTCATGTATTGAATGCACTATTCCAATACAGTTGTGATTCCTGCATCACAACCATGTCAATGTAATCTCCTCTGACATTTGCAGACCATGATGAAGTTGAAAATCCTGAAATTCTTCAAAATCCTGAAAACGATAATGATTCCGCTAGCACATCATTCATTTGGCCGTATGAGTGCGTACTTCTGCTGCTCACAACCTACGAGGAGTTCCTCGATGAATTTACATCGGGGAAGAGCTCCCACAAGAAAGTGTGGGAGAAAGTTGCCGGTGATATAGCAGCCAAAAGTGAAAAATTAAGAAAAATTAGTGGTGGCCAGTGCCAGTCAAAATTGAATGGCCTCAAGAAAACGTATAAAAAAATTATAGATCACAATGGAGTGTCAGGCAACAACCGAAAGACGTGGCCCTACTTTAAAGTATGTGTTTCTTGTGGATGAGTTAATGTGAAAGTGTTGCCAAAATATTTTTGTAACTAATGAAACTCTTATCGTTGCAGAGAATGGATGAAATTTTCGGAACTAGTGGATGGGCTGAGCCAAAGTCCGTTGCCTCTGAGGCTGGCTGCAGCAATAGTAGCTCCTCAGCAACAGCAACCACCTCTGAACCTCCAACTAAGAAAGTGAAGACAGAAGCTTTGCTGGAGAAGTTTGTGGAGGAGTTGAAGAGGGACAAGAGGGAGCGAGATGAGGAGAAGGAGCAGAAGAGAGCAGAGCGGCAAAAGGCACTCCAAGAACAGAGGGCAAAGCAACATAAGGAGAAGATGGAAATGCTCAGAAGTCTGCGAGACTTCTTCACTGGGGCGAAAAAAGACTAATGTACTCTTGTAGTTCCTAAGTTTATGAGCACTATGCAGGATTTGCACTGCAAGTTCATTGGGTTTGCCATGCGCTGAGTTACATGCACATGGACAAGACCGCAATGCACATGCAATGCAATTACTGTGAATGAAGTGCTGTTGATGTCTAGTCCCTGTGTCATGTAACTCTGCACCTTGCTTCCCAATGAACTTGGGCTGTGAAAATCTGTGATAGTGTTTAGTTTTGATATTTTTATGATTCTGAACTCCCTATAGTCTGTAAGCTTAGTATTATGTTTTACTTTTGTTCCTATAAGCACAATGCAGCATTTGCACTGCGAGTTCATTGGGTTTGCTATGCGCAGAGTTACATGCACATGGACAAGACCGCAATGCACATGCAATGCAATTACTGTGATTGAAGTGCTGTTGATGTCTACTCCCATGTCATGTAACTCTGCACCTTGCTTCCCAATGAACTTGGGCTGTGAAAATCTGTGATAGTGTTTAGTTTTGATATTTTTATGATTCTGAACTCCCTATAGTCTGTAAGCTTAGTATTATGTTTTACTTTTGTTCCTAAAAGCACAATGCAGCATTTGCACTGCGAGTTCATTGGGTTTGCCATGCGCTGAGTTACATGCACATGGACAAGACCGCAATGCACTTGCAATGCAATTACTGTGAATGAAGTGCTGTTGATGTCCAGTCCTGTGTCATGTAACTCTGCACCTAGCTTCCCAATGAACTTGAGCTGTGAAAATCTGTGATAGTATTAAGTTTTTAAGAAGTAAGAATACAGTTTAAGTGATAAACATTTAGTGGATTTTATTTCATCATTCAATTATCTCTCATCAGAAGATTGTTCATAATTCTTTCTCTTTTCAACTTTCCTTCTATTTTTCTATCACCCAATAAAATGCCACGTTCTAGTAAATCTTCTGGCATCTCTTGATACTCAATCAGATCATTTCTCATGATGCAAATATTGTGGAGCACCATGGTGGCCACTAAATACTCTGGGATGTTTTCGATCTTAACCATGGGGAAACACTCAAGAACACTCCTCCACCTTCCCTTCCATACACCAAAAGCTCTTTCTATGGACACTCTTGCTGAGGACAAACAAAAATTAAAGTTTTTCTGCCTGGCTGTCAGGTGGCCATCATCTTTGAATGGCACCATGATGTGCGGATGGATACCATAAGCCGCATCACCAATAAGGTGCGAATCATTTGGGAAATAAACATCAGGATTTGTTACATACTGGGCTACAGGGGATAGTCTGAACACTCTGGCATCATGCACTGAGCCAGCATGACCTGCGTAAACACTGGTGAACTGCAGGTCGTGGGTGCAGACAGCCTAGAAAAATAGCACAATACAAAATTAAATGTCAGTCATCAAAGTTGGGACCGATTTGATCAACTAGAAATTATACTGATGATACCTGTATTTGTATAGAAGGATACCCTTTTCTATTCACATATGCCTGGTGTTGGTCATCTTGTGGCTGCTTAATCTCCACGTGCGTCCCATCAATAGCTCCTATTGCTCCTGGGAAGGCACTGTGCTTTTCGAAGTCTGTGGTTACTCGAGCTGCTCGCTCACCCTGAGGCCACTGGATGAAGCGAGGAGCGATTTCATGCAGAGCTTTTGAAACTCTACGCATGATGCGTATACTTGTGGCCTTTCCCACATTAAATCTTGAGTGAACAGATCTTGAAAATTTAATTTGTGATGCATACATGAAGAATTTAAAATAGAAAAAACAACCAATGAGAAGAAGAAGAGAACTTTCATTACCGGTAGCTATTCGGCGTAGCCATCATCCACAAAGCCATCAGTAATTGGGTACGGGCTGGTGTCTGTGGCCTCCCTGTAGATCCCACTCTGTGAAGACGAGGGCCAATGAGTTCCAGAACATACTCAAATGTTGCGGGAAGCAATCTACACACAAAAAGAAAGAAAAACATCAGGGCTGGAGAGCAGTCAAGGCACTGAGACTATCAGCACAAAGTCAGGTTAAGTGCACAGGAAACTTGTGGGTACGCACCTAAAATGAGACTTAAACTCCGCGTCCGTGTATTTTGGAACAATATTTTCAACATAACCCTCAATTTGGGGTCTTTTATTAAGTGGGCCTCTCTTTTTGGTCAGGCAAATTGCCCCTGCGAGAGCTTTGAGGGTGCTCGCTTCATCCTCGCTGCTCGACGATGAGTCTTGATCTTCAATGTCTTCTTCAGAAGAAGAACTTTCGGTCACCTCTCTGATGATTTGGAGCAGCGCAATAGATTTTGGATCCATCGCGCTGAGATCCACGTTACCAAGAGGTTAGAATTTTCCAAACAAACACGTAGCGACGCTTACGGTCGGTCCGAAACGACTACTGCTGCAGGCACGCTAACGATTCGGACCACATTTCGTGAGCGTGAGCGCTGTGAGCACCGTGAGTGAGTTTTGGACCACACCCTTTGTCGCTCTGTTTCTCTCGCACTCATGGGAGCGCCCCCGTGAGTGCGAGAGAGACAGAGCGACGGAACGATCCTTGAGACGGCAGGGCACCGCACACGGCGAGGCACGGCAGGGCACGGCACGGCCAGCAAAGGGCCGAGGCCCCCGAGGCCGCCGAGGCACGCGAAAGACAAAAAGTCAAAGACACGTCCATGTGTCATAAATTTACGCGCGCAATAGGACACCCTTTGGGAAGAGGCCGACGAGCCGGGCCGATAAGGACTGCAGTCGGCAAGTGAAAGGACAGGGCTGGGGTGGGGCTAGAGAGAAACAGAGAGAGAGAGAGAGAGAGAGAGAGAGAGAGAGAGAGAGAGACATAAACAACGCGGGCCGAAGCAACAACTTTGGCGATAACAGAACGTGCACCGAGCCGCCCGCACCCCACGCCTTTAGCCAGGGACGGCGGCCCGGTTGACGTTTTAGCAGTGGAGCAGAGCAGGCTGGGCGTTCCGGGGGCGCGGCGCTCGCTGCCACAGGACACCGCCCCGACGCGTCCGCCCGCCCCACCCCGCCCCACCCCGCCCCACCCCGCCCCCCGCCCCGCCCCGCCCCGCCCAGGCCCCGCCCATCTCACCGCGCGGCCCCGTCCCGCGGCGCCACCGTGCCCCTGGCTCCGAACGTGTTTATTGCGCACATTGCGTACCGCCGAAGCTTCGTTCGCCAGCAGTGCCTATGCAGTGCCGAACCGAAGGGGTCCATAAACAATGCACCGCCAAGTGGACCAGGGCTTTCCTGGCATACGCACTCCGACGGTAGAGAATCTTCTGCCAGGCTGGCCGCACACTGTTCGCTGCAAATGCAGGCCGCATGTGCAAGTACAAACTGTCGAGCATTTACAATGTATCATCAAGGGAATACCTCACTCGTCGCGCCCCCGCCCCGCCACGCCGATGGTCCACGAGGTTCACTACACTGCCAGCCGGCATGGCGCGGCGTCGCGTTGCACGGCAATGTGTGTCCGTTCCGGCGGAAGCAGAGGCGCGCACTCTTTGCGCCCCAGCCGCGCCAGGCCAGCCTCCCTGCCGCATGCGCTGCTCGGGGCGTGCGAAGAGGCGCGAGCGACGCGCTCCACACGCAGCCCCAGGCAGCGGGTCGCATGGCGTTACGGAGAGATCATGTTCAGAGACATTCAGTCGCTGGCGCAAGGCGCGCAAGGGCCCCGGGGCTGCAGGAAGCGGAAGGCGGCCAAGAGCAGGCGAGAGGCGAGCAGGCGCACAGTGGGCCAGAAGACCGGTGGAGGCGGCCAAAACTCTAGACGCGTTTTGAGCTCCAGTGTCGCTAAATGGGACTCGAACCGAACGTGTGACCCTACCAATGGATTGCTCTCCGAACGAGGCATCTATTGGTGGGGTCACACGCTCGGTTCGAGCCCCATTTAGCGACTCTGGAGCTCAAAACGCGTCTAGAGTTTTGGCCGCCTCCACCGGTCTTCTGGCCCACTGTGAGGCGGGCCCCGTGTGGGAAAGGCAACGGCATCGGCAAAGGCTTCGCGCCAGCGATCGAACGTCAACCTTGCCGCGGGTCCGGGTCAGTGTCCGCGCGTGTAGAGGGCCAAGTCGGTCCGAGTGACCCGCACCCTCAGCCTGTCTCTGGTCCAGGCTCTCAAGACCAAGACCGGTGCGCCCGCCAAGTCGAGCATAGGCAACCCGCTCGCCTCTCACGCGTAAATGCTTCTCACCCAGGTGCGAAGCGAACCAACGGTTTGACACGGTCGTCCAACAATAACAAACAACAGCAAAAGAAGCAACAGACAAACGTGAAGGAACGCGTGAGGTGTCGGAGGCGCGCACCCTCCCTCGCCGCACGTTGCCACGCACATGTCTCTATGCGCGCAAGTCGCGCCCCCGCCCCAAATATATCACTGCTCTTTCTCTTTTCCCGCTTTTCGCCCCCAAAAAAGTATAGTGTCGACTTATTATTCTGAAACGCGGCAGACAGAAATCTGTCTAATTAAGGGGATAACCCGACCCGGCCGGCTCGTGTGTGGTGCCGGCCAAATTAACCTTGCACTGTGTTCGGTACACTACAAAAAAGGAAGGACATGGTGCCTGGCACACCTAGTGGATGCCCCCTCCCCCCAACATTTTCCTCTCCACCCCCGTCCGTATATTTACGCCCCCCTCACCTTTTCACCCGAAATGATTACAGTGAGCCCGCGTCGTTTGTCCCTGGGTCATCCCCACCACCTTGGCCCCGGTGGGGGCAAAAATGACAATTTTTTTACCGAGTCCTCTAGTTTTTTTTTTCAGCATGTCTTATGTTGGACGCCGAGGTCCAGGAGCACCCACAGTGATTTCTCTTATCGGGACCATCGACTCTTGTCTTGTTCCTCGCGAGCGCTGGCGGTCGGTCCAAGAGCGCAGCAGCGCCGCCCCGACCGGGACGGTGGCCGCGTGGCCGCGAGGCCGCCGACGACGGATGCGCCTCCACCGCGCCGCGCGGCCCGCGCGCTGCTCCGCGGTGCTGACGGACACGGCGGCGGGGCGGCCTCGCCCCGGCACGCCTCGCCTCAGTCTCAGTGCCAAGTGCGCGCCGCCGGGCCGCCGCCGTCGATTCGGAGACACCGCGATGCCGCGAGGCCGCGATGACGGACGAGGCAAAGCGCGCAAAGTGATCCTCGTCTTCCTGTCCCCGCCACCGCGACTGACACGGAGACACGGAGCGAGACGCGCCGACAAAGTTTACGTCTTATTATCTGCCCTCTTCAGACTGATCCCGCAAAGTCGTTTTCGTCGCTCTGTCTCTCTCGCGCCGACAGGGGACTCCCCATGAGTGTGCGAGGGAGACAGAGAGACGAAAACGGCTCTCGGAATCAGTCCTGCTTCATTCACAAGTCGGACAGCTATCGCCGTGCTGCACCGCGCCTCGCGGCCAGAGGGGGCACGCGAGGCCTTGCTCGCCTTCTTTCTCGAGCGAGAGACGCGCGCACCCACATCCAGCTATTACATTACACACACACAAATGTTTTAACCAGCCGTGCAAAAAAATGCAGGTCAGCAGACCAGAACAGGTGGCGCGATCGGGTTCGTCGCAGCCGTGCCGCCGCGCCGCCTCCAAAGCCAGGCCAGGCTAAACGAGCGCGACGACAAAAAAAACGGAACGCCCCGTTTGCGTTGTGTTTTTTCGACTTTTCTTTTTCTCTGGAGCTGGAAGCTCGGAAGGTCAAATATATAGCATAGTGCGCACGCAATCCCGGTTGAGATTCGAAAAGTGAATGAAGACGGTACTCGTGACTCGCTTCCGCACAGCGGCACGACGAGCTGGAAGGCGTTTGAAGCGCGAATTTCGAGACCGTCGGCGTGGCGCGGTGTGGCGCGGGACCAGGGAGCGGGGGCGAGGCAAGGGCAAGGGTTGGGTCGGGACAAATGAGGCGTTCCGAGAAAGGCCCCTCCGGGCCGTGGCAGCCTGCAGCCAGCCTGGCAGCCAGTGGCAGCCAGTGGCTGCGTGGCAGGACGGGCGGGATCTGCTTGTTATCGGATTGCCGTGGGCCCCGGGCAGTTGGCGCTCCCTGTGGACACGGTCCTGGCTGGAACTATAAGACTAACGGGACAGTCATGCTGCCATCAGTTTGGGGTCACTTATTGGCTTTTCGGATCGAAACCCGCCAATTCGCACTGTGCGTCCTGCGCAGGCCCGGCCCTGCGGCAGGTTCATCATTGCGTCTAGCCCCGGGCGGGACTCCGGGCGGGACTCCGGGCGGCGCACCGATTCGCGCAGGGGTCGTCTCGTTGGTACGGCAGGCCAGGGCGGGCCTGGCCGGCGCGACAAAGTACGCGCTTGGTTGTTAAATCGAGCACCGCATAAGGGGATGTTTGGCTTTAATAAAGCTGGCCTCAAAGGGACCGGGGCGAGGGGGAGGGAGGGAGGGGAAGGCGGCGGGGAGGGGCGGGGGGAGGGAGGGAGGGGAAGGCGGGCGGGGAGGGCGGGGGAGGGGAGGGGAGGCGGGCGGGGGGGCGGGAGGGAGGGAGGGGAGGCGGGCGGGGAGGGCGAGGGGAGGGAGCGGAGGCGGGAGCGGGCGGGGAGGGCGCAGCCTCACAGAAACCCGAGACGGCCCTGTTATCACAAGCGTTAATACGCCCCACCCCATCCACCCGCGGCCCCACTGCCCCGCGGCCCGGATTCCAGGGAGGGGAATGCCAGGGAGTTCCCTGCTGCTCCTGGAGGAGCATTCCGCAGCGCGCTTCCGTGGCGGCAGAGCAGAGAGTTCAACCTAAGGCAACTCCATCCATAGTCGCGGGGTGGAGCCGAACTCCGGGCACCCCGGGCACTCCAGGCGTGGCGATGCGACCGCCCAACCCAGCCAGCCCAGTCGCCTGCAGGACGTGTCCGTCGTCGCTGGCCGCGGTCTCCACGCCCAAGTGGCGGGCTCGGCGGCTCCCCCTCCCCCTCCCCCTCCCACTCCCCCTCCCCCTCCCCCTCCCACTCCCCCTCCCACTCCCCCTCCCACTCCCCCGCTCTTGGATCCGCTGCGATTTGACACGCCACAAGATTGTATCAAGCCCTGGCTTACAATCACCGCGGGGAAAGAATGCGACCCGCCCCGCGACCTCGTGGTGGGTGTTGCTGTCGCCCCGCTGTCTCTCTCGGACCCCCGGACGGAACGCCCTCACGATGCTGAGTGCGAGCGAGGCGGGTAGCGACGGCGAAATAACCTCTGTCCGGAATCGTCGTGGTCCTGGCTGGTGGGCGGCAGGCCCTGACCGGTCGTCCCGCGACGCCATGAGAAGTAGCCTAAGGGAGCAAGCCGAAGCAAGCCCGATTCTGCTTCCAGCTTTCGCAGCGTGCCGCCGAGGCGCTGAGCCCGTAATCGGTGCCACCTCGGAGCCCTGCACTGCAAGCCCCGCCACCCTTTGATTAGCGCGTTGACCGCCAATCACGACACGTGGCCTCCACGTGCGAGACCTCCGCACCTTCCGCACCTCCCCGACGAGGACTCCCCCAGGACTCCCCGACGACTCCCCGAGGACCGCGCGGCGCACCCTTCGCTCGTCCTTCGCGTCAACGCCCGCGCACAATGGGCCGTTCGCGCTCGGCTGCATCCCCGCCAAACACAGAGGTGTGTGTGCGTGTGTGTGTGTCGTTGGGGTTAATCCCGTTAAACCAGGCGGCTCATTAGACGCGCCATCCTTATCTGCAGGAGAAGAAGGGGTGGCCGAAGGAGGCGTGATTAGACCCGCGGCAGGGCGGCGCACTCACTCACTCCCATCAATAAAATGATTAAAAAACGAGAGAGGCGAGGAGAGAAAAAAAAGAGCTGTCGGAGTCGTAAAAGCGCCCGCACGGAAACCGCGCCTTTAATTCGGGCTTTTGAAAAATAAACGTAAAAAGCTCCTGATTGGCGGCGGCGGACTGCCCCCTAACGCCTCTCTCCTGGAGTTGGAGTCGAATAATTCAACGAATGCTGCTGCGCCAGAGGCTGTGTGCCGCTGTACCGACGAGTCCCCTTCCTGTTTGCGAGTTCGTCAAGCCGTGCGGTCTTTGGCGGTCTTTGGCGGGCAGCCCGGCCCGGTGGCCCGGCCCGGCCACACGCGGCGACGCGCGCGTCTCAAAGGGCTCCGAGGGCTCCAAGGACTCAAAACAAAAGGACTTGGACGCCAGTGAAATGGCGGTCTGGAATCGCGTGGTGCGGGTGTCGGTCGGTGTGGGTGGGTACACACCCAAAACGTCCCGGTTCGTTTTCCGACTTTCACAGTGTGACCGCTTCTGTTTTGTTTTGCAGAAGTGGATGCAGATTTGTGCTGATTCGGGACGTTCCTTTCCGTGTTTTCGCCACGGCCTGATGAAGCGTCGCGTCGCTCGACCGTTCCCACGGGCCGAGGGGGCCGAGCAGTAGCATCAGCGCTGGGCGGGCAGAGACTGGCAGAGACTGGCAGAGACGGGACGACGCCAACAGGAGCACCACACAGGTGCGTCCTGCTGACAGGGCGCGCCCCTCCCACCACACACACACACACACACACACACACACACACACACACACACACACACACACACACACACACACACACACACACACACACACACACGAGAGAGAGAGACGTATCTCCTCACACCATCGATATATGGGTGCATGTGTTCCGATTGTCAGACTCCCAAGTAGCCCATACAGCCGCGCCTGAATGCTCAGGCCGGTGCTGGGAGCTGCTGGGCAGCAAGCATAGCAACCCAAACAGCAGCAACAACAGCTGGAGTTCGGCGAAGTGACCGAGGAAGCACTTCATATTCACGCCCCGGCCGGATCCATACAAAACGTGGAAACAAAAAAAAAAGGACCTTCCCGGGGCCTGTGCGCGATTCTCGTAAGTTTCGTTTTATTCACTATTTTTGTCAAACTGCGTGGGCTGGCCGGGGAGGACTGAACTCGATAGTTTTCTTTTTCGCAACGAGTTTCGAAACGGCGTCTTCTCTTCCGTGTGGGCGACGCCCGGCCGCGCCAAGGCGATGGTGCTGATGTGGTCCACGCTCTGGCAGACTCGGGGCGACTCGGGGGGACATCCACCTGGCACTGCACGGCCTGGCCGAGGGCTTGGCGCTGCTGGCGTTGCCACCGGCACCCACGTTCGGACGCCGACTGCCACGGACCACGGCAACAGCGCGTTTCGAAAATTGATACCACTGGAGCGCCGGGTTCTCTAACGACGATTTTGCAGTGTTTGGCTTTCTCCCCGGCCGCCGCGGAACCACCGTGGACCACCGCTTGGAAAACAAGCGGGTTGCGTTACAGGGACTAGAATCCGATGACCCGGGCGGAAGTGACGTCGCGGCGCGATCGTGTGTGTGTGTGTGTGCGTGCGTGTGTGTGTGTGTGTGTTTGTACGTGTGTATGTCTGTGTGTGCGCGCGCGCTTTTACTCTGCGCCTTCCCAAATGTTTGTGTACTTTAATTTTCCATGGCTATTGCCCTATATGTGCATAACCTTGCACAATTTAATCAACAATATTTCCAAATCGTGCTTTAATATTTTTTGAAATTGTACACCTTCAATACTTTTTGTTCAAAAAGTCCATGCGCATTTAGCGTGAGGCAACCCTGTGACGCGCTCTCACCTCTCAATGGCGACCTCGCTGCTCGCACCCACCTTTTCCTCCGCTTTTCATTTCGTTCTCTTCTTCTTTTTTTATCGATTTACCTTTTTTTGGGCCCGGAGGATGCGCACTTCTTTATGCGGACTACAAGATTACGCCCTTTTGTTGCGATTACTTTTTCCAGAGAAAACACGGCGACGCGTTGCGAGGCTGGGGGCTAATTCTCGTCTCGCCGCCTTGACAAGCTTGTACACAATGTCCTACCTGGAGCTGCACGCGGCACGGCACGGCACGGCACGGGAGCCAGCTCAATAAGAGGTTTCTCGCGTCAAGACCCCTCTTCTTTCCGTGAAGTGGTCTGCTATCAACTGTTTGAGCTGCGTCTAGTCCTATCTGCGCGTATCCGCGCGGGCCCTCGACGACACCCTCGACACGCTGACAAAGCGGATGCCCCCAATACTTTCCGCCCCAACACCCAGCCCGCCAAGGGATTAGCCGCCAGAGACACGGCAGAGCGAGGCAGAGCAAGGCGGCCTGTGTTTCTCGCGAAGGGACTCGGACTGGATTCGCGGAGGTGACGCAAATCGTGCGGGGGTTGGGATGGCGAAAGAAAAGAATAGAGGATCCTTCGTCGCTCCGTCTCTCTCACACCCGAACGGCCGAACGGCCGAACGCCCCGTGGGCTGTCCAGCTCGCTCTGCCGCACTGAAAGCCACGTGATTCTCCACTCACTCTTTCATGGGTTTTTAAAGTTAATTAATTAATCGTTCTCACTCGCTCTCACGCCTCTCCTCTCTCGGTCGTCTCTGGCTGTGATTCTGTTCGCGCGTCTCCAGATCCGAATCTGTCAGCGAAACTCGTGATGGCCGGGTCTCCCTGGTCTTCCGCTGGGATTCGAAGAAGCGGCGGCAGGCAACGCCACGGCACGGCAGTCGAGGTAGTCCATCCACCCATCCATCCATGCCGGCAGAGGACAACTGCTCTCATCACATGCAATGGGCGACAAGGATTAACCGCTATGCTGTCACAATGACACGCCGAGGACAAGAGGAGAGGAAGGTGCCGGGCGCAGCCCTGGCACGGCCGGGCAGGTGGGAGCGACAACCCCCTCCCCTCCCCCTCCCCTCCCCTCCCCTTCCCTCCCCTCCCCTCCTCCTCCCCTCCCCTCCTCCTCCCCTCCCCAAGCACCCTTCCACGACGCACCCTTTGCTGCTTTGCTGGCTGTCGCGTCGTCACCCCCTCAGGGTCGCCACCACCTCGCACTTCGCAGTGCAGCACATTGATTCCGGGAGCCGTTCTCGTCGCTCTGTCTCTCTCGCACTCGTGGAGCGTCCCGAATAGGTGCGAGAGAGACATGTCGACGAAAACGACTCTCGGAATCGGTCTGCAGCCCCACCGGAAAGCGGCAATGCGTTTTTGTTGCTGTTTCCTTCCATCGCGGTGGCCCGGGTTCGAACACCGCCACCGCGCGTTTTCTGTCCCTCTCGCGCTGCTCCTGGTGGTGCTGGTGGTGGTGGTGGTGGTGGTGGTGGTGTCGTTGGTGGCTAATCGGCGCCACCCATCGGCCAGGCTTGCTGCAGATAAAAATCAGTTCGACGAAAGCCGTCCCCGCTCGCTGTCGCGCAGGCAGCAGCGGCAGGCGTCAGGTTATTAGCCGCATCTCTCGCACCTACACTGCCACAAAAAGAAGTGCAAATGGCGCCGGAAATGATTCGGAAAGCTGGCTGCGCGGACTTTGGCTGCGGATGATAACGGGGTCAGTGTTCTTCTGGGGATGACCTCTACTCGTCGTCGCGGTGGTGGCACCACGGTGGCACACCTACCGTGGGCACGCAGCGCGGCGGCGCTCGGGTTACGCACCGTCGTCACAACTTGTCGTCCTGATAGAGGGCGTCCGAACCGCCGCCGCCGCGACGCGCCGAAGAAAAACAAAGCGCGCGCTTCCGGACGCAGCCGAGCGCGGCCCCGCCACGGCCCCTCCACGGCCCCGTCGTCGCAGTGCTCACGCGTGCCGCCGTCGCGCTGTCTCTCCCGCACTCACAGGCTGGCCCGGAGGGCCCGGAGCGGTGCGAGAGAGACGGAGCGACGAAGCGCTGCTCTTCATTACGGGCCGCGAGCGTGTAATCTCTAAATGGCAGTGGCTGGGGAGGAAACCAGCTGCGAGGAGTTACCCAACCCGCTCCCTCATCCCCAACAAGCAAATGATGACATTACTCTGCGGTGATGTGATCGACTGCCCCCGACGGCCCGGAGGCGGGAAAGGGGGGGGGGGGTAAAAAACAAACGAGTGTGGACGTTTCTGGCTTTATTGCACACCTTTTCAAATAAACAATCTTATCGCCTCCAACATAACGTCACTTTTTCCAACTTTTTCTTTAAATATCTGACTGCAAACTACGAACACAACAGAAACAATTTGCACGCTCGCTATCACACACACGAAGTGATTACACAAACACACATGCACACAGCCTCCGCGCAGCATGTCTGCCAGCCCTTCTGGTGACGCGCACTCATGCACACTCACACTCACATATTATTTTTCGAACACGCACTGCTTACCATCTCCCACCCTTGCAGGGACAATAATTATTCTCAACTCGTAAACCGCAACATACCACACATGCACGCAAACGCATCTACGCGCTCATACACTCACATTTACGCACACAATCATTTTTCTCTAACATGATCACAAAAATGCGCCCCTGTCGGCTCGCATCTTTTTCATTAAAGTACGAACAAAATTAAGAAATTTGCTTAAAATTATCTCCTCTGGGCCCGCTTGGCTTCGCCTGGCTCGAGCGGCGGAAATCACGGCCGCGAGACCAGTATGATATGGTAGTTTTTATTAATTGATCTTTTCAGTCCATGCTTAGTTAGACGATGTAGCTGGTAGAAATGAGGCAGAGATGATTTTCAGAGGAAAGGTTCGTTATAGTTTTCTTTGCGGAGTGCCCGAATGATAAAAGTCATAAGGTGCTCGACGACATTACGAGATGAAAACGCGGTGTGTTCCCAGAAACACAATTCCAACACTTTTGGCCACTTTCCGGAGAAAGTCTTTAAAAATCCTTGCGGCACCTGGTCAGCCACTCGGACCCAACAGTACAGAAAATGTCACGACTGCTTATAGGTAAACACAAAATTTTAAAGTGTACAATTTCTCTCCTTTTTTTACTTTTTATAAGAGATTTTTTTTCTTCAAAATAATTGTGCTTGTTGTTTCACACTAAAAGGGGTGTGTTTCCGGGAAGTCCCTAATTGCAACGATATGTGTTATTCTCTTGTCTACAGCCTACATTTTGGCACAGGATATGTGAACAGTGCGGGAAAATGTAGCCAAGTAGAAGGAAGCGCAGTGAGAAGATGAAAGCTTTCAAAACACTCCCTCTCAAACAAGTCATCGACAAAAATTGTCGAAAGAACGTGCTGCCCTTCGTGTGTTCTCGGCACGTCAAGTTGTCCGCCGAGAGCAACGCCAACATCCTGCACACCTACGAAAGCAGAAGGCACTCCGCTTACTCAAGTTAGTTGCTTTAGGCTACGCGCATATAATGATACAGGGGAATCTTAGTCTACAATTACTTATTTACATTAGATAATATTTGCGGAAGACATTTGACTGTTTCTAGAATTACTTCAAACGTGCTGAAAAGTTGAGAGTTTGCAGGAGACTTGAAAGAAGACAAAATGTTAAGAATTTGGGATGAATCGACTCCGCAACCAGGTCAATATGTGTCAGGCCTACTTCTCGCACTGCTTCCATTGCTCCATACACGAAACCTAATCGACATTTTCGTTTATTCACTCGGTTGATTGTTCTTTCTTCCAAAGTTATGTGCATACGTCTCGTTCTTTTAAAAATATTAGCAGAGTCACCTAGATAAAGGCGAGCATTCACACGCACACTCACGCACTCACTCACGCACTCACTCACTCACGCACTCTCTCACTCACTTTCACTCGCAATCAGACAGATAGCACAAGCAGCTATACCCAAGATGTAACGCAAGCCCACCCCGGCCTACCACACTACCACAGTCCTCACTCACACAACCACGCAATAAAAATCCGTGTGAAGCAACTGGAAAGACACGAAGGTGGCCCCCCCAGAGCAGGCAGCTGCAGTGGGGACTTAAATCTACGCGGGTACGACTAGAGTACACGTTTCAGCGATGGAGGCCTATTAAATTTATATCTTAATTTTTAAATTAATTATAAGCCTTAAGGCACGTGCGTGTTCCCTCCGGCCGAGCGGGGAGGCACGGCTCGTTAGCCTGCCTTCCCGACGGCGTTCGGAGCTACTCGCCTCGTTCTTACTCTTAATCCCGGAATTCATCGCGGAACGCGTCATGAATCCGATTATTTACGACTTTCCTGAGTTGCTCTTTTAAACCTTAAAAAAAGGTTGCATTAATTATACTACTAGTAAGTAAATATGCAATTAACCCGCAATACCATAAAACGATTCGGCGACTCGACTGTTACACTAGTTAAAAATTAATTGCACCACACGCTGTTTCTCGAAACCACCAGTGCGTGAGGGGTGCCTAATCCTAACGGTACCCAAATCACCACCTTAGCTTAAAGACCTTAACTAATTGAGACTGTAATCCTAAAGGACTGTTCTGTCTCAATGGCACTACTGTAGTAATCATGTTCACAGGTGTATTCTTCTCAGCCGAAACTTCGGCTTCGGATCCTTAAGTTCTATCCGTAACTGACCCGCACGGCAGGGAGCTATATACACGTATGTACACTGTACACGGCCGTAGCTGGAGTGGCTTCCCAAGGAGAACAGAAAAGCCGTCAACAGGACCTCAAAATACGCATCTTAAGTCAAAATTAGGTCAATTGAGATGTGAAAATGACCTGATTTTGAGTACCTTGCCCGACCCCGCTCTCCTTGGGTTTCCGTCCCTCCAGCGAGGCTTCTTGTCCGCGTTCGCGTCCGTAAAAATAAGCTAACCACTACAAACTATATCCAGGAGACGACCCGCACGCATCCTGAAGGACGGTCGGCCGCCCCGAGGACGCTACGTTTTGCTGAGCCTGGCGCCGCAGTGTGACCAAAAGGACACGATCCTTAATCCTAACTCTTCTTGTCCCTGAGAATCCTAAGTAGTCAAAAGTGCGCGGGGTGTTTCGATCCGCGCGCCGCGCGAGGGGCGGGTAGGCAATCCAGCTCGCTAGCGGCGGCCCGAGCCACCCCGCTCACTGTATACAGTATACTAGAGGCGCCGAGCACTGAGCATGCAGCAGCATGCAAGAGTCAGCACTCGGCCAGATAGATAGAAGCGAGAGACGTATGCACATAGCCTTATCGATCCCTTGACAAACGACCAAAACAAACAATAACAAAAAACGCGTGGATAGTTGTTGTTTGTTTTACTGTTCCACTCCCCCAACGCTCTTGACCGGTTGCGAAGCCGATAGCGAAAAAGTCATCAGCACTGCCGCTCCTCCCTAACGAAGAGAAAAAGCGCAGGGAATTCCCGCCTCGCGCGTTCCCGCGCACTCCCACTCCCGCCCTCCAGGGCGCCGGGACGCCGGGACGCGTCGCACCAACTTCCCAGGACTACCAAGCGAATTGACACAAAAGTTATCAGGTAAAAATGAAATCGGAACTGCAGAGAGACTGCCGAAGCCACAATGGAGGCCGCCAAATAACGGCTTTGAATACTGCGTAGGTAAAGTTTGCGAGACAAATCTCCCAGTCCGACGCTCGCCGCGCCGACTCCAAGACAAACAAGGTCGAACATATTTCAGCGGGGAATAGTGCCTGACTGCGCAAGTCAAGAGGATGTCGTCTGGGGTACACTTTCCCCAGGGAACAACCCGCCAACTGTTGAATCCCTCCTCAGCCATCCCAAACAAAAAGAAAAACAAATTCCAGCGCCGCGGCGGTCTTCCCTTCTTCCGTCGTCGTGGTCGCGGAGCGTCCGCCTACTCCATGGTGTCGTACTGCACCTTCTTGATCTTGAAGTAGCGGAAGGCGCCGTAGCCCGTGATGGTGCACAGCACCACGATGGCCAGGGTGCTGCCCACGGCGATGGGGGCCGTCTCGTCGCGGAAGGACTGGCCGCCGGGGGTGCACACGAACTCTGGAACGCATTAAGGAATAGGCCAATGCATGAGCTGCAATGAACGAATTACGATGGGACGAGTCGATGAACTACAATGACCATTAGTGGTCAGGAATAAACTGATGAATGGACCAATGAACTCATTAGTAAATGGACCGATGAACTCAACTATGAATGAATGAATGAATGAATGAATGAATGAATGAATGAATGAATGAATGAATGAATGAATGAATGAATGAATGAATGAATGAATGAATGAATGAATGAATGAATGAATGAATGAATGAATGAATGAATGAATGAATGAATGACCTACCTGGGCCGAACTCCCCTTTCCTGAAGATGAAGGGCTGCACGCGCACGTCCCGGAGCAGCAGCTGCACGGAGATGTCCTGGTAGCTCATGTCCACGGCCTTCTCCTCGTCCCGGCAGGAGTACGACTTGCCGACGGGCGTGGGGAACAGCTGCAGGTTCCGGGATCCGGTGCTCAGTCGGAACTTGCGCCCTACAGAGTCAGGGAGACAGCCATTAGTGCACTGAGTGAGGTTGGCAGTTCTAGCAGTGGGGCCTCCTGTCTCACAGCAGAGCTAACTTACCGGGATTCTTGATGTGCTCGAAGACCTTGGTGTTGCCCGTGTCCACGAACAGGTCGGACTTCTCGATGTACCACCGCTCGCCGCCGGGAGTCTGTAATCGAAGGGGAGACACGTTGTTAGCCAGGCTGCGTTCGCTGCGTGCGCGCACCGTGGCGCCATCCAGCGGCCGCCTGCCGAACTGCGCGCCGCGTGCCGCGCGGGGGGTGGCGGCACGACGGCTGCGCGCAGGCTGCGCCGGGAGTATCGGCGTGCTTGCTCCTCACCTTCGTGAAGTACGTCGTCCACTCGAACTTCTTCCACGACACGATCATGGTGGCGTCGTCGCCGCTGCCGCACTCGCCCGTCACCGTGGCGTCGTTGGGGATGTACTCGTCCTTCTCCTGGAACGGGAGGGCAAACGAGGGTTAGCTCCGCGCTCCACTCCGCGCCTCTCCGGTCCGCCACCTGCGCCCCTACCGCCTGGCGTGGGATCGGAAGGGCTAAGGCGGAATCGCACCCGGCATGATTTAATGCGGATCATCCCCCGCCCGACCCTCGGCATTTCGGCCGCGGCCACCCGACCCGATCAGTTTCGGGAAATGCCCGGAGCGGAAACGGCCCCGGACGCTGATTGGAACACATTCCTTGTGTCTCCGGAGTTGTGTGAGTGGGTGTGTGTGCGTGCGCGTGATGAGGTCGGCCTATACAGCAGGCAATCAATCAACGGCAGGCGCCTCGGTTGGCGCTCCAATATAAGAGAAACCATCATCCACGAACGGCCGGAACCAACGGCCCATCCCTCTCCCCGATCCACTCACCGCCATCTCCTCGTGCACGGTCATGAACTTGAAGACGAGCAGCGCGTCCACCTTGAACAGGAGGCAGGCGTTGCCTCTCGAGTCCAGCAGCTTGTAGACCGCGGTGTTGGCGTCCGGCTCCGGGGCGGCTGAAACACGACAGGCACGCGGTTACCGACGCGGCTCGCGAAGCACGAGAGCCCGGAGACCTTCTCTGACCCTCCAACTTTCCTCATACCGACCTGTGGCTTTGGGCGGCTTAGCTGGCTTTGGAGGCTTCGTGGGGGCCTTCTGGTCCTCCACCACGAGCGGCACCTGGGCGGAGAGAACGGTCTTCATTACTTGGCCGAAAACCTTGCATCATTGAAAGCAGTGACAGTGACAGAGAGGCCGGAACCGGCATTTTCCGGGTCGATGGTTGATGGCCGACGACGGCCGCCTGTGCCTTTGACATTTGGCTGCCGAGGCTGCCGAGTGCCGGGGGACGCACCGACGCGCCGCGGCGCGATGCGGCTCTGACGCCCACCTCGCCCACCGCGCGGCGCCCCGCTGGCTCGCATTACCATGACGGCCCACGGCCCTTGACGCTACACCGCGCCGGCGGCTCCGGGGCGAAAAGGTTGCAGCCCCGCGAGCGCCCCGAGCGCCGCGAGGCAGCGTGGGAAGCGCGCGGCCCGCCGACGGCCTGCTCGGTCCGGTTCAGGCCTGGTCATTGTCAGCGCGGCTCAGCCTCCGTTCTCCGCCTTCATTATTCCATGCCGTCGTTCGAGGGCTGGAGCGAAACACCGAATACAAAGTGTGCCGCCTGGAGTCCGCGGAGCTGTCGCGCTGTCGCCGTCGACTTTAGCCCCGCGCTTTAAGGTTCAAAATTGCCCCGTCCCGACGGCGTTTTGTACGCGCCAACGGGGAAGGCCACGACAAGGCGAGTTGGTTCGTCCGGGCTGGTTCGAGGCGCGCGCGGAACGTGCACGCGACTCACCGTGATGGGGTCGGACTCCTCCTCGTCCATCTTGCCGTCCTCGAAGTCCTTCATGTACTTGGGCGTGGTCCGGGGCGTGGGCGGCCGCACCGTGGACGGCGACTTGATGCCCCGCGGCCGCGCCGTGGACAGCTGCAGGGCGTCTGCGGGCAGAGCGAAGAAAAGAAAAGTTTCAACGCGTTGCTTTTTATTGCTCTTAGGCTTCTTCTTTCGTTTTCGGAGGAACAGGAGGAAGAGGAGCAGGAGGACGAGGAGAACAAGTACGCGAGGAGGCGGAGAGAGTGTGCACGATGACCCATATCCGAGAGTGGGGAGGGGGTGGGGGCAGTTGGACGAGACGAGGGGCTGATTTCAGGGCGGGCAATTAGTGCAAACGACCCGTCTCCAAAGGGACACCCGTGGCCTTCTCCTTCCCCTCCCCTTCCCTTCCTCTCCCCTTCCACGCCCCGAGACTCCGGCCCCGCTCCCACACTGTTAGAAGGGGGTTCGATTTTCGAACCGTGGAAAGGCGGTCCCAATTCTCGCCCGGCTCGAAATCGGGCTTAAGTAGAATCGAACCCCGTGGGTCATTTTCGGACGCGGGTTCGATTTTCGACCGCTTCGCCGGCTTTCGGCTCGCGGTCTTTCGTACGGCAGCGCCTGGAGTCAATTAGCAAACTTGACCGAACACCATCACCTTACAGATTTAGATTCGTCTCAAGTAGACAAACCAAAAATGTCAACACATATCATGGGTTAAAATGAAAAATGAAAGAGTTATTCAACTTCTAATGTCTTTTTTACCATTTTTGTACTCTAAAAATCCAATAACTCTTCTATTTTCTATTTTAACCCACAACATGTCTTGACATTTTTTGTTTGTCTTCTCGAGACAAATCTAAATCTGTAAGCAAATGTCTATTTGGTCAAGTTTGATATTTCACTTGTCTCAGCGAAGCTCAATCCCTACAAAGCCGAAAATCGAACACTACCAGAGCCGAAAATCGAACCCTCATCTTGTCAAAATATCGAACCCTGCATGTATCGGCCACCCCGTCCGATTTTCGAACCGAGATGGGTTCGATCCTACTTAAGGCCGTATTTCGAGCCAAGGTGGGTTCGAAAGTCGAACCCTCTTCTAACAGTGCACAGGTGCCCGGCCAGAGCATCCCTCACAAGGGGCCGGGCCGGAACTACGCGCCGGCCATGTTTGTGGGAACAATCCTCGGGCTGCAGGGCTGCTGGCGCTGCCCAGCGCTGCCGCCGCCCCATGGGACGCCGACGGACGCCCACGCCCGCTCGGCCCGCCGACCACACACTCCGACAGTGCCCGGGGAGCTACCCCACTAGAACAAACTCGCCCAACAGGCAAGCACCATCGCTCCCCGTTGCCCACGAAGATGACCTCGGCGATGATGGCGCCCCACAGCTGCTACCGAGGGGGCCACCACTCTCATTTCAGGCGTACACAAGATTACGGGATTACGGGAAATTTACTAGGGATTACGCGTGAAATTTTCGAAAATTGGTTCGAAAACGTTGAAAAATAGCTCAAAAACGTTGAAAAATGACTAAAAACGTTGAAAAATGACAGAATTTTGTCAAGGATTACGTGATTACGCCATGGATTACCAGAGATTACCAGCCAATTTGTACACAGGATTACGGGGGTGGTGGCCCCCTCGGCTGCTACCATACATCGCCCACTGTCGCCGAGCGCGCGGCCTCGGCGCGGCATTTGGCCTGCGGACACTTCACGCCGCTCCGCGTCCCACGTCCCCCCGGCCACTTCCATCAGAGCCGCTGTCTCAATCCGAATCCGAGTGATGGATTGCTGCGTGAGAGAGTGTGTTTGCAACGCACGGCGGGAGTCAAGCCGAGTCAAACACGGCAAACAAAATGCGGGGATGAACGCCGCGGGCGCAGGACACGTCCTCAGGTTGGAGGTCCTCGTTTTATTGGACAGGCTCGACTCTGGCCGCTCTGCTGGATTCACAGCGCGCAATAAGCAATAAGCCCACGGCCTGTCACCTGCTGGGACCGAGCTGAGACGCAGCGGGGGGTCATTATTGTTATTTATGCCACGAGGGGGGGGGGGCACCTGGACCGCACTGCGCCACCTGAAGGCGCACGTTCGCCAAGGCGGGGCGGGGGGGTTTGGCGAGGCGGGGTGGGAGGGCGGGGTTGGGGCGGGGCGGGGCGGGTTTGGCGAGGTGGGGTGGGGCAGGGCGGGGTTGGGGCGGGGTGGGGTGGGGCGGGTCGGGGCGTGACGCCGCGGAATTACTTCCGACGTTGCGGCGTTGTGACACGTGCGCGGCGGGGCTTCCCCGCAAACCTCGCACGAACCGACCGACGACGAGGCCACCTCGCCGAGGCCGGCCACTGCGTGTGCGTGACTGCGTGGGCTGCACGAGGAGCGCCGGCCCTACACCATCGATAGAGGGTCTTGTTTGTGGTCGTTTGTTCGGCCGGACAAAGTTTGCATCGCCAAGTTTCCCTCCGGCCGTCCGGCCCTGGCCAAGGCCCTGGCCCTCTGGCCCTTATTGGCCGCCCTGCAGCGCGGCTGCACTGCCCTAGTCGCCCTACTCGCCCTACTGCCCTCTCCCAGCCTCCCGGCCTAGCCCTGTGACCCTTCGACCTTCGGTCCTGGCCTGGCCTGGCCTGCCTGGCCTGCCGCCCACGCCCACGCCGAAGAGGGGCCCCCGGAAGCGCAGGGGGCCCGCCCCCGGGCCAGGCAAGGCGGCCGCGCTGCCCGGGGCGGTAGGGCTTAGGCGCTCCCCGGGCCGCGGGTCCCCGCGGGCCCGGCCACCTGGCTTGCAGGCGTCCCCGGGGCCGGGCCCCCGGCGGGCTCATTTTCCTGGCCTTTTTCCGTCCTCCTCCGGGGGCCCCCCGGGGTGACCCGCCAAAGAGCCCCCAGCCAAAACGGATTTGCTCAATTGTAAACTCGCTTGCACATATCTGTTTTCCGATTCCCTCTTCTTTTTGGGGATTCCCGGGCTCGGCGGGGCTTGCCGTTTTCTGTTTTACTGCTACCCCTGCGGGAATAGAAGACGCGGCGGTGAAGGCGAAGGCCGGAGTGGCCCCCACCCCACCCCAACCCGTCCCCTCGAGCGGCGAATAAATGTCAGGCAGAGAGTGAATCACAAGGAGCCCCGCGCTGGCGGCGCGCTGGCGGCGTGCGGGTGAAAGGGCACGAAAGGGCGGGGGAGAGGGAGAGAGAGAGAGGGGAACACGCATGCATAATGTAGCGCTGTGGACGCAGCGAGCAGCGAGCCTTCCCTGCGTGTTTGAGTTTGAAGTCTCCCTTCTGTGCAGGGCGGCGGGTTGGCGGGGCCAAACAAAAACGATTCCCGAACTGTCGAGGCGCCTCGCCTCGCCTCGCGTCATACACCATTGTGCCCCGCCCCGCCCCGCCCGCCCCACCCTCCGCCCACGGCCGCTGCCCGCTTGTTGCGCCACCCACGGGCACCCACGGGCCGCGGGGCCGGCGGCGGGCCTGCTACCTGGCGTGCCCCCGCCGCCCCCGCCGCCCCCGCCGCCCCCGCCGCCCCCGCACGCGAGCAGATGCGTCACGGACGTATTCTCCTGAGCATGTGTCCCTTGGAACATATTTCGGTGATCGGCAGTGCTCTCCGCTCCGTACTTACGCTCGGAAAAAAGGGGGCAGGTCCTTGAACAGCTCGTGCTTCTCTTTCCCTTCCAGAAGGACGTGACAGTCACACTGCTCTCAGATATAAATCCTCTTGATGCCCCCGGGTACGATCTCCCTCCCCCACCGCCCCTCCCGCTGGACGGGCCGGACAGGCTGGACGGGCGCGGCGGCCAGTCTGGTTGATTCCAGTATTCCAGTAACGGCTGGGCCAGCCTGGGCCATCCTGGGCCATCCGGCCTGTAGACTGACTCCGAGTGGGAGGTTCTCTCTCTCTCTCTCTCTCTCTCTCTCTCTCTCTCTCTCTCTCTCTCTCTCTCTCTCTCGCACTCATGGGGCACTCCGTCGCGGTGCGAGAGAGAGAGAGAGAGAGAGAGAGAGAGAGAGAGAGAGAGAGATATAGATAGAGAGAGAGAGAGAGAGAGAGAGAGAGAGAGAGAGAGAGGCCGACGGACGCACTGTGAGGAATCAGTTTGGCTGGCTCGCTCCGTGCTTCGGCCTACAGGTTCGGCATGCTGGCAGTGTTGGCGGATGGATTGCACGGATGGCTAACTGGCATTGACACACGCTCGCTAATTGCAATCTGGCTCTGAGCTCGAACAACCGACCCGACGGACCCCAGCGGACCCCCCAACAACAACCCTCCCCCAAACGCCACAGCAGTCGCCTGTTCAAATACTCGCCTCGAGCGTTCCTCCTCTACTTTTTCTCTTTTCTTTTTTTCCCTGTCTGCCCCTCTCTTTGTTTCGCTCTCCCCTCCGCGCCCTTGAAAGTTATCCGCGCCGATCCGCAAGTGCGCGGCTGCGCGGCCCAAGGCCCAAAGTGGTAATCAACGCCACCGAGTCACCGGAGGTCCGAATCGCCCCAATATCGATTGCCTGCCCGTTTTGTCTCTCCAATGGCGAGCTCTCTTTTCGCGCCTCACATCATTTTCGGCTTTGCAGCGTGACGCAAGGTGTGACGGGACCAGACTAGACCGACTCGACGGCGCCTTCAAAAAATTTGCACCTCTTCGTTTTGCACTCTCTATGCGGCGCGGCGCTGAAACGCTGTCCGTGTCGCTTCCTGGTTCCACCCCAAGGCGCCCTTCTCTTCCGTTTGCCCCCACCGCCACTGCCACCCGCGTGCCGGAGGCGCTTTGGTCGCTGTGCTCGCTTCGCTGCTGACCTATACGTGCGCGTGGGTTATTTATCACGCTGGCCGTGACGTCCGCGACAAGCGGGGCCGTGACGCCGTGACGTCGTGACGTCGTGACAAGCAGCCGCGCCGAGACGAGCCGCACGAAAATAGAGGACACCCTCGCCCCCTCCCCTCCACCGCCGCGCCTCGGCAGACTCGGCGCCCGCAGAAAACAACCCCCGCTCCCCGCTTTCGTACGCGGGTCACGGACGGAGACAGAGAAAGGAAAAGAAAACAAAACAGTGGGGCCCACCTGGAGCGCTTCGCTTAGCTCCGCCGTTCGGACCGGCAGGGCAATTCATTAGCCGCATCTCTGGGGGCCGTAGGGGGTGCGGAGGGGGTGGGGGCGAATGTAGGTCATCTCGGCGCTGCGGAGCTACGCGGAGCAACGCGGAGCGGGCCTACGCGCCGATGCACTTGACGGCGGGTGCAGGCAGGCAGGCTGGCTGGCTGGCTGGCTGGCTGGCTCGCGAGAGGCTGCTCGATACTCTCGAAACGGGCGCCGGGGGCGGGCACGACATACGATACGATGCCGACGATATGGAGCGAGGTGGAGCTGCCTGGCGGCGCCCTGCCCGATGGAAGCACAACAAGAGAGGGGTTCGCGATTCCGCGGGCGCCGCGCGCCGCAGAGATGTGCGCTGACCGGTCACGACGCCGCCGCCGTCGAAGGCAGCCGCGCCGCCGCCGCCGGTCCAAACGGTCGGCGTAATCGGCGCGAATGAAAATTTTGGTGCTGAAGGTCTCTGATCACAAAATACCTCGAAAACCTGAAGTTTCCTTGAGCTAAACGCGTTGTCAAAAATGTGCCATCCTGTCTTTCCCTTATCCTCCCCACCCCTCTCTCCGCTTTGGCGACGAAGTTCATTAAGATGCCGAAAATCTAATATCAAGAAAGTAAATGGTCTTTTACGTATTTAACGTATATATTTGTTAATAACTTGCTGTACTTAAGCACTTATATCATTTTTAAGAAGTGATTGACTAAATTTTGAGACCCTATGGTTGGTAAAATCAAAATTTCTGTCACGCCGAATACGCCGATTACGCCGCCGCCGCCGGCCTTAAATTGGCCAAGCGCCGCCGCCGATCAAATTGGGGTCGGCGCACACGTCTTAGAACGGGGCGCTGCCGCGCTGCTGCGCGCTGAGAGACCCAGCTCCATGGAGCTCCAGTGATGGGGCGGGACACAGCCGCGCAGCGGAGCGGGTTTGCTTTCCACCAAGTTTGTCTACACGGCGGCAGGGCCGCGAGGTACAGCGCAACACGCCACGGCACGACGCACCGCCCGGCTGAATAATAAAGAAGAGGCATGACCTCAGACAAGGAGAGCATCGCCGACGCATACTTGATGAGCACCTTCCCCGCCGCCACTTGGGCCGCGAGAGCGAGAGAGAGAGAGAGAGAGAGAGAGAGAGAGAGAGAGAGAGAGAGAGAGAGAGAGAGAGAGAGAGAGAGAGAGAGAGAGAGAGAGAGAGAGAGAGAGACACCCCGCTCGCTCCATCCAACCCTGCTCCCCGTTACACGGTCGTCACATCCTCGTCGATTGACGTGACCGAGACACATTTTATCCCCCCCCCCCTTTTCCCTCCCCCAAGGTGAATTTCAGTTTTCGTATGGACTATCTTCTGTTGTAGTCTGCCAGTCTGGCCCAGTGATGGCAACTGGATGGCAACTGGATGGCAAGCCCCAGCCCCGTTCTCGCTCTCATCGCCCATCCCACGCCGGCGTTAGGGTTATTAATGCAAAAGCTCTTAGCGAGAGTTCGCCGCCGGTGCGGGCAAAGCGGGCACACCACGCCGCCACACTTTAAGGGATCCTCCCCAATAGGATTGCCGCTCTGTGCCCTGCGAGGGAAGGTCGCTTGCCGCAACCGTTTTCCCGTGAGGGCGTCGCGTTGGACTGCCTGGCCTGCTCCATGTGGCTGCACAAGGGTACAGTACGGCCAGGCATGGACCAATTGATGGATTTTGCCGAGCACGACGGCGAGACAGCGCGCCGCGCGACGCGCAGCAACCCTAACCTCGCACTCCGATACAAAGGTTCGGGACGGAGGGCGGAATCGTGTCCCGTCGGCCCCCTCGTCTCGTCCACACGGACGAGGACGAGCCCGACGACCCGAGCTGCAGCCGTGGCGCGCATCCGGTTCGCGCGCAGAACTCTTTTACCACATTCCATCGATAGGGTGCCTTGCAAACGCCATGCCATGACTTATCTTCCACATGTGGTCGCTACACTGGCGCGTTTGGACGACAGAAGAAGGTGACCCGCTTTGCGCCCTCAGAGGGGATGAAAACGCCACCGCAGTGCAGCCCTAAGGCCCTTGGGCTAAAAGCGAGGCAACGAGTGTCATGGGCATGGTTAGCGCTGCTGCGATGACAGGGGCGGTAGGTCTGGGCTGCTGGGGATTGGCTGGGATGCAGCGAGCGGGACTCTTTGTTCCGCAGTGGACTGGAGGGACTGGAGGGACTCACCCACGCCGACGAGCAGCAGGGCCGCCAGGCCGAGCAGGACGAGGACGGTGCTGGGGGAGGCCGCCATGGCTGGCCTGGCGTGCGAGGCTCTGCCTGTCTGCCTGCTCTGGCCGAGTCGAGTGCGGGGCAGTACGGGGCAGAGCGGAGGGCGTAGGCGTGTGGGGGCGTCGGAGCGCCCCTGCCGCCCTGTGCTGGCGCCCTGTGCTAGCGCCCTGCTGGACTGCCTGGAGCGGAGAGCTGTGTCCACCAGCCAGCCCGCCACTGCCGCCGCAACCGCCGCACTGCCCCCCAGTGTTTCCCCGCCGCCCCCTCCCCCTCCCCCGAGCCTGCAGGCAGCGCCCCCTGCAATCGATAGCGCCACCCCGTCTCCGCGACCCCCCCCTCCCCGTCCAAAAACCACGTAACGCGCCGCACGCCCTGGCGGCCCTGGCACTGAATGGTCTCCCCCTCCCCCACACTCCCACGCGGACGAGCAGGGCACGAACTGTTGAATTAGATCGGACACCACAAAAAGGCATGTTCAGCCCATTTGGACTCGCCACCGGGGAGGAGGTGTGCGCTGTCCCATAAGTTGCCGGTTAGACAACTACTCTTCAAAGTCTCACCTCTGCACCTCCATACCGCCTTGTCCCAGCATGCGAGGTAATTCGGGCTCCCGACGCCCGCACCGCGCACGAGACGTGGCGTGGGGCTTGCGAATCTACGTGCAAGTGCAGCCCGGCTAGTCCCTTGAGCCCCCGCAGGGGAAAAGGAGCGAGATCTAGCAGTCGCAGTCGGGGTCCACCCACGACCACACGTCCCTTCCCTTCCCAACACGTGACTACGTGACTCCAGCATCCCTTTGAGGACCGCCCTCGGCACCGCCAGGGCAACGCCAGGGCACCGCCAGGGCAACGCCGCAGCTGGAGCGTGTTGCCCTCGTCCTCGCTTCTCATTTATTTGGTTCGTCCCTCGTCCCATGCCTCTCTTGGAAGCATCTCAAAAAATTCAGTCTCTGCTTGTTCTTTAAAGTTGTCATGTGGGGTGATCATGGTTGTTTTACTTTTCTTTCTTTGATTCTCAACTTAGCTGAAGCTGTGGTGCAGTTACACTTGGGAAAAGAGGAAATAAAAATACGCAAGAGATTGTGTTTATGACACTTTACTATAAAAATATATTTATAGCATTTTTACATCGACACTTCAGTCACAAGGTTAAAAGCTGTCGTTCCGACACCCCAATATGGGGCTCAATCCTCATTTACTACAACTTCATAAAACTGTTCTACATAAAATATGATACAGACACTGCAAAAAGATGCAGAAGGATGGGTTCGGCTCACTACTAAGCTCAGGAGACAGTCTCCTGAGACAAAAGTTTACAGGTGCATTTAGAGAGGTTCTTTAGAAAGATGCCTGGAACTGACTTCAAATATTCAGTGACGTGACAATGAACAGGTGTATAGAAAAGCCCATTATTACAAATTTGTGATTTAAGGAAAACTGGGATGCTTTGACAATTTTTATGAATTTAACGGCCACGCAGGGGATTAATAATAAATATTTAAATTACATTGTACTTACAACTGTACACACAGAGTCACGCATGCTATTACTTGATTCCACATTGGTACAAACAATATGAGAGAAAAACTATCTCTTCAGAAAATGACTTTCTTTTCTACACAAAATTAAGTATAATATAGTCAGAAAAACACACTTTATACTTTCAAACAATTAATTTGACAAAAGATTTAAAAATTTAGACTTTTATTGTTACAGGGGTAGAGAGGGATGAAGATCAACACTAAACTACACACAGAGAATGATAATGCTTTGTAAAACACAAAAACATGAACAACTTCAGACACACTATACCTAACATTATGAAACTACATAAGTGTCTAAACACATACATTTTTCACATTTCTTTGTTTGTATCGTTTTGTCATTTTTGTGGAATAAAGACAAAGAATGATTACATGGAGCAAATACAAGTTCTGACATTCGATAGAGCAATCAGTAGCAAACATTAGGAACAATAAATACAGAGTACTGACATTTTTTTCTCATTTTTTTGTGGTAAGTTTAAATATTTGTTCAAATCTATCATTTAGGTACTATCATCAAAATGTTAAGTATAATAGCAATAGGAGTAGAAGTAGTAATGGTAGTTGTAGTAAAAGCAACAATAATAATAATAATAAACAACATTCATATTGACAAGCACTAATACAAATGCCTAATACTCTCCATACATATAAATATATACACACCAACTCCACCAGCAATAAAGTATCTCCAAAGACAACTATAAGAGTTCGTAAGTACATCCGAGCAGTTCTATAATTAACAGGTACGAACATTATTTTAACGACTGATACTAGTGAAATGTCATGAGGGTGAAATAGGACTGGAGCTGAGCTACTGCAAGTTTCCTTCGTTCCTGATATGTTCCCTAATTTATACGTATAATAATACATTTTAAACAAAGCAAAACATTTCTTGCTCTTAGATCTGTTGGTGAGCTTCCAGTTTAACGAAAACATTGAAGATGCAAGGCTTCAAAATAGTTCCCACTAAGGTTTTGTTTAGTATGTAATGTCCAAAAAGCTAGTTTTAGACTTATCATGCAGGCCAAATTAAAATTTTGCTCCACTCCCAATCATTAAACATCATAGGCCTGGTCTGGGACTCACATGAACAAGCAAAAACAGGTTCAGAGAAAATCCCACTGAAGTTTAATTGGATTGACTCGCATGAGAGAGAATCTCATAAACAGGTGAGATTCAAAAGCAGTAATTTCTTAAGATATATATGCATCGAAAAACGGGAGAATTGGGGGGCCATGTGACTGGCAGTCACTCGGAAAGCTTATGAGTGAAATCTGTAAACTGGGCAAACAATATGGAATTAAGATTAATGGCAACATGACCAGCATCGACAAAAAAAATTTACTGTAGAGAAATTACAAGGATAACGAAGATACAAAATACAAGAAAAGTAATTAAACAAAAAGAAAACAAGATCACAGATAAAATTAAACATTAACCCCTACCTAATCTTACACTCTTCTAGCAGAAGAAATAGTTGCTCACACACAAACGTGTATGCCATGTTATGTACACTGTACATAGCTTTTTTTTTCATAAATATATGTTACTAATTACATTAAATTTGATCATATTGTTACAAGTTAGCGCATATGCTTAGAAACTAAGTAACACAGTCCACAGCATGAGTACCAGGAACAGGCAGCAACTTGAAAAATAGTGAGTAAACTGGTACCAAGTAGAGTGCAAAAAAAGGTCATGTCCACTTGAATCCATTGGCACCATCACTACAGTGTGTTTATGTTTCACACCTGGTCCTGATATCATAGTTATAACAATAAATGTATTAACATACTAAAAAACTAAATCATACAAGTGCCTTCATAAGCCAGTTGCTCAGTACAGCAAGGGCATGACAGGGACCACAATACCCAGGAACAGACCCCACCCTTCACTGAGATTTCAGATGTAGCTATGTGAAAAGAACCAACTGAAGAAGATAATTTGCATATTGAAGAAGTCCAATTCACCGGATGAAGAAGATAAAATGTAAACTAACAACAAATGAGGCTTTCCAAATAATTTGTACTAGAGAAGACAACATCATTTGTTACACTACAAGCACACAATTTATACAACAAATGCTACAGCATTTTCATGTGGCCACCTGCCTTTAGCATATTGTTGAATGTGAGTTTCTAATTATTTAACAACTATAAATTCACTCAATTGTTCCTAAACTCTGAGGAAAGCCAATCAATCTACATTAAAACACACAAACTAGCATGTTAACACATAGCAGTCTTTCATAATCAATCAAACTTTAAAAGTAAACATTGCTTTAGGAAAAGAAAAAAAATTTGGCAGTTGTCATCTGTTTTCATTCGTTTGAGCATCAGAGAAGCCCATGTGGACTTCATTATTAGAGCTACATGCAAACAAAAGAGTTTTGGACCAGAGGGCCATGAAAAGGTACGTCGACTTCATTTTAGAGGGCTATTATTCTGCCCGAACAGCTTTGGAACAGCTAAATTCAAACCATCAAAATTTAAAAGAAAGAGGGGGAAAACTGCGGTATGACAATTGTATGACTTCAATACCAAAACTCTCCTCGCAAGGCCCCACAAATAATTAAAATGCAACAATTCTACATATGAAATCAAGAAAAACTCTGATTTTCTAACAGAAATTTTTTCTTAAGTGCAAGTATTTACGTACAAGTCTTACACTTTCTTAAATTATCCGAAGCAGAAGTATCACACAAGAAACATGTTGATCTGCAAATCAACATTTATCTATCTGAATACTGCAAATGAAATCCTGTTGCCAACAGGTGGTATTTATTACACTAGCAAATGCAGAGGTAGGGTCAAGTGACTAAAATGAAGAGCAATACAGAAATGACAAATCTTTTTAGATACATTGGCTTAACATTTCTCCATAAAGTGAGTCAATAATCATAATGACCAACACAAAGTCAGCAGTGAAACAAGAAGACAATACGAATTTTACATAGAACTTCAAGAATACAACACCTGCAAAATGCAACTTACAGGGCAGGAGAAAAGAACAAGGACTATTGGACGGCTGTATAGTATCTCATTTCTGCAATCAATAACACTCAAATCTCAGTCAAATTCACAGCTAAAACTGGACTTTATTATTATAAAATAATTTGGTGATTCCTCATGTCTGATGCTTTGGTATAGGTCACACTGGCTGTGTTCCTTACAAAAGTTGCCTGCAATGGAAACTATTCCAGGACAAAAAGGTCCTAAGAGAGAAAAGGGTAAGATACAATAAATTCTAAAATATGATGCTCAGATGAGTTGGAAGCAATTTTTATAGGACTAAAATACATTTTCTATAAAAATGAATGTCTCAGTCCCTTCCCATGAAATTTATTGAAGGCAAAGAAAAATAGTGGCTCATTTTTTTTAAGTGGCTACATAAATAGAGAAAGTGCATTCAAATAAAATGGCAATCTATTATTATTTGCTCAGTAAGGTATGATTTCACACTTTCTTAATTTAAATGGAAGGGCCCACAATTCAGGATCCAGGACCCATTTCAATCAACTATTTGCTTAAAACATCATGGTAACTCATCGATCTGAATTATTCCTGAGATTCTTTAAGCATTGTTGAAGGAACAGTTACACATCTGATGTCAACAAATGGTTCTACCTAATAATATTACGGGCATACAATTTGAAACTTAACCATTGACAGTACATCAATACTACATCGCTTAAAGCTCATTAGGAATCTGGTGACTACTATACTTGTGGTCAGGGGAAATTGGTCAAATCAAAGCTGTCAAGATGAAGCATTCCAATGCAAGACATCTATGCACACCAGATTCACATTGCAAACAAAGTGCACAAAAATACCTATCAAGTGTGAATTTTTAACAGTCATTGTTCTAGCAGCTTGTTGTACAAAGACCACTAAGTCCACAAGATTATATCCCGAGCAGGGTTACCTATGAGTGAAGATCAGTCTGTGGAGCTAAATGAACACCTACCATATTTGGAGTTTGATACATTGAAGCAGCGCTACTGGGTGCAGCACACAAATTTTTATCCATCCCACCTCCATTGATTGTTGCATAGCCATTATGATAATACACAAGGCCAGTGCTACTACCTGGCATATCAGCGGGCATCTGAGTCAAAGTTTGGACAAGAGTCTGGTCATCTAAAAAGTTGTCTAGTAAGCCCTGCGCATTTTTTTCATCAAATAAGCCCTGGGCCTGCAGTTTGTCAATGTCTAACAAACCAGGAGATGTGGAAAGTTTATCTACCTCAAGAAAGACCTGAGCTTGGGCTTGAGCCTGCCCAGTGTTGGTTTGAAGTAAATCTTGAGCCTTGTAATCAAGTAGAATTTGACTACCCATATTCTGCAGTGACTTCACATCTTTATCCACAGCAGCAAGCGCTCTTTCCAACTCTTCAGTTTCTTCTCTTGTGGGCTCTCTGCTTTTGTCCTCTGCTATAAAAGGTAAAACTCATAAGTAAGCAACTGAGAAATGTAATTTGCTGTCTGCTTTCAATATCTATACGTACCACCAAACAAATCAGTAAATGCAATCGATGGAATTTCATTCAGAACATTTGTCAAGTCATGACCCTCCAGGAGCTCCTCTTGTTGACCCAGGTCACCTGCATCCGTCAATTCAGGCAGCTCGCCAGCCAGCTCCAGAGCCTCATCCACTTCAACATCAACTCCACCAACATCTGTTCAAAAAGAAACATGTAATCCTCAAATCTGACCCTAAGAAATTGTAAACTCAAAGAATAGCATCAGCATCTAACTGACCAACTATAGTCTCAGTTCCTCCATTGATTTGTTGCACATTTAACTGTGATTCACTCAATCCTGCAAATGACTCATCAGTAACATAAATTTCTGTACTGTCTTCAGGGGAAGTAGAAGGTTCAAGACCAAGACTTCCATCTGTTAAGGAAAAAGTAGTGTTAATATCACAAAGGGTAAAAATAATTATGAATTCTGTTTCAAACTTTTTGGTGTTCTAGTCAAATAATCAAAAGTTACCTAGACCATCATCTGAGTCTGGACGAGACAAGGAATCAACAGGAAGAGACTGTGATCTCTGAATTCTTGCTGGAGCTTGGGCTGGTGGTAACACATCAGGAACAAGTGGGGATGAAGGAAGAGGAGATGGTTGGCTGCTAGGAGAGGGCTTTTGTTTTTTCTTCTTATTCCGCTTTGTAGATCTCGTCATGGCAGGTGGCTTTGACTTTTTGCGAACCCTCTTTGGTTTTAGTACTTGAGATTGGCGGTTGTAATCATCCTAAGAGAAGCAAAACCAAGCATACAGGTGAGGAAAGGCAAGATTTGCTATAGTACAGAGAACTTAATTTGGTTGGCTACATACCAATTTGCGGGCATGCTCAGAACATAGAGGTAACTCGTGACTTGAATCAAACACAGGAACACAACACTGTGTATTGTCTGAGAACTTGGCTGTGCAATGTTCAAATAAAAGCTGTTCTACATTGTATGTAATGTGACGCACACAGTGATGAGCACAAGGAAGTGCCATGGATGTGCAAGGTTCCCCCTCACCCTGTTTGCCAAACACACACCGCTTTGGCACCAACATAGACAACTTGGACCTGCAAACAAAGTCAGAGACATTCAATGATTTGTCTGATTGGTTGAAAATACATAAACTTATCTCAATCAGCAAATTTGCTCCAACCTTCCAGTTCTATGCCAGCGTTGGTTGTGAGAGAGTAGAAGAGCTGTTTGACTTGGTTTGGTGGAAGCAGCATTAATAACACATTTAGGAAGAGGCAGAGTACCAGGATCTCGTCTGGTTCCCCAAACTTGACTAAGTTTCCGCCTAAACTCATTACGAATTTGTAGAAGACGGCCTTCTCTTTTATCCTCAGAGGCAAGGCCAGATCCTGCTTCCATCCAACCACTGAACCAATGCTTCTGGTACACCAGACCCTCTTCCAAGTCACTGTCATCACTATCAGATTCCACCACTGCAACAAATTATCATAATTGAAATAGTATTCCAAAAAATATTTGCTTGTTATTTTTTGAAACAGATATTAAAAGAAACATACCCTTGGTTCTGCTAAATATGTCATATTTAGACTCTTTACTAGGATGTAGCCGTTGCAAGGATTCATGTTTCAAGGAGTCTCCTGCAACATCTAATTTGATTCTTGGCCGTTTATTTGGCCTACTGATTTCACCTTTCCCACGAGTCACAGACGTAAGAGATCCATTTGCTCCATGTCTTAACAAAGAGTTGCTCTTGGACCCATGAGATGCATTGATTGAAGGTGTTTTAGATGGTTTCTGGCCACCATAAGTAGCATGGGGCTTCTGCTGTTTACTGCATTGTCAACAGAATGCAAAACAAATTATTAAAAAGACTCAAGAAATTTAATTCAACAACTAAATGAGCACAGCACCATACCTAGATGGGGTTCCATTGATTCGCTGCGCAGTAGGCATACTTTTAGATACACCATAAGTTAACGGACCATTGACACCTGGTACCCGGGTTGTGGCAGTAGGTGGAGGGGTCAAAATAGAGGACTGGGGTAACACACCAACCGTCTCCTCCCTCTTCAGTGGCTTTATCGGTTTGTGTCCAAGTAGTTGCTCTTCAAGCAAGCTTCTTTCCTTTTTAACTGGCACATCCTGCAAATTAACATTGGATTTTTCTATATGTACTTCATGTATGACATGCAAACAATGCACTCCTTATGGAAAGTATAGTTGATCAGAAACGTTATTAAATGAAGTGTGAAGTACTTACATTCACACTGTGTCTTCTAGGCGGAACATCATTAGATGTTTTACCAGCCATCTTTCGCTGATGCTTCCCTATTACCATTTTCCGAGCAATTTTATCTTGCAGGCGACTCAAAGTAGTTTTAGATGCATCCTCTGGCTTCCTATGATCCACTGTTGGAATTGTGGCTGATTTGATAACTACATCCTTGGGAGCTCTTTTATCACAAGGCGTCACTCGTGGAGTAACCTTGTCACGAGTTTGGTTTCTAGGCGCTGAGATCTTCCGAATTTTGGCTTTATCATTGCGTAAACTGTTTAAATAAGTGGGGCTAAAAAGAGCTGCAAGCTTATTACTTTCTCTCTGGGGAGTGGTTGGCATGCCATGTTTAACAGGTGAAACTTTGGCGTTTGTAACAACTGATAATGATGGCTGTTCAGGAGGAGGTGGACTGGTCAAATTTGGAAAGCAATTTAATTCTTTAGCAGAAAATGAAGCAAAGGACCGGTCTAATTCATTACGCTTGGGATGAAAGTCATCTGCAGCAGATGATTCTAGCAAGGATGCAAGTGTTGTTTTACTAGAGTTGCCAGAATTTGTAGATGATGGTAACTGAGGAGAGCTTGGATCAAAGAATGCAGGATACAGTCTGGTCATGTTCAGGCCTGTTGGTTCTGTGCTATTACTTCCTGCAATGGAAAAGGAGAAAACTGTGTGAATCATATCAATGTCTAATTTGAACCATATCAACCATCATATAATCCCAGCCAATAGCCAGTAAGTCATACCTCTGTCTGGTTTGCTCTTCACAACACTCCTACCAGAGGGCTTAGCTGCTACCTTCACAGCAGGTGTAGAGTTTGAATATTTTCGTACCGGCTCTGGCTCATTGAATGCATAAGGATCTTCCAGCTCACTGAGATCTGAATGGTCAGTGCGATTTTGGTATGCTTCATCACCATTGCTTTGCAAAAGCCCCCGAAGCCCTTTCAACCGATCAGCAAATTTTGACTGCCCATTGCAAGAATTAGATCTTGGTGAGTCAGGTAGTTGATGAGCGATGACAGGTGACCCAGTGAGCTGCCTAGTATTGGCTAGGTTTGTTGCAGAGGGAGCCTTGCCTTTGCGTTTTCGTTGATCACTTCTTGAATCTTGACCTCCTGCAAGGCCTGGCACATGGCCATTGACCCTGTGAAAAAAAGAGTATTAGCAATTAGGCAGGGGTTATACAATGACCATAATAAGATTTAAATGCAACTGAGCTAACCTTGCATTGGCTCCAACACTTGGACTGAACATTTCTGCTAGATCATTCTGGGATCATCATGGAGTATGAGACAGAACATCCAGCACAGAAAGTTACACTACAGTCCTTTGGTAGGATTGGATAGTTGGAGGTAATTAAACCCATGACCCTGGAGGGTGTCAACAGTTTTTTAAGATTAACGTAAATCAAAACAAAAATTTGCTTTCCTGTGCAAATAAATCTATGTATATACATACCTCCGGTAATAACCATCACAGTGTATTCATACCTGTAGGAATACTGTAGATTAAAAGAGAAATTAAACTTGGATTAATAAAAAATGAAAAAACTAGACAGGTTTTGATAATATTGTCGAGTAAATTTTTTTATCAACATGAGCAGACATGATAATTTTAAAATAACTGGCCAGACCAAAACATAGATGGAAGTTAGGCACCAATTGAAGAAAAGACTAAATTAAATAAAAACTTTAATTCATTGTCTGTTCTATAATTATTTTTTTGCAAGGAAACAGAGCATTGTAAACATTTTCCTAGGGACACTGCATGAACGCAATTACTTAAAATACAGCCCAAAGTGTCAGTCTTTGTTGACAAGATATTGCCATCAGTAATGACAAGGAACAATATACTGAGGAGGTTATGTGTCAGATAATAAACATCAAATTAAGCCAGTCACAGGTATTAGAGACGAGATGCCTAGCCAAACTTCGTAATGAGATAAAGGGGAAAAGAGGACGGTAATTAGAAGCGTGATAGAATCTTATCTTAATTACCGGATGGTGAAAAATCACAAACAAAACAAAACCCCAGGGCCTGAAAGACTGTATATAACATAAAAAGTGGTCTTAAATTACATGGACACCGCTCGTAGGGAATCTATATAAATGCTGTACAGCCGTAAATTTAAGGTTCATGAGGAAACCAACGACGTTGCACCTCCCTCTCACCAAAATCCAGAAATAAAGGAAGAAGACAAGTTTAGGCCATGGTGCAGCAAAGCTAGGTTAGGGCGTCTTTTCATCCGCCGTCAAAACAACATTGCCTGACGGCTGTGAGTTGTACAGCAAAGAATGTGCCACGCAGAATGACCTCACAAAAACTGTGCAATAATTACATTTTCGTGTTAGAGCAAAACAATGGGCCATGATTGAAAAACAGGAATTTTCTGCAGCAAAGTCAGAAATTCTACATGGCTCCCCGCAAAGACGAAGGTCGGTCAATTATCTTGATAAGAGTGCACAAGGGGCTTAACATGGTGCTGGATACATTAATTCTACTTGCCTATTCATTCTTTCAACTTCGGCTAGTTCTCTTAACCCAGATGAATGCTTTGATTTCGTGAAAATAATGAAACAGTATTGATGAATTCTTTCTGTCGAAAATAATGTTGCGCCTACGCAGGGCTGCCACTCCGTTATTAAAGTTTAGTTCTAAAATAAATCCAAAGCATCACACAGCATCGTGTCTGATGAAAGATGAATTTAAAAATAATAACTTTGAGGCATCTGTGAAGAAAACGACTTGTGCTTGCGTGTGCTAGAGGTACATTTTATGCGGAAAACAACATCAATCATAGGTTGCAATCCTGGAAACATTTGTGTCTGTGTGTGAGTGTGTAGGTGTGTGATGTTGTTTTCGGTCGAGTCGAGTCCTTGGATCGGGATCGGATGTCTCCGTGCGTGTGCGTATTTGCGATTTAATTTAGCTGCGCGTGATTGAATTTCGTCGAAAATTCGGTAGAATGCACAGGGGTAGTTTGTCCGCAGCTTTTTAAACGCGCGAGAGTGAGGGAGTGAGTGCTTTGGGTTTCTCACCCCTCGGAACTGCACTCGCAGCGTGCGCAGTGCAAGACCAGTGCCGTAGTGCGGAGTGCGGAAGGTAAATGGTGTTTGGGTTCTGGCCTGGCCCCGTCCCGGCCTCGTCCCCGGGCTTGCTTTATCTGTGCACTTGAGGTGCTTCCAGGCTAATGGCATTCCTCTGGCGGCATGGTAAACGGCGCACTGCCACGGCCGGCCGAAGGGCCGAAGGCTCGAGTTGCACTCCGGACGCGCCTCCTGCCTCCTGCGTAGGAGAGCCAAGTGCCCTTTAAACTTTGTGGTGTTGTAACTGTGTGAGCTGCCAGTTATCACTGACACTTGATCTCTTCTCAGTGTTGATTCAAATAACGAGGTGAAATATTGGAACAGAGCTCTAAACTGCTTGAATCGTGGCTAGAATCAGTGGTCATCAGTGGTTTGTCTTGGAGTTGTGAAATGTCTGAAAGTCATTGTGCCTGGATGTTGTTTACGCAGCTAGTTGAGCGACCACGATTGTTTTACTGCTTCCCTTTCATGGAATCTTATAGGATATTGCTCTCCTTGAACTATGGAAGAGAAGTTTAAAAATACTACTATTCTAGACCCTTTTTATTTCCTCTCAGATACATAAACACTTTCCAATATTGATGAAATGTGTCATTACTGTGTATTGCAACTACCATCTGGACTTATCCAGCTGCCTCTTTTCCTTTCCAGGATACACACTTAATCTGCAGCGATGGTAGATTTATCTTATTCTTCGTCACCTGCCCACTCTGTCTCTGCCACCGTAACATCGATTACCACATCTATTGCACGGAAACCTCCGCCTGCCTCTACTTTAACTGCAATTACATCTCATGGCTCATCCAGCATGAACGACAAACCTGTTGACAACCCAGCTGGTGTCCAAGAGGACAAGCATAAGCAGAAAAAGGTAACTTTGTCTTCCTCTCAAACTCTCACACCTTACCATGCCTTATCATATCTTAGTTGTCGTGTATTTGATGTGTTATAGCTTTCATGGTCCAGACAAGTATGCTCTGGCTTAATAGCAGGTGGTGCTGCCGGGGCAGTAGCGAAGACCACAATTGCTCCATTAGACAGAGCAAAGATCTATTTCCAGGTAAATACTGCACCATTTAATAAATTTGTGTTTTGCTTTGAAAACTTTTAGCTAAGAGTTTGCCCTTTGTTTCTGCAGATTCAAAAGACGCCGTACTCCTTGAGTGGAGTAATGAAGTTTCTGAAGGGAACTTATTATAATGAAGGAGTTTTGGGTTTGTGGAGAGGAAATAGCGCCACCATGGCCCGAATCATTCCTCATGGTGCCATTCAATTCACAGCTCATGAACAATGGGTGGAAATTCTAGGCTTGAATGTTTCTTCACCTGATGATAAGTGAGTACCACATTTTTCATTGCCAAGAATAATATCAAGTTTGGAGTTGTTGCCAATTATTTATTCCCTCTTTTTTTCTCACTCTTTCAGCCCAGCAGAAATTAATTTTAAGAGATTTTTAGCAGGGGCCCTGGCAGGTACCACATCCCAAACTCTGACATACCCCTTGGATTTAGCTCGAGCCAGAATGGCAGTAACCAACAAACAAAATTACGATTCACTTAGAGCTGTATGTGGATCTATAATTTTTGCAATAGTGTTCATTTTAAAGGTTCTGTTTACTATGTCTGTTTCAATGCTTGTAGGTTTTTCGAGTTATGTGGCAAAATGAAAGTGCTTTGGCATTTTATCGTGGATATCTACCTACATTGCTTGGAGTCATACCCTATGCTGGGTTGAGTTTCTACACTTACCAAACGTTAAAAAAGAACTATGGAGGTAAGCAAACTTTTCCATGTTTCGCATTTTATTTCCAGAAGGAAGTGGAAGTCAGTGTTGCATGTTCTGGCACATGATATGTTTAAGGCCTTTGTAATTTGAGTTTTTTTTTTTTTTTTTTTTTTAGATTGGTTGCAAGATAAGATGCCAACCCTCTTTGCTAACTGGACCTGTGGTGCTATTGCTGGAGCTGTTTCTCAGACTGGTTCATACCCATTTGATATAGTGCGAAGAAGAATGCAAACAGCTGCAGTTACTGGGGAACAGTACGATTCCTTTATAGGGTCTATGAGAAAAATATATCGGTGAGTTTTTGGCAGTAAACTACGCCCAAGAGGCTATTCTTTAGTTTTTCATCTAATAAGCATAACATTACAATAATGCACATTTTTATTTTTGCAGGGAAGAAGGTATTAGGCGAGGATTTTATAAGGGCCTAAGTATGAACTGGATAAAAGGGCCTTTAGCAGTTGGCATTAGTTTCGCTTGCAATGAGTTTGTGCGAGACAATTTGAGAAAAGTTCTCTAATATTTCTAATCTTCTCCCTTACTGTCTCAGTTTTCTTTCAGTATGTTAAACAGTACTGAACACTCCCAATTATGAGCTTGTTACAAATATTTTTGACCATCTAATCTGATGGAGGCAGTTATGAATTTGAATCTTATGTTTTAAAAACTGCTCCTGTTAAAAGATGTTTCTTTTTGCCACATTCCTTTCATCAGATTATAAGTGTTGGCCACTGAAGCTCATTTCTTCCAGTCTATTGCCCTCAGTTTTGTTGTGCAGTATGGTATTTATCTCCTTAGTTCCTGTGATATGCTGTTGTATTATGATTTCTTCTTACGAGGAGACCAACAAGATGCATATATATTGTGTTGTTATTTTATTCTACTTGTTCAATTACAATGTTTTGCCTTTTTTGAAGCAATGCCAATTTTTATTTTTTTAGAACTGGTTTTGATGTTGATTTATTTTTAATTGTGACCGATTGTTAAGCTCATACTGTTAATTGATTGTATGGAAAAAATCATATTGAACTCGCTGTGCACAATGGTGCATATTGTGCCTATTTGTGAATTTTCACATGTTTTACTGTGCTAGCATAATGCTTTTGCAATGTTCCAATTTGTTTCCAGTTTTATTGTGGTCATCTACTACCAGTGTTAATTGGTTCTGCACAAATTTTGGTTCACATCTACATCAATTTACATGTCGTTATGAATTTGAAATCATTTTCTTTTTGTGCGTTCCTCTACAATGTAGTCTATGTCTATTTATTTTGTAAACTATGAATGGGAAAGACCCATTGCTCAATTCGTCCAGGCAGTGGTTGCTGTGCTAGTTATAAGATTGTTACTTCATTTGTTATGGCTGTTTAATTATAGAGCTTGTCAAAGCATCATTTTGTGTTAGACTATCTTTTGGGCTCTGAGGTAACTTTTGTGTGTGTGGCCTGTTTATGGTTTTCAAATTGTGATAGCCTTCTTAGACATAGGCAAGCCACATTGAGAAATCCCTATTTAAGTATACAATCAGGTTTTGGTGCTGCTTGCACTTTTGCTTGCTCCAAATAGAGGAAAAATAAATAAAAAGTAGTTTGTGTGGTTGATTGCACATTACCTTTAAGAATGTCATTGATTTGTCAGGTGTGAAAAGAACTTTCTATGTTATAAGATACTATATTCTCAGTAATTACAAGTGTTCAAGCTTAGTAGACTGAAGATTCGGGGCCATAAAATAGAGTTTTAGAGCAATTCACTTGAAGTGTGTTTGTGATGTTATTTGCTTCATCTAAATCTGCAATCTCATTTCCTGGGTTATGGTGTGATTTCTTAGAAGAGTTGTTAATTCTGTTTTTTGTTGTTTTGTTTTTCTTCTGAAAGAAAGAATTGTGATGTGCCATATAATACTTTTAACATTTTACAATGTTGCTTTAAAAACAAAAACATTTATTAAATTTATTTGTAGGTTTGTGTCTACATCGACTTGAAAGCTGCTTGCACAAAGAGCAGTCTTCAGAACTGTTCTGTTCTTTGTCAGCAGTTTTCACTATTTAATGTAATCTTAAACTTCCAATAAGCCCCTTTAATCAACTTAATGTGTATTTTAGCTTTTGGAGAAGTTCATATCCTTCAGTAGTGTCATTTTGGTTTAGATAAAACATTAAATTTTTGGAGGTTTTATTCTTTACTTGAAACTTACTAGTTTTGAATCAAATAAATGAGAGGAAAAGCATATCCAGCATTCAAACAAGCTAGGATGCATAAGACTTATGCAAATTTATTTTATCGGTGTGTATAATCAAGTCAATTACAATTATTACGCTATAACTGGCTACATAAAATAACTGCAAAACTCATGTTCTGAAGACTTATGCAGGTATTTGAATACAGGAGACTTCTGTAAGGCAATAATATTATTTGAAGACTTTGAAGTCTTAAGCAGCTTCCTAGAGCTGTGTAAGATTGTTTGTTTTATGGTGGTGATTCCATGGACTTATTGTAAATGTAATCTACATTAGATTTACATTTTTCAAAGTCACATGTATGTTTTGTTTTAAATCTGAAGTTCTGTTCTTAGCCATCACTTGTTTCTTAATGCATGGTGACATGTGAACTTGATTCATCTTTCGATTGAAACTGACATGTTAAAATTATATGACTATTTCATATCTTGTTCTAAATGTTACTCTTACAATGGTCTTAAATTTGACATCTCTCATAGTTCTGTATTTATTGCTGATTTTTTTTAAATCTTATCCGAAGAGTCAGGACAAAACTACATTTTTTAGTATTTTAGTCAGTCTTTTAAACCTAGCACAAATTTAAAACTTGTCAGGTTTGTTTCATGGTGGTAAACTGCTGTGTATGTGCAATGCTGTGATGACTTGGACAATAACAATAAAAGTATTCATATGTGCAAAGTAACTGTTTTTACTCTCCATGTGGGCACTATTTAATCCCAATCCTCATCTATGATAAACAATCATCTCAGTCCACTTCATGGATAATGAGTAGGCTTGAAAGGGATTGGTTGGAAGTAAAAGATGAAGGCTGACAAGCAACCGGAGCAACGCCTGCCATTTGCCCCGCGCCGTGGCTGCCGTGGCTGCCTTGGCGGCCTTTCCTCTCCTCTCGGTGCTGCGGCGGTGGCGGAGGTCAGAGTCGCAGCGTCGGGCTGGCGTCGGGGTCGCTGGGGTCGGTCTTTATCAGGGTGTCCGAAGTGACCCGCGCCACACCGTATCAAGCCCAGTCAAGCGGCCGCCGCGTCAGCCGCCGGCCGGGCGGCGGGCGCGGGTAGGGGCGGGGCAGGGAAGAGACGGGCAGAATTGGGGGAATCGCAAAGTGCCGGTGACGGGGGACTGCCTGAGGCAGAGCCCCAAAGCCAAGTGGCGCGGAGACCGGCACGGACACCATGTCCCCCCTGCTGCTCATCCTGGTCGCGCTGGCCGGGCGCTGCCATGGGTCCTGGTACACGCGCGCCACCGCGGCGCCGCCCAGCCTCGTCCAGGAGGTCCCGGACACCCTCAACGCGGACGGCGACATCGACCCCGGCGCACCGCTGTTCCTCACGCCCCTCATCGAGAGCGGCAACGTGACGGGGGCCCAGCGCGCCGCCCAGGTCAAGCCATTCGCCGGCAACGTCCAGAGCTATGCCGGCTTCCTTACCGTCAACAAGGTGAGTTTGTCCGTACTCGATCTGCGGCGTGGTTTCAAGTTTCAGCGCTCGCGCCCCGCTCACCCCCATACCTTGACTTCTAGGCCCTGGACTCGAACATGTTCTTCTGGTACTTCCCCGCCGAGAACCAAGCCCCGGACGCCCCCGTGGTGCTGTGGCTGCAGGGCGGACCAGGCGCCAGCTCGCTGTACGGCCTCTTCTCCGAGAACGGGCCCTACGAGAGCCAGAACGGCAAGGTGACGCTGCGGAAGTACTCGTGGAGCAAGCAGTACAACCTGCTGTACATCGACAACCCCGTCGGCTCGGGATACAGCTTCACCGGTAGCGACGAAGGGTACACCCGCAACCAGACCCAGGTAGTACAGTACACCACCGCCCTCGAGGGGCCCCACCCCCGATTGGTGGAAACTAATGGAATGTGCTTACATGGCGCAGGTGGGCCGCGACCTGTACTCCGCGGTGGTCCAGTTCTACCGGATGTTCCCCAAGCTGCAAGGCAGGGCCTTCTTCATCACGGGGGAGTCGTACGCCGGCAAGTACGTGCCCGCCCTGGGCTACGCCATCCACACCAACAACCCCAAGGCCGCGGCGTCGGACCGCATCAACCTGCAGGTGAGCGTGGAGTGAGACGCCGAGGTAGGCCACCATCCGCGCACCGGTGTGTGGCGGGGCGCGTTGGCGACCTACCTGGCAGGGGTTCTGAACGACCACGTGTTTTCCAGGGCCTGTTCATTGGCAACGGCTTCACCGACCCCGAGAACATGATGAAGTACAGCGACCTGACGTTCCAACTCGGCCTGGTGGACGCCGCCGGCAGCGCGGCGCTCAAGGCCAGCGAGGACCGCATCGTGGCGCTAATCCAGCAGCGCCGCTGGCTCGACGCCTTCATGGAGAATGACCGCATGATGGGCGGCGACCTCATCTCCTACCCGACGCTGTTCAAGAACCTGACGGGCTTCGACTTCTACTTCAACTTCCTGTACACCAAGGACCCCGACCGCAGCGACGGCACGCAGCTGGTGCAGTCGGCCTGGGCGCGGCGCGCGCTGCACGTGGGCAACTCGACGTGGGACCACAGCGAGGTCGTGGAGGGCCACCTGCGCGAGGACATGCTGCAGTCCGTGGCGCCCTGGCTGGCCGAGCTGCTGGAGCACTATCGCGTCATGGTGTACAACGGGCAGCTGGACATCATCGTGGCCTACGCCCTCACCGACAACTACCTCTCCAAGCTCAAGTGGTCCGGGGCGGAGGAGTTCCGGCGCGCCCCCAGGAAGAAGTGGGTGTCCAAGGGGGAGCTCGCGGGCTACGTCAAGCAGGCCGGCAAGCTGAGCCAGGTGCTGGTGCGTGACGCGGGGCACATGGTGCCCGCCGACCAGCCGCGATGGGCCATGGACCTGCTCAACAGGTTCATCGCCAACAAACCCTTCTAGACCTGGGAATTCCCTCGCTATCCCCGCTGGCCTCGGGCTGGCCAGCCTCTGGCTTGTCCACGCAAACTTGAAAATATACATGCCTCAGGAACATCAGTTGCATCAGCCGATTAAAAATGTTCCCCACGATAATGTTCTAGTACTACTCGCTTTCCCGCTAATAAAATAATATCAGTAACTATTTTAACATTCAACTTAATCTCTTTTCATTCTTTCTCCTACAAAAAGACCGAAAGCGCCGTCTGGCCCAACAGTTGGTTGTCAACAATGAACCATTTGAATGAGAATCACAACTGTACCACTGTACTTTTCCGTTCAAGCTGTCGTCTGCTGAGTTACGTCACAGCGGCTTGCAGACGACAGCCGACCCGCGGATCCTTATTGGCAGGACGCTGACGCTATTCGCAGCGCTGCAGACGACGGTGGTGTGTTGTGACGTGTGCGGCTGCGGAGTGTGTGACAAACGTCTGGTGTTTGTGCTGAGAACGGACAAATCGTCGAGTGAAAGCGCTGCGTAGCGTGTCGCGTGCAACGCACCGCATGTCCACCTAGCGGAGAGCCAGTCGATCACTGCGGTGCTAAGCTGTCTGCGGACTCCCCGACTACCAACTAGACGAACCCAGCTGCCGCACACAGGGTGCCTCTAACCTAGCAATGGCAGCCTCCAAAGTAACCTTCAAGATCACTTTAACTTCCGACCCGAAGTTACCTTTCAAAGTGCTCAGTGTTCCAGAGGGAACACCCTTCACTGCCGTTCTCAAGTTTGCGGCTGAGGAGTTCAAGGTGCCTCCAGCAACCTCCGCCATCATCACCGATGATGGTATTGGAATCAACCCTCAACAAACAGCTGGCAATGTTTTCCTCAAGCACGGCTCAGAATTGAGGCTTATTCCAAGAGATCGTGTTGGTTGCCAAGTTCGATGAAAGTGCTGCAGTGCCTCAAGAATTTAATCAAGCGAGATGCATTCCAGACAAGACTGGTTGGGCTGTCCAGCTGTGATGTGTCATCTCCAAAACTTTATGAACACTTTGTTGATATGGTACTATTTGCAAACCATATTTGAATTTTCATAATTCTAATTACAACTTTATTTTATATAGCCAGTTGTTTCATTGAAGCAGGGGCTGAGCCACATTTCAAAATCAAAATGACTTAACAGGAAATAAAGGCGACTTGTTTATAAGAAATGATTGTATTATTCATCCTATTCCATTCAATAAAAGCTAAGTCAATGAGATCATAATTCACAAATTCAGTAATACATTTGGACCATTGATTAGACAAGCGATATACAGGTTATAAAAGTTCAACAGACATAATAAAATTTAAGAACTGACCATTTACTCCTCATTCATCTTCAACGTCAATGAGTGTGGGTGGATCCAAATAAATGGGGAGAAGGTTCAATTCAGTTGGTATAGGACTGGTATCTGCAAGAGAATGTCCAGATCAAACATTTACAATAAGTCTTAGAAAAATTCTTTTGAATGTCCAACTAAATGATATCTAACAATCAACGTACCCAAAAAATCAAGTGAGTTTTCAATGAAGGGTTCATCCAAATAGCTGTATTCTACATCGCTGCAGTCAGAATCATAGCCATGGCCACTTGGAATCCCTACAAGTCCTCTCATAATATAAGCAAAATCGGTGTTGTTCAGATATTCACAGGGCAACCGGGAAGACAGAAGTTCGTCTGAAAGACAGGCAGTAAAGAGTAAAGCAGATTCTGTTGACCTAAAGGAGAGGAACATTAGTTTCATTAAAAGGCCTCACCAGCAGTTTTGGAGCAATCACAAGGGTCCCAAAACTGATCGTCCTGACCACAATAAATTACAGGCCTGGGCCCGAGGTCTTGGTTGACTACGACTGGGTTGACATTATCCAAAACTGGCTTTGAAGCTGGTTTACAGCAATTACTGTGTGACTGAAGAGTGTTTTTGACGTCACGGAGAACTTTCTTCTGAGAGGAGAGCAGTCCATCATCTGCAACCCATGAATGAAAAGGTATAGTGCACGAAACATAACCCTCGCGGCCGTGTTGACGGACCCTGGTGCAACACGGAGCCACGTGTAGCATGAACACGAGCGATTGGATATCGGCAGGAAACCCAAGTATACGGTTACAGAAACAATTTTAAAATTTAAAAACAATTACCTGTGGCTGCACAACCGACCACCCGGCGGGAGCCGGGGACCATTGACAACATTCCTTCTGACATGAGAAAGCACGAAGAGTGGGCAGTGCACAGTAAGCAACACGCAACGAGGTTCTTGATCCCACTTAGCGACGCGACACGACTTACTGAAGCAGAACTGAGATCACCGATAAAAGTCAACCTTCTCAACCGACTGTCAAAGTTTCAAATTTCGGCCTTCGCCTTCATCAACAAATGAACAGCCGTTTGTGACTATTCACAGTCACGTTTATGCGCAGGGTAGGATGCGTTGCCATGGCAACGAGTGTGTTTGTAAACAAAAACAAACCAACCTCTTGATGTCACACAGGGATCTTGTTCCCGTTTAATTTTATTACTTAATTGGAATTTCCAGTTGCATTTTACAGATATCTCCAAAATGGTAGGAGTTTTGCATCCCAATACAGAAGCTTCCAAATTAATGTTTAATGAATAGCCCTACCAGCTCTAACTACCACCTTGTCCACCCACAATACATTAACAGTGTCGCATCAACTTAATATCCACGTTTTTCAAATTTACTTACCTTTTCTGTTCTAATGAAGGGTCCAAAGAAAGGAAAAGGGAAAGGAGGTCCTGTCGATGGGGTTGACACCACGAGCATGTCTAGAGAACAACTGGAAGCATTTTCCCTGAGACTGAGAGAGGAGTTGGACAGAGAAAGAGAAGAGCGAAATTTCTTCCAACTAGAGCGGGACAAGCTTCGAACATTTTGGGAAATAACAAGGCAACAGCTTGAAGAAAATAGGGCTCAGCTAAGGTAAAATAATCAATTTAAAGAAGTTGGTTGTGTCAGAAAGGCTCTAAATTTAACATATTGCATTCTTATTTGTGAGTTTAGAAACCAGGATCGTGCACAAGATGAAAATGAAGAAAAACACCAATCAGAGATTAAGACATACAAGCAAAAAGTCAAGCATCTTCTCTATGAGCACCAGTGCAACTTATCAAATGTCAAGGTTGAAAGAATGGTTGCTCTTAAGATGGCTCAGGATGAGTACACAGCTATGGAAAATGAATTACTTAAGGACAAAAATGACCTGAAGACAAAACTAAGAGAGCAAGAGCTAGCCCACCAGGAGGTGGTGCGTCAGTTAAAAATGGTAAAATTATATTGAGTGTAGGAATCCGGTGCAATAACTGTTTTGCTTTCAACCTCCCTATCCTTGACTTATTTAAATAAAGTCACAACAATTAAAAAATTCCTTGTCATTTAGGAACAAAGTGCCGAGATCAGCAAGATGCGTGAGCAGTTCTCTCAAGATTCTGTAGAATTGGAACGTAAATACGAGGCTCGTCTCACAACTCAGTCTGAGGATATGGGTCTGCAGCAGTCAATGGAATTGGCTGAGGTGGAACAACGTAAAAATCGTCAAGTGGTTGAGCTAACTAAAAGCCATGAAAAAGCGTTCAATGACATGAAGAATTACTACAATGAGATCACTTTAAACAATTTGGCACTCATCAGTAGTCTCAAGGTATGGTATGTAAATCATTTTAATCTACAGTATTTTAAAAGGCTAACTAATCATCGCCTCAGGAACAAATGGAAGAGTTAAAGAGTGGGCATGAACGAATGGAGAAGCAGCTACGTGAAGTTCAGGGAGAAAACAAACGACTCACTGAACCTTTGAAGCAAGCTCAATCTGAACTGACAAACTTGCAGCGTCAGTTAGCAAGTTACGAGCATGACAAGATAACACTTGCTGTATGTACTTAAAAGTCGTGTCGCTGCTATTCGTGGCTGGAAGCTTCTTTAATTTCATGGTTGTTGCATTGGATTCCTTTGCAGAATACTAAACAACGTCTGGGTCTGGTAACAAAAGAACTGGAAGAGTTGCGATGGGAGAATGAGGTCCTTGAACTTCGTTTTGAAAAGGTCTTTATAAGCAGCTTTCTTTTTATTGTGTTTTTCGGATAGTCGAGGATAATTCTGTTTCCTTTTGTAAATTGGATGTAAATTGTAGGTTGAGAAGGAACGTAACCGCCTGCACGCCGAGTTCGTGGGGGCGGTTCTCGATGTGCAGCAGAAGTCGGGGCTGAAGAGTGCCATGCTGGGCAAGAAGATGGCAGACCTCCGCGGCGGCGGCGCGGTGAGTGACGACGGCGTGCCTCCCCGCCCTCCGGCCCGTCCTCCGACCCGCCCATCCCGGAGGACCTACCCCCCGTTCCGCCCCCGGTCCCGGCACTCCCGGCGCGGCAGCGTCCCCGTGGCCGACGTCATGGAGCTGTGGTCGTCGCCGAGGTCGACGCGCCGGCACCGCCAGCCCGGCCGCCAGCATCCCCCGCAGCCCCACACCCTCCGCCCACACACCGGCAGCGGCCTGGGCCTGGCCCTGGGGGTCGACGCGCGCGCAGGGGGCAAAGTGGAGAGCGGCAGCGACGTGAGCTCCTGCTCGTGCAACGCGGCCGCCGAGCCCCGCGCGCGCTCCTGCACCGTCCTGGAGGCCAAGGGCGAGGACCACCGCTGCAGCAAGTGCCTGCTGGCGGGGGCGTCGCGGTGCCACTGTCCTCCAAAACTCGTGCTGCACCGCTCCCTGCGCTCCCTGCAGCGCTCCCTCAGCAGCCGCTCCCCCAGGGCCCGCTCCCACGACGACAAGCCCCCGCCCTGCCCCCCGCACCGGCCCTGCACGCGGCGCTGCAAGAAGTGCCGGCGGACGGCGGGCCAAGGCCGAGGCCGCGACCACGGCTGGGTGCGCACGCCGTCCTCGCAGGGCTCCCCGAACGGCTCCCAGAAAGGCACCCCGCACACGTCCCCGAGGGGTTCCCCCACAGGCTCTGCTGCGTCTCCGTCCACACTTGTCGCGGGTCCTGCTGCAGCGGGTGTAGGCGCGGTGGTGGTCGGCACGGCCATGCTGGGCGCTGCGGTAGCAGTGGGCATTTCGGTGGGAGTTCGCCGCAAGCGCGCGACTGCCTCGTCTACGTCCACAGCCACCATGACGGACGCCAAGACCAGCCCCTGCCCCGCCAAGCGGCCCCGTCGCTTGTCTCCCGTATCGTCGCCGGCGTCGCCTCCGCCCTGTGCCGAGGACTCGACGGCCTACTTGACCCCCATCCCCCACCGCAAGCAGCGGACTCTAGTGCATGCTAGCGTGACCACGCGCTCCACCCCCGGCAAGCTGCACACCTCCACGGCCCCAGCCTCCAAGGCAGTGCCCAGGCCCGCCAAGACCCCCACCAAGCTCCACCCCGCTAGAACACCCACCCCCACTAGACCGTCCGCGACAGCCTCCGCGCCCCCCAAGCCCAAGGCTCCCCACGGCGTGGCCAAACCGGTGCCGGCCTCGACGCCCTCCGCGCAGGCCAAGCAGGTCACGGTGCGTCAGCCCGAGCTTCTAGCGCCCCCCACCGGCGGCATGCTGGCCGTCAAGCTGTCCGCGGCGCAGATGAGCCTGCCCAAGGTGAGCGGCGCCACGCTGACGAGCACGGCGGCGCCCAGCGTGCGCCAGTATCGGCAGCCGCTCGAGGACGACACCATCGCCGAGACGGACGAGGATGGCGACGGTGAGGGTGACGATGACGCCGAAAGAGACGCCGACATCTACATGGCTTCCTCACCGTCGCTGCAGTCGTGCAGCTCGCTTTTGGGGCAAACCGACACCCTCGCGCCGCACGAGAAGGCGCTGCCGGAAGTCATCGTGACGTCGTCAACCATCCGCACCAACTCCACCAGGTCGCAGAGAGGCTCCGCTTCGTCCCGAGTCCCAGCCACCCCGCCCACCCCGCCACAACGCGGCACGTCCGCCGCGACGCCACCGCCGCCCACGCCCACGCCGCGACGCCCGTCCGCGCTCGTCGGCCCGGTGTCGTCAGGTCGCCGGCCGTCCGCTTTGGTCTCGGGCAGGCTGTCCACCAGCACGGCGGGGTCGGGGTCGACGCGCAGCAAGTCGTGGGACCGCCACGCCGACTGCCGGCGGCCCTCGGCCGTCCCCACGCCCAGCGCGGCCAGCTCGGCGCGGCGTTCGCGCGTGCTCTCTCCGGCGCGGCCCGTGGACGACAGCCCCGCGGACGCGCGCGTGGACGCCGCCCCGCCGGGCGGCATGTCCATAGCGGCCACGGCCAGCATCGAGACGGTGTACCTCGGCGGGCCGCCCGGCGCCTCCACCGTGGCCGTGGACGTGCAATGGAGCACCACGTCCCTGGACGACGACGCGCTGCTCAGGCCCTCTCGCTGCACCGTGGGCCAGTCGTCGGGGGCCCGCAGCGTGCGGAGAAGCTTCGCGGAGACGTCGCTGCCTCCCGCGGACCCGTCCCTCATCGCCCCCGTGCAGCGCTCCGTCTCGCAGCAGTTCGTCCCGCCGGCCATCGCGCCTCCATCCAGGACCCCGTCCCGGGCCCAGTCCCTCCTCAAGCAGGCGCCCAAGGCGGACGCGGCATCGATGGCGGAGTTTGCTCCGGTGTCCACCACGCTGGGAGGTGAGGCGCGTCAACGGATACTGGCTGAATAAAAATAGGAGCACCGTCGCTACCCCAGCTTCCATCCTCCCCGACCGACTTATTTTCTGAATTCCTTTCATCTGAACGCAGGGATCGTTCTGTTGACCAACAGGTGGCGCTGCAGGTGTGGCCGAGCAGCAACAATGGGAGGGCGACGACGACGACAGCCAGTCCGTGGCTCGTTCTGCGCTTCCACCGGTGCACGAGGAAGCCGCCAGCGAGCGCACCGCGTCCAAGTCGCACAGCGCAACCCGCGCCGCCACCCGCGCCGCCAGTGCGCAGCCGTCGTCGTCCTCGGTGGCCGCGGGCGCCACACCAGCTCCAGGTGTCATCACCGCTCGACATTCGGCATCCTGGGACGCCGCCGAGGCTGCCGACGCCACCCAGGACGCCCCCGCAGGCCCGCGAGCAGCTGAGGCTCCGTCCAGGACCAAGGACACTGGTTGCGACCCCGCCTGTGAGCTACGCGACGTGTCCCTGTGCAGCACTGACTTCGCCTCCGTGGGCACCGACCCTGCTCTCGACGAAGACGCGGTCCGGCACGTCTCCTGCGAGGCCAGCTTCCCGTCGGGCCATCCTGCCGCTGTCTGCGACGCGTCTTGCGAGGCGCGGCTGCCCTCCCTGTTCAGCGAAAGCCTCTCCGAGACACGAGTGCCACAAGTCTGCGACGCGTCGTGCGAGGCGAGGCCCCCGTCGCTCTTCAGTGCCGCCACCAGCACCCCCAGTCTGGCGGGCGTCCTGCCTCCCGCCCCGGCCTGCGACGCGTCCTGCGAAGCGCGCGGGCCTTCCCTGTTCACCGTGGGGACCAGTGCCCTCGAGCTGGCGGGGCTCGCGCAGGGCGCGGGGAGCTCCGGTGGCGACCTCCCGCCCGCCACGAAGGGTGACAAGGACGATCAGCTTCCCGCTGCGGACGGAGGCGACAAGGAACCACCTCCACCCGCCGCCGGAGGTGACGAAGGGCCAGACGACCGACCCCCACCCGCCGACCAAAGTGGCAAAGGGTCTGATGATCAACCTCCACCCGACGAAAGTGGCAAAGGGCCAGGCGACCGACCTCCACCCGACGAAGAAAGTGGCAAAGGGCCTGAAGATCCTCCTCCACCGGCCGCCAGTGGCGACGATGGGCCAGACGACCGACCTCTGCCCGTCGAAGAAAGTGACAAAACCGCCAGTCAGTCCTCTCTACCACCGATGTCCAGTGAGCCCGGGCAGCTCGGGCCGCCGCCTGCCACGGACCGGCCACCCTCCATCAGCAGTGAAGATCTCGCCATCCCGTCCGCGGAGGTGGCCGACGCAGCCGGCACAGCCCCCAAATGCGATCCGGCCTGCGACGTGAAGAGAGTGTCGAGCAGCCTACCCTCCGAGGGGCCGGGCATCCCGGCTGACACGGACCAACAGAGCGAGAGCGGCAAGCCTGTCAGGGTGGAGGCGACGTCGGCGGCTCGGGGCGAGGTGGCCACGACGACGACGCTCTCGCGGACGAGCTCCGCAGCGGCTGTGAGTCGCCCGGTCGTGTCCAGGGCGTCATCGTCCATCTGTCTGGAAGAGGACGACTCCGACTCGGACCCTGCGAACAAGGTGCCACTCGACAAGAGCACCCTGCTGTGCGCGTCCGGGACGCACCGCCCTCCGCCCAGGACGTCGTCGGCCATCTGCGTCGCCTCCAGGGACGAGTCCCAGCTGCAGGCGCTCCGGGCGTCCGTGCCGCCCAGCCAGACGCAGACGCCCAGGATTGTCTCGCCGGCCGTTCCGACCATCGCGGAGGAGACCCTGGCGAACGACAACGTGGCCGCCAGGACCTCGACGGCGTCCGTGAACCCCGCAATCCAAGTCGACTCGTGCTTCAGCAACACGTCCTCCAGCGACTCGGACGAGGATCCCCGCGTCGCCAAGGCGGCGGCACTGGAAGGCAAGCGGTCCGCGGCGTCCGGCACCGACGACCTCGGGGACCCCGCCGTGCACGCCGCGCACCGCACGCACCGCCACCCCCGCGGCCACCGGCGAGGACCGCGCTCCAAGTCCCTGGACGACTTGAAGGCGCCGTGGCGCCGCGGCAAGCCACGCAGCACCAGCCGCAGCCCCGAGCGACGGCCCAGCAGCGACGCGCACACGGCGCACGCCAAGCCCAGGACGCCGCCGTCGCCCAGAAGGCACTCGCCGTCGGCCACCAGCAAGCAGCCCAGCACGGCCAACAAGTGCAGCCGCATCAAGGACTGGCTGCGAGGCCTGACGCACGGCCGCTGGGCCTCCACCACGCGCAGGCTCAGTGTGCAGACCTCCACTGGCGACCTGTCGGTCGATTCCCCCGAAGCAACTCCCCGCCACAGCAGGCCGTCGTCGGGGATGTCCACCCCGCGACGGCCCTCCCGGAAGGACTTGTTCAAGACGGACCGCCACGCAGGGTGCTACCCGGGCCAGGCCAGCCCCGCAGCCAGCAGGGCGTCCAGCAGGACCTCCATCAAGTCCACCAGCAGGACGGGCAGCAGGACGTCGCTTCGGTCCTCCAGCAAGACGGGCAGCAGGACGTCCATGAGGTCCGCCAGCAGGACGAACAGCAGGACCGCGGTGGGCAGGGAACGCAGCAAGGCGCACCGCCACAGCCAGCACTCAGTCCGCTTCGACCTGGAGGCCTCGGAGTCGGACCTCGGCTCCGCCCACTCGGGCCTGTGCCACATGGCGACGAGCACGGCCTCGGACGTGGGCGACGCGAGCGACTCGGTGGGCCGGGCACGCAGCCTGCCGCAGTTGCCTCGGCGCGGGGGCCTGAAGCGCGGCGCCCGGGACGACGCCGTCAAGCGGTCGCGCTCGCGGTCCGAGGCCAGAGTCACCGGGGATGAGGTGAGGCTCACGGCCTCGGCCGTGCCGGACCGCCACCAGCAGTGCTACGAGGAGCGCATCCTGCTGCCGCCGCTGCCCGCCCGGCCCGCCAAGCCGCAGAGGAAGCCGTCAGCCGCGCGCGTGCCGACCCGGTCGCCGGCCAAGCGCCCCAAGGCCCGCAGGACGGTCAAAGTCCCCGCGGACTCGTCCACGAACAGCTCCGACTCCCTGGCCTCGTCGGCCACCTCCAGCGTGGCAGAGAAGGCCGTCATCTGGACCAAGCCCGGCCTAGCCAAATGCACGGCCAGCAGCAGCGGCAGCAACGTCGCCAGGGCCAACACCGCCATGTGGCTCATGTTCCCCTCGCTGGTGGCCAGGCCCGACCGGGCAGCAGCCGCGCCGTCGGCAGACGGGGCCGCAGCTCCAGACACGCGGGAAGGCAGCACGCGTGTGAAAAGTCCGGACACCGCGGGGGCCACCAAGAAACCGGACACGGCGGAGGCCGTCAAGAAGACGGACACGTTGGGGGCTGTCAAGAAAACAGTACCGACGGGGGCCATCAAGAAATCAGAACCAACAGGGGCCGTCAAGAGACCAGATCCGACGGGGGCCATGAAGACTGCCGAAAAGGCTGGTGCCAGCAAGAAGATGGACGCACCTGCGAAAAAAGCAGATACACTGGGCGCCGTCAGGAAAACGGCGGCTGCATCGGCAGGCGCACGAAGTTCGTCAGACTCGTCGTCCACCTCGGGCTCCGGTACGTCGGGCAGCTTGAGTCCCATACCGCAGGTGCTGTCGCCACCCAGCGCGGCGTCGGCCACCTCGGCGGCGGTGTCCAGCTCACGTCTGTTCCGAAGGGCGCTCCGCGAGAGGGTCACGATCCAGGAGATCACCAGCGAGGACGTGGAAGATGTCTCCCCGGGGACGCCCACGGTGGGGGTGACGACGAGTCGGCTGAGTTGCCTCCAGGAAGAGACCGACTCGGACGTGAAGCTGGCCAGCGTGGCGTCCGGTCCCTCGGGGACGTCCGTGGACGGGGCCGCGGACGCGTCCTTCAACGAGGCGGACCCCGTGCTGCTGTCCCGCGCGCAGGCGCAGGCGTGGCGCGTGGTGGAGGACACCATGGCGGAGCAGGGCGGCATGGTGCGGCGCCCTCGCCGAACGCGTCGAGGCCACGACGACTCTCACCCCCGGCGGCGCATGGTGGCGGACCACGTCGGCGACGATGACGACCTCGCGCCGCGGCCGCGCCGTTGCGTCCGCGCCAGATCGCCCAGGTCGGTGCCCAGCTCGCCGATGCGGGCCGAGGTGGACGAGGTGGTGAGCCGCGACGCCGCCACGGAGCCGCTCGGCTGCCGCACGCCCAAGGTGCGCTTCTCCACGGCCAGCTGCAGCCCTCCGGAGACTGCGGGCCCAGACTGCGAGGAGTTCGAGGAGGCGGTGAAGGCCCACCTGCTGAACCCCCAGGACCATCAAGGGCGCAGTCCGCGCTGTCCGCGCAGGCAGTCCCGCTCGCTCACTTCCATGCGGACCTGCCCGGCCGACGACGCGCCGCCGCCACCACTGCCAGTGCCGCCCTCGCCGTCGCGCAACCCCACCAGGATCCTCGTGAGCAGGGCCAAGTCCACGGCCTCGGTGACGGGGCTGCACGACCAGCCCGCCCCCGCGCCGCACCGCACCCCCAGCGAGACGCGCCACCTGGGCAGGCTGCTGCGCTCCAGGGAGGTCATGGTGGTGGAGCTGTTCCGGAAGCCGTCCATGCGAGACCAGCATTCCAGCCACTCGTCGTCCTCGTAGTCTCGGTCCCCTTTGGCTTGTCCAAGTCGCTACTTCACCTCCACGAGGGCCAATTTTTGTTGCAACCTTTTTATTGTACATACAGTACCCTTTCTCTTTTACTTTCCTTTATCCCTTGACTCCCTCGCAATGCGAGTTCGTGTTCTTACCTGTTGACTCTCGCAGCGCGAGATTGCTGCAATATATTGAATGTGTTTGTATTAATAAATGTATTGCTGTACCTTGTGCCCCTCCGACGTGCCCCATTTTAGAGTAGGGAATGTGCCTTTGATTCTAAGTCTGGATGTGAAACATTGAGGGCCCCTCCCGCCCCTCCCCCTTCCCCGAGCCCTCCCCATCAACCTGATTGTAAGTGACGACATTCGAGGCTTTCCCCCGCAGTAAAAGTTGCTGCTTCGTGTAGGTGTAGCACTGAATTTACCGATAGTAGTTACTAGAAATGAAGGGCTCTCCAGTTTTCGCTTAGCAGATACCCTCTATGTTGTCATACCCGCCTGTTTGTAATGTTGGCAGCCTGTAATTTTCGTACTGTACTGCCGTACTGAAGTTGTCTGTAGCTAGGGCTTTCCCTCCAGGAGAGCTTGCCACTGTGGCGTCCTGCATCCCCGCCCTGCCCTGCCCTGCCCCCACGCACCGACCCCCCGGCTGACGCTGTTCTTGTTCCGCAGGTGAGCGGCGCGACGGTGAGCGGGGACCTGCAGGCCGAGCTGGCGCGCGCCGTGCAGGCCCACGACGACCTCCTGGCGGCCTACGAGTCCAAGCTGCGGCACCACGGTATCCCGACGGACGACCTGGGCTTCAAGCCGCTGCGCTCCGCCACCAAGAGCTCCCCGAAGAGCGCCGCTCCTGGACAGCCTCCCGGAAGCCGATGACGAGCATGGTGGCGGCACGCACGGCACCCCTTCAAAATTTTCATTGTCGCACGAATAATGGCACCACGATACATTTCTTTCCGCTACAGTCCCTTCCCGATTCAAGGGCTTTTTTCTACGTGCACGTGCACCTTTATTGATTGAGCCTCCGCGCAAGGCCAAGTTTTTAGACTACTTTTATGCAAAGCCAAACACTGTGATTATTTATTTTAAAACTTTTTTTTAATACATTTTGTGCCGTGATGGTTTCTAGTCAAATAAAGATGAATGATACGTATTCATAAGATTTCGCCGACTCAAAGAAGACAAATATTCCATTGCCCCTCAGAGGTAAACTTAGTAAACTGCAGAAAACTACGAACTTGGGCTGGAAATCTGGAAATGCGAGTGGCAGCCTCGCTGCTATGACAGTGTTATTACCAACAATGCCAATGCCATTCAATCGGGCCGCCTCCCGGGCTGGTGCCCTGCTTTGGGCTCCTCGCTCCTCGTCCTGGGTCAGTATGAACGCGAACGCCCCCAAGGGGCCGCACCGCAGCCGCCAGGACGCCGTCGAGAGGGCTCGTCGGCCAGCCCAACTGGGCTCGTACTTCAACGCGTTGGCGAGCCCCGGCGCCGCCCCTGGCCGCCCCGTGCACAGGCCTGCCAACGCCGGGCCCGGCGGCGGCACGGGTGCCGGCACCAAGGCCTCGGTCAAGGAGTCCACGTCGGACACGGCCTTGGACACGGCGGTGGCCGCGACGCCGCAGATTCGCGCAGCGTCACCGCGCCGCCCGCTGGCCAGCGCCGACCTCAGCAGGAGGCCGTCCCCGGGCAGGGCGGGCAGGGCCTCCACGGGAACCAAGACTGAAACCGGTGGCGTCTCGAATCCGAAGGGACTTTCCTTCCAAACAAACCGATCCGTCTAACTGGAGTTGATGTCTAGCTGCAGAAATCGGGGAGGAGAAACGCGCACCAGTTCCCGCAGGCCAGCCGGACGGCCCCGAGGGCCCCGTGCTGCTGCAGACGCAGGAGGACACGGGCCCAGGTAATGCGCTGCAATGCCGTCCTGAACGTCCTGGCTGTCCTGCACGCGGTGCTCAGCGTCCTCCACACCAGTACCCACGTGTTCGCTTCCGCAGCGCCAAGCCAGACCGCGCTGGACAAGGACATGGCCACCTTCAACTCTCACCATAGAGTACTCGAGCCCGAGGGGCGCACCTGGTCCTTCAAGTGGCTGTCCAAGGCCACGGCTAGCACGGCCTCCTCCAGCGACTGCCCGCGCTGCGCGCCGCCCGGCGCCGAGGTCGCCGCGGCCTCCTCTCCGTTCTTGACGGTGCCGCGGCCGTGCTCGGCGCCGGCGGCCGAGTCCTCGTCGGCCTGGACACTGCCGCCGCAGCCACACCCGGGCAGCGACCACTTGGTGGTGCCGATGCCGACGCGGTCCGGCCGCAGCGTCGGGCTGTCCACCGGGGGGCCGCCGCTGCCCCTCGCCGTCGACGAGCGGTTCGCCCCCGCCCAGTCGCGGCAGTCCACCACGCCCTCGACGGGCGCCTCGACGGGGGACGCGCGGGCCAACCTCGGGCAGGCCACCACGTCGCACAGCAGCATGGCCGGCAGGAACCTGGCCACGGTGACGGAGGTGCTGGGCGTGCGGCCCGCGTCCGACCGCCACGCTCGCTGCATGATGTCCATCGTGAACCTCACGCTCGGGCAGGCGCGCCACGGCGCACGCCCACGCAGCGCCGGCAGGACGAAGAGGCCCAAGAGCAAGGACAAATAAAAGCACACCCTGCCGACAAATCCGTTGTTTCCCCCACACTGAAAGCCCACCGGCACGGGCGTGGCGTTACTCCACACGCGTCGACGTCGATACCCCGCGCGCGAAAGGGTGCGCTACTTCGGGCGTCTGCCACGCAGGGGTGGCGGCAGCACCGGCAGCACCGCGCGGTCTGTGAGTCCGTGAGTCACTGGAGGGAGGGACAGAGAAGGACGAGCGTCTTTGTCCTCCCTCTTCCTCCTCCTCCTCCTCCTCCTCTCCTCCTCCTCCCCTTCAGTGCGGCGCGGGCTGCCACGCCGGTCGGACGTTCGACGGCTGCTCTGCGGCCGGGGTTCCGCCGTTCGGACGCGCCGGTGCCGGTCGCTGTAAGACAAGTTTGAACCCGTCCAGTGTGTGAAAGTACTGCGCGATGGCCTGCGTCGCGGACTTGGCGAGGACAGTCTGAGTGCGCGTGTGCCGTGTTTAAGACTCAAGCGTGTGCGGTCGTCTTTGTGGATGTTCTCGCCGCCGACGAGAAGTTCGTCAAGATGATGATTGTCTGCTGGAAGCTCATCCTGCCGCTGGCGTTTGTGTGTGCCGGTAAGTAACATGGAACCACATGGAACGGGGTCGCTTTTTGTGGACGGCGCGCGACGCACAACGTTTGCCGCGCACTGCGAACTTTGGGATGTGCGACATGCCGGTGCCGGCGTTGCAGGCCGTCCTCCCCGGACCTGTTTTCGAAAGTCACCCTTCTCTTCGGTCCGCGCGATGAAAGGGGTGAACAGTGCTCTCGCTCCCACACATGGAACGCAGGGGGAAAGACATTGGCAGTGAAAAGCATAACAGCAGTCTGGAAGCAGCAGGATAGCTCTGATTCCCACCACACTGTCGGTGGGACACAGGAGGTGGGACTGGAACCGGTGTGCCGGTAATGCCGTTATCTGCTTGCCTTGTGCGTGCGTGCGTGTGTGCGCGTGCGTACGTGCGTGCGTGTGTGTCCGCTCGGTGCACGTGAAGAGCACCGATAATAAAGTGATTACCCGGCGGCGGTGAGAGATGTTACCTGAATGGGAAAGGCAGGGGGAAGGGGGGGGGCGCAAGTCTCAGGTCTCAGCCGGCCTGAAGGCGGGGCCCGGCAGGGCCACCTTGAGCGGCCCGAGCGGCCGGCCAGGCAAATGCCTGCTTTCTTCCTTTTTCGGTAGCGGCGTGTACTCTGCCAAGAGTGAGAAGGAGAAAGACAGGCATGCCGAAGGGGCGGGTCCTGGGACGTCCTGGGTCCTGGACGGTCCTGGGCTTCTTGGCCTCCAATGTGCACATGTCGTGCCCCTGCCCTGTCATGCTGCCACTGCACTGGCATGCCTCCGGGACGAGCATGTGTCGCCTGATTTATCTCATTTGAATGTGCACCGTGCACAAAGCGCCGCGCCGGCCCAAAGGCTGACGTTGCCCTGTCTCTCTCGCACTCCACGGGTGCGAGAGAGACAGAGCGACAAAGGCCGCTGGCCTGCTGGCCCATCAGCGCGTCGTCCAGTTGAGGGCGCGGGGACCAAGGCACGTTTGATAACCGCTGCAGGTGGCGGTGGAAAAGGAGGGGGGGTGTCGTTTACGTGATAAGCGCCTGGGCCAGCGGGGATCAACTCGGCAAACACGGCAACCCGGATAAACCGCCCTATAAACTGGAAGTGCCCTGCTGCGTTCGGAGAGGACCCCCTCCCAAAAAAGGGCGAAAAGTTTTTAGACCCAACAACCGAGAAGTTTTGTTTCGGCAAAGAAATTATGAGTCGGCTCGCCTGAGAGCGGCTGCTGAGGCTGTCCACCCGTCCGCCGTCGGCGCGGTGTTCCGATTCGATTCGATGTTAAAATCCTCGTTGCGATTCGAAGGGCCTCCGCTTCGCAGCGCTGCTTCGGCCTGCTCGGCCTGCTGGATGGAAATAAGAATGTTGCGATCCCCTGCGTGCAGTTATCTTGCTGTTGTCTTTTTGTTTTATTAGTGGGCGGTCTGGCGGCCGGTCGGCTCCGCGCCGCCACAGGGAGGCCCCCCCCCCCCCTCTTTTGAAACTGGATGGGATTGCGCCGCCGCCGCCACGCTACCTGTCCGATTAAAAACTATGATGATGGGTATGGGAATGGGGTACTCTGTTCGGCCGGCCGTGCGACGGGGCGGCCCGGCAGGCCCGGCCACCAGGCCCAGGCAAGCCTAGAGAGACAACCCCGCCCCGCCCCGCGCCGCGACGATGCGCCCGAAGATAAGCGGGCCTCACTAATTATTCATTCATTCGCCTACCCTGCCGGAAAGTCCTCTGATTCCTCCGTGTGTTGCAGCGCTGGCGCAGGACAAGTTCTACTTCTCCGTGAGCCCCGAGGACGTCTCCGCGCCCGCGGGCTCGGCGGCCGTGCTGCGCTGCGCCGTGTCCGAGGCCAGGGGCATCTCGTACGGCTGGACGTACAACGGCCGGCCCGTGGCGGCCTCCTCGCGCCGCCAGATCCAGCACGTGGACGCCGAGTCGCAGCTGCGCATCGGGCGGCTGGACCGCGTCCGGGACCAGGGCGAGGTGGCCTGCACCGCCACCAACACCAGCTCGGGCTTCTCGCTCACCAGCAGGACGGCCGTCGTGCAAGTGCAGTGTGAGTGCCCCGCCCGCACCAGCCCGCCCATAAATTCTCATCGATATCACATGTTTATTTTTCCCGATAAATTTCGGTGGCGCCGGCCGGCGGCCCTAGCCGCACCTCGCACCGTCTGCCCCGCCCCTGCTCCTGCCGTCCAGGGCGGCGCCGTGCAGGCAGCAGGCAAGCAAGGCAGGCAGCAAGGCAAGCAAGGCAGGGGCAGCGGAGCCAGACGGCCAATGTTGTGACGGTGATGGGGGTCGGAATAGCCAAGCAGCCCGGCCCTGGCCTCGGCCATGCCTCGGCCTTTGCAGTGCAGAGGGGCCTCGAGGGGCTCGGCCGCCCCGACGCCCCGCGCCTTTTGCTTTGCCTTTTGGCTTTTGGCGCAACCTGCCCGCCTTGCCCGCCTTGCCTGCCTCCTCCACCCACAAGGAAGAGGGCCGCCAGCGCCGCCAGCAGACCGATTCTGAACAGCGCTTCGTCGCCGTGCCCTGTCTCTCTCGACCCCACGGGATGCCCCATGGCTGCGAGAGAGACGGGGCGACGAAAGTGCTCTTCTGAATCGGCCCGCGGGCCACCGCGGAACGAATTGCAATCCCAGAGCAGGGCGTCGGCTGCGGGGCCTGCCTCAGGCCTGCCGTGCCCTACACTGCGCTCTGCTCGCTCTGCTCGCCGTCCCGACGTCTCGACGTACGTCCCGACTCGTCGCTGCAGGGCCGATCAAAGAGCAGCCGATGCGCGGCATTGCGGCATTCTTCGGCGTGCTCGGCTCGGACACTCGGGCCCCGCCGGCCGGCCCCCCGGGGGGAAAATTTAAACTCCAGAAGCTGGTGCCCGCCTCCCTTTACGTTCTACATGCGCTATTCGCTTATTCCCCTCGACGTCTCGAGTAGGTAAAATCCGACTCTAAATAGGGAAATCAAAAACATGGCGGATTGGGGCATTCTTTCGCGTTGGGTCGGAATGGGGACCCGCCGGGCCCCTCGGGCCCGCATTACCCTCGGACCAGCAGACCAGGCTCTCGGCCAAGCCATGGCCAAGCCTTCAGCCTTCAGTCAGGGCTTCACTCAACCGGGCAGCGGGGCCATCGGCCATGCCAAAGCGTGGATTCCAAAGCGCGCCGCACACACACAAAGAAGGCACTCACGGACGTCGCTTGAACCACGCCAAGCGTCGCCAAGCAGGGAGGGACAGCGGACGGTCCAAGGACAAGCAGTGGACATTGCTGCGCGCTGCGTGCCGGCTGCGCGGCTGCGTGTGTTCGAGTGGGAAAGGCCGGCAAAAGGGCATTCGTCCGCGCGGTGGCCGCGCAGTAAATCAAGAGCGTGTCCGTCATGCAGCCTGCTTGCCCGCTTGCAGCGCGGCCCTGCTGTCCGCCCTCGGCGGCCCTCGGCCCCTTGGCCGTCAGCCCCAAAGGAAATGCCGCCATGCCGCGCCGCGCTGACATTCCTCATTCCTCGGCAGGCCGCTCCAAACTTGTTGCCGTTCGGGATGCTTGTCTCTCTCGCTCCCACGCGGGAGGGACGCCCCACGAGTGCGAGAGAGACGCCGTCATGTGTGAAACCAGTCCGCCAATTTCCGGCGCGCTTTGCAGTGTCGGGCCGGCCAGCCGGCCGGTGGGGCCGTGGGGGCCTATGCGGCGCGGCGCGGTGCGGCACACAGGCAAGGCATAGGTGCGCCTGGCTCGGTGCATCGGTGCATCGCCCCCTTGCGCGGCTATGCCCGGCCCCACGCCCCTCCCCACCTAGCGGCTTCATTTCCCGACCAGTTTGCGCCGTCCTCGTCACTCCCTGGCCGCGGCCGGCCGGTCGCACTGGTGGGACGGAGAGGGAAGACGCGAACGGCATTCATACACGCCGGCCAGTCCCGCGCAAAACGCGCACACAAATTAGACGAGCGGGTCTGATGCCGAACAGTGCGCTGGCTGTCTCTGTCGCACTCGCGCGGCATGCCCCAGTGTGCGAGAGGGACGGAGAGAGAGAGCGTGCTGTCCGTGTGGGCGTCTGTGCGTGCCCCGGGGCGGGGCGGCCGTATGAAGCGAGGTGCGCGCGAGGACCGCCCCGCCTCTCATTAGACGCGTTTTGTGGGAATAAACTACGCTGCGCCGCCGCGACGGCCCCGAGTAGAGGGGCGCGGAGTTCATTACCACCCGTCGGGCGAGTAGCGCTCGGATTTATTGTGTCTTTACCGCCGGGCACCGCCGGGTCAGCGCAGGAGCAGGAGTGTTGCTCGCAGCCTCGCAGCCTTCGCCAAGGAATCGTTTCGCCGCTCTGTCTCTATCGTAGCCCTTCGGAGCGTCCCTTGCGTGCGACGGAGACAGCGCAACGAAATAAGATTCTTGAGCGGAGTGAGCCTGCTGCAGGCCGGAGTGCGGGGACGCGGACGTGCCCTCGCCTCCTCGCTGACCCCGCGGTGCACCTTGCCGTGCCGCGGTGCCGCCGTGCCGGACGCCGCGTCGATTGCCCTCGCCGTGCTCCGCGGTGCTCCGGCCCTCCGGCCCCGGAGCGGAACGCAGCGGCTCGAGTCAACAACCGGAAACAATGCGTGGTGCTGCCACCGCTGCCGCCACACCGCGGCGCGGGGTCCCGCCCGGGGGCCCCTCCGCGCGACCTCGTCGTCCTGCGCGTGTCCAAGAAGTGTCCACAGCCGCCTGCTTCCGGCGCGGCCCGTCCAGGCCCTCGGGCCGACAGGTGAAGATGCGCTCGAAGACTCCCCGGCGCCCAGGGCCTGCAGACTGATTCCGAGAGTCGTTTTCGTCGCTCTGTCTCCTTCGCACTCATGTGGGGCGTTCTGTTGGGTGCGAGAGAGAAAGGGCGACGAAGACGACTCTCGGAATCAGTCTGCTGGCCGCCCGGCGGGTGTATTTGAATGTGGGACACGTTTCCAATTCCACACGTCTGGCGACGCCGAACACCGACTACTGCCCCCCCCCCCCCCCTTCTTTTTCCTCCGGTCTTTTTCTTTCCACCTCGCCAGTGGGAGGATTTGCAGGTCTATTTCGTGCTGTTTTGCTCACCGTCTGTCCGACAGCGCCGCACGTCGGCTCGCCCTTGTTGATCGGCGCGCAGGCAGACAGACAGACAAGCGGACAGGGAGGCGACCCCATCAGCCCGAGTGCCGTAGTGCCGGCGGCCGGCCGGCTTTTTATAATAATGAAAGTCGCCCCCTGCGACCGCTGCGACCCGTCGACATGTGTGGCCGGATAAAACAAAACGAGAAAAAAGTAAGAAGAGCGCGATGATCTGCATGAGGGGCGCCCGCTGGGAAGCGATCGGCAATTTTGATGCGCACCGGAACGCAGGCATGCCTGTAGCGGACGGACGGACGGACGGACGGACGGACGGGCCCAACGACGTGAAGGACGGCGGCAGCATGGCGGCAGCCCGAAGCCGAATACTAAGAGCGCAAAAGTGGGAGGGCCTCTCTCCACTACACTCGGCGCGCTTGCCGAGCAAAATAGGCCTGGCCAATCACCCCCTCCCCCTTCCCTCCCCGGAGGGAAAGGCAGCGAGCGAGGCGCAAAATAAAAAGAAAGCTGTGTGTTGCTGCGAGTACTAGTCGCTCGCACCCTCCCGCTCGTAAAGGGGAAAGGGGTGGGGAGGGGTGAAGGGTGGGTGAGTTGAATGGCGGAGGGGGACAGAGTCTGGAGACCAGTTATGACTCGGAGTCCTTGTGCCTGGAGTCCTGGGCTGGGGCGTCCTGGCGGTCCTGGCCCGCTGCACCCCCAACACTTCACCGAGAAGTGGAAGCGAGAGGAGAGAGGCGGTTCTCCCGGGGGAAGGCTTGCACGTCCTCTCCGGCTTGCACCGGGGCGGCAGGTGCGCGCCCGCCCGCCCCGCCCCGCCCCACCCCGCCCCGAACAAAACCTCCTTTTTATCCCTTTCCCGCAGGAAGCGACCAACTGCAAGCAATGCGCACCGGGACCGGGACGAAATACTTGAACCGATTCCCTGCTGGCGGATAATGAGTTCGGCCGCCGACTGTTGTTTCGTCGGTGCTGTCTCTCTCGCTCTCACGGGGCGTTGTGGGGGTGCGAGAGAGACAGCGACGAAACCAGTGTCGCGGAATCGCCCTGGCCTTCCCCGCGCGCGTGCCGCGTGCGCGAGCGGCGCGAGATAGGCGCGTTGTGTTTATGAGTCGGGGTTGTGGGTGGGGTTGGGGGCCGCGAGGGTGGACGCCGGTGACGTCACACGCCGCCATACATTGTGATTATGTGGCCCGGAGGGACGCCGAGGTAATGGGCTGCAGCCGTCGCTCTGTCTCTCTCGCACTCGCGGGGCGCCCCGACGGCCCGAAGGGGTGCGAGAGAGACGGAGCGACGGAGCACTGTTGAGGCTCGCGCTTCATTTGCCGGCCGGGATCGAACACTCGCGGGTCCGTCTCGTTTTGCGCGGATTAGGACGGCGGCGGCGTGGTGGCGCGGCGAGCGGTGAGTCAGCGCGGCGGCCCTCCTTCGTTTGACGCCTTTCGGCCCTTCTCGGCCTTTTTGAGGCTTCCAGTTCCCCCTCCCCTCCCCCGCCTCTCCTTCCGCGCCACTTCCTTCCCCTCGCGCGCCTCCCCGCATTGAAACTCGCCGCGTCTAAAATTAACAAGCAGATGATGAGTCGGGAAAGGAAAAGAGAGAGGAGGGGAGAGGGTTGGGGGCGTGCTGCACATGGCCGCGCGGCGTGGGGAGGGGGGAGGGGGGCGCCGCCTCCATGCAGGCCGGCTGCCTGGCTGCCGTGCCTGCACCCGAATGCGTGGAATGTTTGGCGGCCGAACCTGTGTCTCCGCGCCGGCACGCCGCCGCGCCCATTCATCGGCAACGACACCGAGGGCCCCTCCGAGTAGGACGCATCATACCGCGGCCGTGCTTGCCCGTCGTGCCGCCCCCCCCCCCACGGGCCTCGCGCCTCGCGCCGCGGGGCGGATGGCATTGCCAGATGCGGTGCCGAACGCCGAACCTGTAACACTGTAACGAAAAGCTGTGGAGGAGGGAGAGTCGTGGACGGAACGCGAACTAGCTTCTCTGTCTCTCCTCCCCGGAGCGCGCACGTGTGGGAGCGGGGCGGCGCTAGTGCTGCCGACGGGTTGCCTACTGCCCCTGCTGGCTGGCTGGCTGGCTGGGGCTGCTTCACTTCGCCGTGTAATTCTGTCTCCCCGGGAAGGGGAGCGAGGCGGGCGAGGCGAGGCGATCGGGGCGGAAGGACGAACGCTACGCCGGAAATGCAAGACGCCGCATTTTCGGGCCATTGGGCTCGAGGGCTGCTGCAGCTCATCCCCTGCCCTTATTTTTCGATTAGGGAAGGCAGTCTGTCTGTCTGTCCGTTTTGTCTGTCTGTTTCTCTGCCGGTTTTATCTGTCTGTCTGTCTGCCGGTTTTGTCTGTCTGTCTGTCTGTCCGTCCGTGCGTACGCGCAGGACAGCACTAGGCTCTCGGAGGGGCCGCCCCGCTCCAACCCCCGCCGTGTTCAGTATTCCGAGGGTGTCTTGTAAGACGCCGGGAAAGGAGAGTCTGGGAGAGAGAGAGGCCATGAGGGTGGAGACAGAGAACGGAAAGTGAGATAAAGAGGAGAGGAAAGGCAGGGGGCAGAGCGGGGCAGAGGGCCCCAACCCCACCGGGAGGAATCTCTGTCCGAGATATGCCGTCGTGGTCGTGCGGCCGAAATCCCGGCTTGGTGGTGGAAGCTGGAAGCCGCTGGAAGTCGAAGGGACGCTTCGCCATTGCTGCCGTCGGCAAGTCAGCCAGAGCCAGCGCCAGCGGCTGAGCTGGTCACTCATTTTACTCAGTAGAATTCCCAAATTTGTAATTTCAATTTCGATGAAGTTTTTCTTAGGGCGTGCAGCGCGCAACAGGGTGGCATGCCTGCTGGTGACTGGGTGGAAGGCGTTAACCGCTATAAGTCGCTGTCACGCCGCACCGCGCCGCCGCGACGCCGATGAATACTTTAATAAGCCCCCGAGGCGGGCCTCGCCACGGCGGCCACGGCGGGCCTCGCTGTATTAGAGGCGGCTGCAGCCAACCACGCCGCACCGAACTTCTCGCGGCATCGCCAACCCCCGCGCCAGATTTACGGCTCCATTTCAGATTTAATTTGGAGGAGAAATTTCGCTCGGATGACGTTCGCGGACGAGCGGAACCAGTGCGGCGCTGCGAGCGGTGGGTTAGAAAAAAAGGGACTGACGTCGGCGGGATTCGAACCGCGGCCTTTTTTTTTTCCTTTCGGGGGTTGTGCGACTTTGTAGCGACGGCACGGACAAATGAGGGTAAGTGATACGGAAAGAAGGCGACTTAGGGAAGGGAGTCGTGTAGGGAGTCGCGGGTCGAGGAGGTCAAGTGAGAGGGGGTGGGGGTGCGGCGGGAGGGGAGGGGAGGGGAGGGGAGGGAGGGAGGGAAGTGAGAGGCTGAGGCGGCGGAGGGGGGAAGACCGGAGCAGGTGTTTAACACGAGCGTCCCTCCCTCCCTCTCTCCCTCCTCTGCGATGCGCGATGCGCGACGCGGTGGAGGTTGGGGTTGGGGTTGCAAGTCGGATTAAAGTCTGACGCGTTGTTCCTGTTGTCCGTCCGCCTGTCTGCGGAGATCTTTTACGCTCTCACAGTTGTGGCGTGGCTCGGCGTCGCGGACTTAGTTTCGTGTAATAAGCAAAAGATTTTTTTTCCTTTCTTTTTTTTTATGGGGACCACTCTTTGCATTTATTTTCCCATGCGCGGTTTTATGGGTGGGTGGGTGTGACGGGCTGCCCCCTCACTCCCTAGTGCGTTACTTTTTAACAACTCTTTGTTGTTTTTGTTGTTTGTTTGGAGGTTGGCAAGCCGAAAGGCACCATGTAATGCCCCTGTAAGTGGGCAACCGGCACGGCATCGGCCCTCAAAGCTCCCGGTCCTTGTGTCTGATTCCCCTGCGGGATGCTCCTGTATAGTGTAGGGGACGCGGACGACGCCGTCGACGCGACGCAGCGCGCCGGATAGCCGATGCCGGAGTGGACCGAATCAGGGGCCACTCCCCGCGTGGACCACGCAGGGGCTGGACCATTGTCGGTCCGGAGCCCCCAGATTGGCTCGTCGCCGCCCTGGTGTCATCCCATCCCCCGCGTCCACGGCGTCCACGGCGTCGGCGGCCACCCCGACCGGGAGGGTGGCGACGACGGTGATGTTGGTGGCGTGCCGGCGCCGTACCGCTTTGGTTTCCATGGCGACGGGGTCGATGCTGTTGCCCATAAACTTTTATGGTCTCCACCGCCTGCTCTACGGCGGCCCGGCTCCGCACTCCGCTCTCCGTTCTCCGCGCGCACTACCGGCGCGGCGTCGCGGGGCGTCGCGGGGACTCTGGCTCTGGGGTGCGGAGTGCCGCCGCTCGTGCCGAATCGGGCCGCCGCGCTGCAGTCCCTGCTGCAGGCCGCGCGCTCGGAATGGACGAATGGACCAGGCCGTCCACAAACCACGTAACGTTATGTGCGACTGACACGGCAGTGCACTGGGGCGCCGACGGACGCGGCTAACTGGCGTTGAGAGACTGGACAGCAGGCCGGCTCGGTGCGCGGCGCGGTGCGAGCGGTACGCGGTGCCTTGCAGAGACATTTTGTTTATACGCCGCGTGGCTGTGGTGGGGCGGGCGGCCTAGGGCGGCCAGGCCGCCGGCCAGACAGGCTCGTCCAAGCCGCACTGCGCAGTGCATCCCGGGATGTTTATCGAAATGCAGTAAGCTTGTTTACTCTCGGGAAGGGGAGGCGCGACACTGGGCCCCGCCCCGCCCCGCCCCGCCCCGCCGAACACGGCGTGCGTACTGCCTGACCACGCCGCCGGGGAAGTCCGACACGATGTCTGTGGAAGAGGAAATGAGTGCATCTCGGCGTCGCGGATTGTTTTGTTGCTGGAGGGGGGCGGGGGCTGGGGAGGGGAGCCGGAATGGAGAGGGGGAGGGAACCCGGAGGGAAGGCCCTGGTCGCAGTTTGGCTCCACGGCCATTCGCCGTACGTAAAACTCTTTATCACTTTGGGGGAAAGTTGTCCGGCCCGGGGGATGATATGCGAGTCGCCCCGTCGTGAAAAGCAGAGCGAGCGGCGAGAGGCCCGGCCGAACATCCGCCGCCCGGCGACGCTTTGCTTTTTATGCCCCGGATATAAAATGGAAAGCGTCGCCGGGTGGTGTACACTGTTCCGTGGTGGCGGTGGAGGCCGCTTCCCTTTGATGGCGGTTTCGCCGGCCGCGGCACGCTGAATTTTTCATCGCGACGACGGCCGTGATCGCGGCCGGCTCCCGGCTTGGACGTGAACGTCGTGGCGACGGACGGCGGCCGTTCTCGCCCTCCTCCTCGTATTTTTGCGTCGCTCGCTGCTGCTGCGGTCGGGGTGGTTGGGTTGGGGAGAAGGGGGGATTATTTGGGCGACTTCTCGCCGCTGCCTTTCGCTGTGGCCGTTGGCCCCCGGCCGCCCCCGGCCGCGCTGGCTGCGACCCCAGACGCCAACCCCGATGGGGGCAGGCCGGGGCAGGCCAGGCGCACATGGGGCACCAGCAGACGCGCTGCAAGTCCGCAAGTCTGGGAGGGCGGACCGGGCGGACCAGCCCCGCCGGCGTCGTTTCTTATTGTGGCCTTGTGGGGCAGTCACCGGCCCTCCCCTCCCCTCCCCTTTCCCTTTCCCTCGTTCATCAACGCGGCGGCTCGGCGGCAGCGCGGCGGCGATATCTGGAAGGCTGGAAGGTGACAGTGGCACGCAGCGCCGCGCTCGGCCGCGCAGCACGCAGCAGTGGCGTGGCCGGCCCGGCCCGGCCCGGGGGTTGGTGAACGACGAGGGGCTCTACTTCTCCACGCTGATAGGGGGAGGGGCAGCGTTGCGTCGACGGCCACGCCGTCCCGTCAAATAAACGTCGCTTCATGGCCGCGCAGTGCCGTGCGTGCGTGCGTGCGTGTGTGTGTGTGTGTGTGTGTGTGTTCCTATGTGCGTATGTGTGAGTGTAGCGGCAACCCGAGGGGCACCGGGTAGTTGCCAACTTGGCGCACGGTGCCGCTCGCGGTCGTCAAGCCCCTGGAGCGGAGGACGAGCTGGCTGGAGAGTCACCTGAGCCGTGAGGGACACTGGAGAGTTGTGGGAGCAGCCCCCCTCCCCCTCTTTTCCCCTCGCTTGGCGTTTCCTCGACAGTGTTGGCGTGGATTAAATGAACAGAAAAAGTAGCCTGAAAGGAACAGAAAAAGTGGATTTTTAGGGACAGAATAAGTTATGTGCGTGTGTTGAACGCCTTCTTGAAGTCTTCTTCTGCTTGCAGGGCTGTCGGAGAGCGCTGACGTGGAGCTGCACACGCCGGAGTCGCCCGAGGAGGTGGTGGACGGCGAGGACGTGGTGCTGGCCTGCACCGTGGACGGCAGTGGGGACATCCGCGTGGATTGGTTCAGGTAGGCCACGCGCATCCTGTTAAAAAGGCGTTCGTTCAAGTCCAAGTCGTTTTTCCCAACCCAGGTTCATTCATTCGTTGTTTCTTGATTGCATCCAGGAACGGCGAGCGCGTGACGCGCAACAGCCACGTGTCTTTCGGGGGCGCGGGGGCGTTGGGGGGCCCTGGCCCTGGCCGTCGCCAGCTGCACCTGCGCGGCGCCTCGCCCCGCGACAACGGCGTGTACCGCTGCAGCGCCACCAGCGTGGCGGGCACCGTGTCGACGGGGAGGAGCTTCGCCCTCGCCGTGCCGGGTAAGTGCCTTGCCATGCCGCCCCGTGCTGCAGTGCACTGTGTCCGAGGCTGGCGCGCGCTGACGCTGTTTGTTGTGGATCGGCTTGCAGGCCCGGCCGGCGAGAAGTGGCCGCTGATCCAGGTGCCACCGCAGGACACGGTGGCGCGGCGCGGCGACGCGGTGCGCCTGGACTGCAGCTACAGGGACGCCAGCTTCACCGAGTGGTACTTCAAGGACACCGGGCCCTTGAAGAACGCCTCCAGGTACTATGTGGGGCCGGCCTGGCCGGCCGGCGGCAGCTCGCGTCGCCAAACACCTTTTATGAGTCGTGTTTGTTTTTAGTTTTACTTTTTTTAAGACGTCGGCGTGAGTTTGACTTGGCTGCAGACGTAGCGTCGGCTTATTTGTGTTTCGGGCGGGTTCGTGTTCGTGCGTATACACTCGCAGCGTCACTGCATAAGGGGAGGCCAACCTGGCCCAGCCCTTCGGACCTCTAGTCGTCCGAGCTGCCCAAGCCTTGGCCAAGCCTTGGCCCAAGCACGCCAGCACCCATCACAAATGCTATGATCTGTTTGTCGACTGGCAGGGGAAGGGGCAAGGGGGCCCGGGAAGGAGCCCTTACGTTTACATAGCTGCATGTGCTCTGTTTGCTTTCGGTCCGTGTTTACAAGGTCCCGTATTGGGCACGGAGTTATGATCACGCCTAGTCGGACTGACCATATGCTGCCTTAATCCCCAACCCCCACCCCTTCGCGTCCACACTGCCATCTCTTAACGTTTATCGAGGCCCAACAACGCCCCTTTCGTCGTCCCTTGGCTTAAGACTGCGTGCGGCCGGGGGTAGGCAACCTGCATCACAGCAGGGGAATGCAACTATCTAGGGATCTTCCTTTTCTTCCTTTTTATTTTTTTCAGGTTCAACATCCTGGAAAATGGCTCCCTCCTCCTCACGAATGTCGGGCGGCAGGACGAAGGTCCCTACGCGTGTGTGGGCATCCGGGAGGACGCGGAGCTGCCCCAGAAGTACACCGCTCAATTGACCCTGGCGTGTAAGTCCAGCAGCAGTCGGCCTCGTTGGTTTATCCTCAGCATGCTCTCATGCAAGATTACTGACTTGACCCATGTTTTTCATTGCAGATCTTGAGGAGTTTAGTTCAGCCTCGTTTGATCCAGAACTGTCCTCAGATCATCTCCACATTATCCCAGAGAATGCGCCATTTCACATGACATGCAAACCTCCTAGAGGGGTTCCACAGGTATTTCTTCTTTCTTCTTTTGGGTACGATTAATATTCTTAAGTCCTACATTTAAAATTTTCAATATGGCTGTTTTGTTTTCTGCTGTAGCCGAAAGTGAAGTGGCTTGACCCTGAAGGTCAACCAATTTCTGATTCTGGTCCATTACGTGTAGAAGAAACACGACTTTACCTTGAATCTGCAAGTTCTAAAGAGAGCAGTGGAAATTACACCTGTGTAGCTGAAAATTTGGCTGGAATTCGCTCTGAGACTGTTCGCCTCTTAGTATCCAGTAAGTTATAATCAAGCAATTTTGTACTGTTTCATTTGTGGCAAAAGGCTTCATTTGATTATTTTTTGATACAGCACCACCAACAATCACCAAGGACCCTGTTTCAATGGTAGTTGGAGAGGATGAACCTGCCGTTTTAACATGTCACTTCAGTGGAATGGCATATCCTGTCACAACTGTAAGGTGGAGAAAGGATGGAAAAACTCTAAGGGATGATGCAAATCACATTCACATTGAACCGTCAAATGGAACGTTGAAAATTAATTCCGTGGTTTCATCTGACAGAGGAGAATATGTTTGTCTTGTGAATACTACAGGGTTCAACCCCATACATTCAAAGCCTGCACAGATTCAAGTTAAAGGTGTTTATTCTTTTAAATGTCTCTTCTGTTAAAATTATGCCACTCAAAGCAAGGTCTCAAAAAAATTGCTAATTAGTTGTTTAAAAAGGGTAATTGTTAAATTAATGTTATCAATTTCAGAGAAACTGAAGTTTACTCCCCAACCTGTCAACAAGAAAATGGAGCTTGGTTCCGTTTCGAAAGTGAACTGCAAGGCCCAGGGGTCAACAGTCCCTACCATCCATTGGCTCAAGGAAGGAGGCTTGCCCAGCCATGTGTCTGTTCACAACGGAACATTGGTTTTTAATGGGGTGAAGTCGTCTGACAAGGGTCGCTATACGTGTGTGGCAAACAATGCTCAAGGCACAATCAATGCAACCATTACAATTGATGTCCATGGTTAGTAATAATTTCAAAAAATCTCTCTCTCTTTTTGTATTAATTTAAATGTAAGCCAAATCACAGTGGTAAACAAAACCCTTTACATTTTTCCTTTTAGTCACTCCGAAGTTCATTGTCCTGCCTAAGAATCCATCAGAAGCTGTTGAGGGATACTCAGTTATGATTGATTGTGCTGCTGAAGGTGACCCGAAACCCACCATTCATTGGGACAAAAACAGTGTCATGATGAATGACTTAGGCAACCAAAGGTTTGTTTCTGACAAATTCCCATCTCTTGCCTTTGTGGTATTTAATTCCATCTTTTATCATCACACCCACCATTTACAGGTTTGTTGTCCTAGAAAATGGATCATTGTTGATTCATGAGGCCCACTTATCTGACCAAGGGAATTATGGCTGCACTGCAGGGAACAGTGGAGGATTCAAAAGAGCAGAAGTTTCACTGTTTGTCCGCAGTAAGTACAATGCTAATTTATGAAAAATTCTGGTCTTTGCTTTTATTTATCTACCTTTTTATCATGTACAACCTTCCTTCAACTGTTAAATGAATCTTGTTTCCTGCTGTGAATTTCCAGGTGCAGAAGGTTACATTCCAGACGGGCCAGATTCGGAAATCAATGCTGATTCCATGATGACAAAAACAGTTGTTATAACTCTTGGTGCAGCTGCAGCCTACATGTTCCTAGTTGTTGGATTGATGGTGTGGTGCCGCTGCAGAAGGAGGAGGAGAAAGCAAAATTACCTGGCTCAGGAGACAGCTGAAGGTACTAGTGCCTTATGTAAGTGTTGAAAACAACACAGCTTTTAGAGGTGTTTTAAATTATGTTGATTTAATCAATGGAGTTCATAACTGGGATAAGAGTCCTTTCCCTCTATCTGTTAATTTTTTTTTCACTAAACTCATGGTTACTCTTGGTTTATTGGTATGACGTCTCTTCCTCAATATTTTTTATTCAAAGCACAATATTCTTTCATTTTTACATATAAATTATATTTCTTCTGTTTTTTAATTTAATTGATCAAAGTGCTGCTGTATATTTTGCTTTTTTAGTCACATGCAGATTTTTTCATCATATTATTTTTTTTAGTTTTTTGAATGACTGATGCACTTCTATTGCTATTCCTTTGGTACTTCCTGCATGGTCGTCTGGTGCCTTTTCTTCACTTGACTAACTTGTGCATCTTACAGTGGGTAAAGGTGACAATGTGGACACTGCCTGTGCAGCAAATGGAGATGCAGAACTTGGAGAGCGAAGCAAGCGACTCAGCAAAGCCTCCAGTAAGCAGAATGGTCATGCTCATACAAATGGTCATGCAAGAAGTGATGGTGAAAATACTGCGCAGAGCCAATCATCCAACCATTCCAAAAAGTCCAAAACCAGTTATGATGCTCTGTCCTTCGCTCGGGCAGACCTGCAGAATTTAATGTTGCTTGGTAAGTTTTTTCGGACTTAAACCACTATATTTTTTAAGTTTTTTTTTTATATGGAGGAAGCGTCAATTGTTTACTTTAATTTTTTTAAGGTAATGGTGAAATGGGGGAAGTGTATCTGGCACAGGCGAAGGGTTTAGGTAACTCGACGGCACCGGTGCAAGATGGAACTGAAAATAGCAGTAATTTTGGTGTAGTCATGGTAAAAGCTCTGAATCAAACAAGGAATGAAGCATCTCTCCTTGAGTTTCGGCGCCAAATTGACTTATTCCAAAGAGTGAACCATCCCAATATAGTGTCTCTACTTGGGCTCTGCCGAGAGCAAGATCCACACTATATGCTTCTGCAGTATTCCGATTGGGTGGGTATTTTCTCTGTTTGCAGTCTTAATTTTAATGTTCAAAATAACATGATTTTTTGAAATGTTTCTGTTTATAATTTATAGGGTGATTTGAAGCAGTTTCTGTTGGCCTCAAGAGAAAAGAGTTCACGAAAATCGCCTCAATCCCCACAACCTCCTCAACCTCCCAAGCCTGCACCTCTGACATTTGCACAGGTAGAAATGTCTCATATTTTAATTAAATTTATTACCTATGTCTTTTTAAGTGGATTGTTGACTAACTCATTTTTTTTTCATTTTTAACAGATTGTTAGTTTAGCTAACCAGGCAGCTCAAGCACTTGAACATTTGTCAAATCTCCGGCTTGTTCATAAAGATATTGCTGCAAGAAACTGTCTTATTGCATCTGGTTTGAGATTGAAGATTTCACTCTCCGGCCTGTGCAAGGACACATACAAAAGAGAGTATTTTGAATATAAAAACCAGGTATGTTTTTTCTTGCAATCATATTACTAGATATCTCAAAATCTATGTTTCCTATCCTTAATTTTAATTTGTATTGCAGACAATGCCTCTGCGTTGGTTGCCTCATGAAGCTGTATTTGAGGATGACTTCTCAGCAAAGTCTGATGTATACAGCTATGGAGTTTTGGTTTGGGAAATATTAACGCAAGCAGAGTTCCCATTCCATCGAAAGACAGACAATGATGTTGTGTCTTCTCTTCAAAACCATGAACTTCACTGGAAGATTCCCAAGAATTGTACTCCAGCCATGACTGCACTGTTGGGCCGCTGTTGGGCAGACAGTCCCCGTGACAGACCAACTTTCTCTCAAATTGTTCTTGCCATCAGTGAAATGAAAGTTGACACAGAGATGTAAGCCATACAGGCTCTTGTTGAAACTAAAAATTTTTGTATGTCAATTATTTGAAAATTGATATGACGGCAGGAATGTCCGTCCAAAGCCCCGGGAATTAATGCAATATTATGTTAATTTGACACCACTGAAGACATCGAGAGGTTGCATCACCAGTGGAGCCCTCAATATTAGTGTATGTGCTACTTTTCCAAAGCAAACTGGAAAAATCATCAAGTAGGCTGTACAGTCTCTTTCATTTGTACATAAACATTATTTTGATTCCTTTGTTTGTTTTTTTAAAGTTCTCTATGATCAATTTCTCAAGTTGTTTTTAAACCATATTTGCTACTACCGTTTTATGTATTTAACAGTCAAGCTTTCTAAGACTGAAGAAAATCAAACTTAATTAGCTGAACCATTTTTATGGTCTGTTTCTCATCAGGCCGCTACTTGTAATATGTGATTTTAATCAGTCTGATATTGTATGTTTTTCACAATATTATTTAACTAGGCAATGTTAAGGAATTAATTGTTACAAAGTTATATTAAGACTGTTGATTACTTTCTTTTTTTTTTTGTGGGAATGGGTTATACGTCCAGATGACTAGTCCATTACTTTTGTGATGTGTAAAATTATTTTAACTTTGAAATGAGATGAAAGTTTTTTCTGGGGGTCTTTCTGTATTTAAGTACCCTCTCAAAACCATCATGTTTGTGCCCAAACCCAAACAGTGTTTGACATGCTGAAACTCAATCATCTGGAATTTTGGCCCTCTGTTGCCAGATGTTGATCTAATAACTCTTCAATTGCGGCCGTATATATTTGATCTCATAAAAATAATCAATGCTCACTCTTAAGTTTTCTTAATTTGAGGATCATTTTGTTCCCAAAGACTTCTGTCTCTTTTCTGCACACTGCCATTTATGTGTTACATCTACAAAGGTCCAAAGCCCTATTTGTATGTAGCATTAAGAAAGTGGGTGTTTTAAGTGTACATATGAATTTCATCAATGCATGTATTGTTATGAAGCACTCATTATCTATTTCATCCTTTGATTGTTAGTATTTTTGTTATTTCTTCATGCTTTCCAATCAAAAACTACTTAAATCAATCATTACATTTCACCCCTGTAGACGACCAGACATATGTGCTCAGGAAGTAAACAGTTCCTACCCCATTTGCACAGAACCCCATTGCTTTTGCACAGAACCTGTGATTTTTCCGACCAATTTGACTGCATTGAAAACAATTCTTCACTTTACTGTTCAATTTTATCACAAAGCTGCTCACTGGAATGCAAAGATAAGATGGTAACTTGTTAGGAACTGTAAATGTGAACTACATTATTATTTTTAGTGTACAAATGTGTATAAATTTTGAAAAATATGTGTATCTAGTCAATATGAGTTTTTTTGAAAATGTAATCAAATAAGCAAAAGAATGCCATTCAGAATAATGACAAAATATCATGCAACGAAACACAATTAATATGATCCACTGCCTCGTTCCCACACATAAATGTTTGTCAGGAATGTTGCGCTCAATGTTTTGTCTTTTGACTAATATAATGTTCGTCAGGAATGTTCTGCTCGATGTTTTGTCTTTTGACTAATTTTCAAATAAACACATTATCAGCCAACCTCGCCGTGCCTGCCTCCTTTCCTAAAGCCCATTCTTCCAGCACCTCGGCCGGGGATGGCCGTAGCAATATCCGGTCTCCGATCACGAAGCGCTCAGCGCGCACCTTGCACTCGACTTCCGGCCTGGGGCCGGGCCTGGCGCTGGGCCTTGCAGGCTCCTCCCCGTCCGGTCCACTTCCGGTTTCCTGTGCGGCTCCTGCGTTAACAGCTCCGCGACACGCCGCGCCGCCGCGGCCGGATGGACAGACTGCTCAGTCAAAGCTAACACAAATACCCACTGAACGCGTCCAGTCTGACCAGCGGGTCGAAGGTATTCGCAGAAGCCGGATATAGCGGCCATGAAGGATTTTTCAAATGCAACTCTGTGAGGCAGGACAGCAAAGAGCGATGCGATGCCTTCACATCCAATGCGGGCGGTATACAGAGGGATGCGAGTCGAGTCGCGCAGTGAGCACAGCAACACCCTCATCTCCCCCTCCCCTCCCGGATGGGCGCGTTTTTAGAGCCCCAGAGCTCAAGCCACCAAAACGTGTCGCAGCGTAAGTCGACAAAAGTGGCTTGTTGTCCTTCGTGCTTTCCTTTTCGCTCTTGCCTCAAGAAGGGAACACGATGACCCCACGCCATTCGTGGTTCATGTTCCACGCGCGCCCGGAGATCATCTCGATGGTCTGGATTGTCTCTAGACGCTCGGCAGCGGCCGTAAGTCTTGACCGCGATCAGAGGGGGACGCGCGTGAACTTGGCGCGTCAAGCCGGTGGATGGTCACGGCCATCAGAGCCGCAGCGCCGCAACGCCGCAGAGCCACCCCGGCGACAAATGATCGCCGAAACGCGTGCTGCGGCGCTGCGAGAATGAGAATAGCCCCGGTCCTTGTACCGTCCTCGTCCTCGGCGTCCTCGTCCCCGACGGCGGGGGTGGGCGGCGGGGTGGCCGCGCTGGCCGGCGCTGACCTCGCCCCCATTCCCATGATCACGGTGCTAGCCCTGGCCAGCCCCGGCCAGCCCCCCTCCTGGTGCTATTGCGCTTTGGACTCGATACGAACCTGGCCGGGCCGGGCGCGCTATGGCCACCGTCTCGGACGGGCAGGCACCGTCCCAAACATGCCGAGCTTACCGGATTTATTTTTCATTTTTATTATATTTTGAGTAGTGCAGCGGACGCTGACTTACTAATGTCGTCCATCATGCGTCGACAAGTGTCTTTATAAGTCAACATGCAAATGTACACTGGCAAAGAAAAAACATAAATAAAGAAATCTGAATCGGAACGCATGTCAGGTTAACAACCGCGCCTTACCAGCACCCACCACCAACCACCAGTGCAGAGGCCATCCCCACACTCAAATAAGTGTGGGGCGATTGGCCTGCGCTTTGACATCCCCGCCGTCACGTCCACTGCAAACACCGCACCGCCGTGAAAGCCACGCCGCCAGGGGGTCGCGGTTAATTTTACGGAGGGCTGCCACCCCTTGGGGCCGCGCGGGGGCTCCGGGGCTGCGGGGCCCTGCGGCGTCGCTGGTGGCCTAAATAGGAAATACGCCGCCCCGCCCCGCCTCGTGCGCCTCGCGCGCCCCGCGCCACAGCCTCAAGTTGAAGTGACCCCGATTTCGGCCGCGCCCGTCGCGTCCCGTCCACGGCCGCAGCCTTGCTTCTTGATGTGCGTGCGGGCTGCGGGCCTCGGTGAGGGCGGCGCGGCGGGGGCCAGGCCGCCAGACCAGGCCGTCCGTCGGGGTGCCTTAGTGACGTCAGCGGACACCTCCCCACCCCTTGACCCGCACCTGCCCGCCGACGGCTAAGCGAAGCACTCATGAACGACGCCGCCACCCCCGCGGCCGGGGCAGCGGTACCGCCCCCTGCGCCGCCCCCTGCACCGCCCCTTGCAGCAACCCCCTCGGGTCTCGAAAGAGATGACAGCGGCGACGTTTTGAAGCCGGATGCCCTCAATTCAAACTCAATGGCGCCGTCACCCCACGCCCGGCATCGTCTCCGTGTCAATTTTCTAGGAAAATAAAATTTGTTTGAGGACAGGTAGCAATTTGGGCACACTCAGCGGCACAATGCGGGGCGATGCGGGGCCTTCCTGCCCTTCCTCGGCAAGGCCCGGCCGGACTTGCCGGCGTGATCCTCAGCCTGGGCGTCGCACCCCTCTTCACGGACTCGGCCCGACGTGTCCTCGCCGTCCTCGCCGTCCTCGCTCTCCGGAGGAGCGGTTGTCGCCCTCAGCCCCCATCCTCGTCGTCCTTGTTTTCGTCCAGCTCCGCCTCGCCCTCGATTCCACCCGTTTCCACCCCCTGCCGCGGCCGGCCGCCCGCGCTGGCTAGTCCCTAGCCGCTAGTGGCCGGCGGTGTGCAGGGGCGCCGTGGCTGCCGTGGCCCAGTTGCCTCCGAGCCAGCGTGGGTCGCATGCAGGCCGGACTCGAAGGGAGCGCTGCCCACGCCGCCAGCCCCACGCCGCCAGCCCCACGCCGCCAGCCCCACGCCGCCAGCCCCACGCCGCCAGCCCCACGCCGCCCGTCGGCCGCTCAGCCCGCGCAACAACGCCAGTTTCCCTTTCGCCGGCGGCGCAGCTCCAGGACGAGACCCAGGCCCCGATCCTGGACAGTCCCTTCAGCAACCCACGTCGACGGTCGCCTCCGGAGTCCACGCTAGAAGCCGCCGGCCGAGACAGTCTTGATGGTTCTCCCCGCCGAGGGTAACGACCTCGCCACTGCATGATGGTGTCCACGGGGGTCTTGTAGGCGGCGGCATGTGTCGCCGGCCCGGCCAGGGTGCTGGTCCCTGACACCGCCACCGGCACCGTCGACCTGGTCGAACGGCAACGGAGAGCCGCCGTCCTCTCCAGGACCACGTCAAAGAGAGCCGTGTCCGGGACCATCCCGATGCGGCGGTGGACGCACCGGTGCGGCTTCGGGGACGGCCCCCGCTTAGCGCCCGGCGTCCATGGCGTGCACGGCGACGGGCCCAGGCGTCTGCCTCGACAGTGCTGCTGACATGGACTACGCCGCGAACGCAGCACCCCACACAGGATTACAGCAGGCGTTTGGATACCAGCCGCTACACTGAGCCAGGTAAGAGGCGTGCGTGTGTGTGCGTGTGTGTGTGTGTGTGGGGGGGGGTTAGCATGTGGGCTATCCGTTGTTGAAAGCCAGGCGTCGCGTTCCGGCATGGGGAGTGTACGCCGGATACGTGCGACCCTTTAGACCGATGTACCCTCTATCCGACGCGACGCCTCTGATTTTTTTTAAAATTCCTATTTCTTTGTTGATGCTGATGTATTGATGTCATGTTGCCGTTTCTTTCCCACCAGACCCTTTTCCTTCTCCACTCCGTCCAGGTGGAGGTGGGGTGGTCGAGGTGTTGCAGGGTACATATGTATTCCCGCGGCATTAGAATTCTGCATACGAGGCCGCCTGCGGCATTCGCGGGACGTACGCAGCACGTGCATGGCGTTCCCGTCGCACTGCGCTCGGAGCAAAAAAAAAAAAAACAAAACAAGAAAACCCGCTGTATAACAAAATAAAATAAAATAAAGTTGATTTAATTTATTTTTTATTAAGTTGTAGAATTAGCAGGAAACTAGATTTTTAGACGAACAAGTAGTATCTTTTTCAAACAGAGGAACGTGAGTCATGTCTCGGAGGAAGTGGGACAGAGTGCCGCAGCCGGGCAGCCAGGCAGCCAGCACACGGGGTGACAGGGCGCGACCTTTGACCCCGGGAAACCCTTTGATGGTTCTCGGCGGGGTCGTTGGGGTCGTGAGGCAGAGGGAAGCCCCCGCGAGGGGCGGCTGAGGCTGCCTGCAGTGGCGGTGCACTGCCTGGCGTCGACTCGGCGGCCAGGCCGGCCAGGCCGGACTCGGACACGCACAGCCGGAAGCACAGCGGGCCGGCCGGGCCGCCGCGGTGTTGAGCACACTGTAGGGCTTTGCGGCTGACCTTTGGCACCGATAAGGACGCCAGGCATGGGCAGCCGACGAGTGTCCTTTCGGCCGGCGCGGCCGAGTCGCGGAAATTAATGCCTGCGGCAAAAGGCGAAAGGCCCGGCTTGCCGCTGTCTCTAGCACACCCTCGGAACGCCCCACGTGTGCGAGAGAGACAGAGCGGTGCAGCGGTGTTCGGAACGAGCCTGCAGGCCGCCGCCGCGGCGCGCCGGGCCGGCACACCGCCAAGGGAGCGCCTGCCGTCGGCCGGGTAGGCACGCCCGCCGCGCGCCGGCGTGTGGCGGCACGGTCGACGGTTTTACCATTACCATTACGGGCTAGACCACACATGATCGTATGCCTTCCTCGCGGGCGCCTCCACGGCCTCTTCCTCCCCGCCCTCCTCCTCCTCTCCTTCCACGCCGTCTCGTCTGGGGCCTCGGCACTCTCGCCGCCCACGTCGTAAACGCCGACTGATGCCCGTTAACGCTGCCGCACCGCCCGGCCGCCTTAACGATCACCGCGCGATTTTGGCCGTCGGCGAGACGGCCTCGCTCGAGGAGGGCGGCGGCGCTCCGCCACATGGTGCACTCCGCCAGCAGAGCCTTCCGACAGTGTAGCTGCGCGGGGGCCGCGCGCCCCACCTCGCCCCGCCACCCAATGACAGCACGGGAGCTTCCCGCGGCGCGAAAGGCGTGAGGGGCCCGCGGTGGCGGCCGTGGCAGCGGGCCCGCCCCGCCTTCCTGGGAGACCCCGGCAGCCCCGGGGCAGCCCCGGCCCCGCTCTGCAGGCAACTGTTGAATGCTGTCAATCGAGCCGTCCCGTCGCCCAACCATCGGGCGGGGCGGCCGCCGGGCTCACCGCCAGCCCGCCAGCCCGCCAGGCCAGGCCCCTCCCTCGACATCGTCAGCACCGTCAGCGCGCCCCCTGTGACAGCGGCCCGGCCACGCCCACGCGTGGGGGGCGGGGCGGCCATTTGAACCCTCCAACGGGTTCACTGCATAGTGGGCCAGAAGACCCGTGGAGCCGGCCACAATTCTGGACGCGTTTTGAGCTCCAGAGTCGCTAAATGGGACTCGAACCGAA